ATCCATCTATCCCTCCATCCATCCATCATCCAACCATCCAACCATCCATCCATCCCATATACAAAGCATTGGATATTTACACTTCTTGTACTTTCAAAGCTGCATTTTAGAACAATGTTTAGCTGAACTAAAATACAGCTCATAGAATTATTCCCTGCTCTCTGCTGATTTTGCTGTATCTCCAGGGCACAAAGAGATTTACTGAGTAGGATGGTCATCAATGCATGGTTTCCCATAGCACAGTAGAGATAAATATCCATTGTCCAAAACTTCAAGTTAAGACTTGAAATACAGAATTGAGAACAAAAGGGATTTATTACATTAAAAACTATAGAATACCATTTTGACAATAAATGTGTACTGAATCCTCTCGAATGCAGATCAAAGTTACATTTGCAGCTGGGCTTTATGCAGCGTTTGCCTGGGGCTCTGGACACTCGGTTATCTTTCTGCCACTTAATTCTTTAATTAGGTATGATGCAATGTGTGTTTCCCCCGCTGGTCTCTCCTTTCAGGAACAGTGAAGTGACATGTGCGTTCGCCCGTGGAAGATGGTATTATTTGTCTTGAGTTTTGAATTCGTGCTCTTTTCAGGAAGACATTGGTTTAAATACATTTTTGAAAAGATTCCCCCAGCAGCTGGGGCTCTTGTTGAGACCTGTATTATTGAACTTGAACGTGGTGGCTTTGAAACTCTTTGTCCCAAGTATTGAGCCTCACCTTCCTCGGGCAAAGGCAGAGCTATCCACGGGGTGCAGCTGCTCCTACCGCACAGCAAGCTCCCCTTCTGCTGCAGCTTCTTGGAATCCACATCTGTTAGGATGGAAACTTGCCATCGAAGCCCGCAGTGTTTGGATAGGTCTTAGAGCTAATAACCAGGGTTTACAGCATTCAAAACTAAGCTGCTTTTGCAGTTTCCTGATGAATATGTGCTAATTTTGAAGAAATAACTACTTTGGAAGCTGGACACAGGGGCACAGGTGGTGACTGCAGTTACTTGGGAAGCTGAGGCAGGACGGTCCCTACTTGGAGGCCAGCCTGGACACCATAGTTAGATCCTGTCTCCAAACAAACAACCCGAAATACTGCGGAATGCAGAACCGAATCATCGATGTTGACTCTGCAGTCCTTGGATGGGCGTCTCTCTGCTGCCGTAAAAAATGTCAGTCTTCACTGAGAAAACATAGCATGCGACTTCATTTCAAGTAAAATATGCTGAGTGACAGCTTTGTGAAGGTTTTGGTGTTTGCATTCTGTGACAGAAGCACTGAAGGTACTTTTCTGTATAATATTTTGTGCTGGCCAGGTAGGACTATTTTCCTTTTCTTTTAATTGGTTATTGTTTGTGTGGCACATTAAGCACCCCAAACTCTTCCCTTCCCGAAAAGCCTCAGGCCTTGAGTGCTGCCTGTGTGTATCCACGTGCTGCGGCCACAGCTGCTGGCCCTGAGCCAGGCCCCTCTCCCAGGCCCTGTCACCTGCGAGTCTGTTGGAGCCCCCCTTTCTCCTTCCCTTGCACCTGCCACATCTGTATGCATTTTTAAAACAGAATATTTCTTAATATTTAGTTTTACCTCTATAAAAAGATATTGCTGGGTGTGGTAGCACATGCCTATAATCCCAACACTCAGGAGGCTGAGGCAGGAGGATCACTGTGAGTTTGAGGCCAGCCTGAGCTACATACCAAAAAAATAAAAAATAAAAAGATATGCTATCAGGGCTGGGGATTTAGCTCAGCGGCATAAGCACCTGCCTTGCAAGCAGGTAGTCATGAGTTCGATCCCTGGTACCGATAAAAAGGAAAAAGACAAAAAAAAAAAAAAAAAAAAGATATGCTATCTAGGTTTTGTGACTTAGTTTTTCACCCCACCAAGTAATGCTGTGTTACTAATGTTCGGCTAGGTTCCTGCATTTCTTCTGATGAGCTTTCGAAGAACAAAAATATTGTATTTGGCTGAGGTTGGTTAATCAGCTTTCACCTCTGTGGGTTGTACTTTTGTGCTCAAAGAACTCTTTTCCAGATCCTAAATTCCAAAGAGTTTTCCTAAGAGTTTAATACGTAGTTTTATGTTTTCCATCTCTTTCTTTTTTTGGTACCAGGGATTGAACACACATTTTCCATTGAAGTTCCTGGTCCGTTTTGATTTAATTATGGCACAAGGTGTGAGGTTTAGGTCAAAGTTTGTAGTTACTGATGTTGAGCGTGGTGTTGTTTTCCAGCTTCTGTGTGTTTGTCTGAGATCAGTCCAGCACGTTTGCGTGTCTGTTTTTGCATCTTACCTTTTTCCATTGATAAATAGGTCTCTCCTTTCAAATCATTCTCTACTAATCGCTGCATCTCTTAAAAGGCATCCTGTCTGGGAGGTGGCTCCTGGCATTGATTTTTCTTTATAATTGTTTTAGCTATTCTCAGATCTGTGATTTTCAGTCTAAATTTTAGGATAAATTTGTTTACGTCTAAAAAAGAACCTTTTGTTCTTTTAATGGTAGTATTAAACCCACAGATCAATTTGGGAATAATTAACGTCTTTATTATGCTGAGTCTTTGAATTCATAAACACAGCAAATTTCTTCATTTAATTTTGGTTTATCAATTTCATGACTTTTCAGCACAGTGGTCCGATGCAAGCTTTGGTAATTATATACCTATGTATTTCATCCTCTTTGGAGCAATTTTAAATGCCATCAAGTTTATTAACTTTACCAGTTGAATGAACACAAACTGTGTGCCTTTGTGACCTGGGCTTTGATCCTTGCTGGCCGAAGCGGTCAGGTATCTCCCCACTGCCAGCCGGTGGCGGGCACTTCCTGCTGGCCGAGGCGTCTGCTCCGGGGCCCTGGAAGCCCTGGGTCCTGATTCTCTCTCAGTCCTGCACATTGCACGTGCCTTCTCCTAGCTATGATGTGTCCTTTGTACTTTCTTTAAGGTATTGTTTGATGAAGAGTTTTTAACATTTTAATGTCATTAAAGTTATCCCCTCTTCTATTTGTAGCCAGTTAATTCCATGCCTTGGGGGCCAGAGAGAATTTATATTTCTGAGTCCTGTGTGACCTGAGCAAGCTAAATGAACTGAATGTTTTTATTGAAAGTAATTTTTTAAAATAGAAAATATCATCCCTTTACTGCCCTTCTTCCAGCTCATCAGGGAACCTTTCTAAGAACCTCTCTGCATTCCCAGTTAACTAGAAAGTGAAATATTTCCAGCAGTCTTGCAGGAGACAGAAAACCGCTCTCCTCCTGACTACAAGCTTTCCTCGGAGAGAGGGGCTTTGTGCAGCTTCATCAGACTTCAATTTTCCCTCCTGCTGTCCAAGAAGTAAATGAATATCTGCCCCGTGACTGGCAGCATCATTCTGCCCGATGCTTTTCTTGGTTGTTAGAGCAGGGCTGATTCCAAGCACCAAGCCAGTTGCTTCTTCTATTAAAGAAGGGGATTCCATGCCAAAAATTGTAAACTGCAAACGCTGGCCGAGTTGCACTGCTGAAGCTCCTAATGGAGAGTGGAGGGTTTCACTGGCAAACACACCCTGCTCCATCTGGGAAAGGAATCGAGCGCCCACACGTTCTGACACCTGGAAAAAGTCGATCTCCTTTAAGCGAACGTGGCGTGGAAGGTGCAGACACATACATTAAACTGCCCGCGCCGATTGCAGCAGGTCTGCTGTTTCTTTTTTAGGTTAAAACATTGTTTACAGGTTAAAAATACTTTCTTTTTGTTTGTGAGCACTTCTAAATTTGAGTTTTAGCACAAAAGGTGTATTCAAAAGATTGTTTTATTGTCACTTTGGTACTAAAAGACAAAGAGATTTTCTTGGCCTGAAAAGCTGAGATGCAAGAGAAACACACCTGTGCACACACACATGCATTAATGTATATGTGCACACACAGAACATTAACACATGCACACACGTATCTTACACATGTACACGCATCCATATAATTAGGTATACACACACAAACATACATTTTACGATCTCCAGTCTTATGAAAATTCAGGAAGAAGTGAAGTGTTTCTTTAAAAGCATAAACCAGATTATGAAGCAGTGCTACTAATGGCAGGGTTTGTAGTATGTTCCAGTGGCCAGGCGTGGTCGTATATGCCTGTAATCCCACCACTTGCGAGGCTGAGGCAGGTGGGTTTCTGTAATTTTGAGGCCAGGATGGGCTACATAGTGGCTTCACATGAGCCTGAACTGCATAGTGAGGCTCTGTCTCAAAAAAAACCCCAAAACAACAACACAAGAGGATGTCCCAGGGTCAGCAGGTATTGAGGAGACAGATGCAGGTGCTTTGGACTCAGATGCGTCCTGAACCGTGAGAGATAAACATTTATAAGAGGGAGGGCGAGGAGGGGGAGAACCAGGGAGGGGGTCCAGGTCCTGGCTCTGGGTGACGGGGAGCGCAGTTCCCGCTGACGCTGGCTCAACCTGCCCTCCCTGCTCAGGCGTCCCCTCCTCTGTGGCGAAGGCGTGGCCACTCGTCCTCCTCTTCCTCACAGCCCCGTGGACAGGCGGGGTCCTTCTGTGCTGGAAGAGCCGAAACAGGGCCAGTGGGCATCCTTTCCTGATCACTATCTAACCCACAGGGGCGATCCTCCTGCCTCAGCCCCCCAGTGCACCACCACGCCCTGCTTCACTGTCTGCAGTTCTAATGGATTAATCTAAAAAAGCAAAATATAACCTGAATGCTCTTCAAGGGCAAAAATCTCATTGTCACATGGGTATGATATTGAAAAACAGAACTTGGAGGAGATTCTTGGTCCCTTCCAATGATTGTCTTCTGATAAAGCCTCCAACTTCAGCACAGGCCTGTGAGCCTTTCTCTGTCTGTTTGCTCGGCCTTGACTTTTCCCTGGACCCCACCAGCCGGGGCTCCCGCGATGCTCCCCAGCTAGGCCGGGCCAGGTTGCAGGGCTGGGACTGGGTGGCTGCCGCCCGGAGCTCGCAGGCCCTGAAGTGGCCTCGCACTGACCCTGTGGCTTCCCACTTATTGTCTGCAGAGCCCAAGTTCGTCTGCCAGACCCCGGCGATCGCGGACATCGTCATCCTGGTGGACGGGTCCTGGAGCATCGGACGCTTTAACTTCCGGCTGGTGCGGCTCTTCCTGGAGAACCTGGTCACGGCCTTCAACGTGGGCTCCGGGGAGACGCGAGTCGGTGGGTGCCCCTGCCTTCACCCCGACCTGACTGTGGGCCACCAGGGCCTTCTAGACCTGCAGTGACCGGGAGCTCCAGGGCCAGCTGTGCATGACACATCCCCAGGGGCACATGCACACGCCAGATCAATGCACATTCATTTTCACTAATCTCGCCCAGCAGACTCAATCCATCCGTCACTGAACGCATTTCCTGTTCTGAAAAGTCAGATATTCCCTGCTCCTAAACAACAACTAATAGCAAAGCCTTAAAGTTACGGCCTCTTTAAGAATTTATCTTGCGGCAGTTTTAAAAGAAACAGCTTCACCCAGCTGAAGAAACACTAGAAATACTTCCAGTTACAAGTTTCATATTACAAGATAATCTTTGCCAAAAATTCTAGACAAGATAAAAAGCCGAAAAAGAGTAGAACTTCTTTGAGCAATACTGTAAATAATTAATAACATGTCATTATTTTAGAATGTCTCACAGTTTAAGTTTTAAAGGCCATTAGGGACTATCATTCCTTTGAAAATAAACAACAGCAGAAAACACTTCCATCTTTTATTTATATACATGACAGTCTTTTTTGCTTTCCGATGCCGCATGTCTAATTAAGTGCTAACTCTAAACGCCGGGAAGATGCTGGCAGCCCCCTCCCACATCGGGCCCACCCGACTCCTTTCACTGCTGTCAGAACTGTTTGCAGACCCCACAGGGCAGGACAGGATGCAGCCCGCAGCCTGGGGTTTCTAGAGCGCCCTGAGACGTTTCCGCCGCCTTCTCGTGTTCCCCAGGTCTCGCGCAGTACAGCGGGGACCCCAGGATAGAGTGGCACCTGAACGCCTTCAGCACCAAAGACGAGGTCATCGAGGCCGTGCGGAACCTGCCCTACAAGGGCGGGAACACCCTGACCGGTAGGTTTGCCGGCCAGCTGGCCCGGCTGCTCGGCTCCCTCCTGAGGAACACTGAGTCCCGTAAGCAAAGCAGCACCTGGGACTCTGCTGTCTTTGCTCTTTAAACTGTTTTGGAGTTCTTATTAGTATGCATTTGTAGGACGTAATGGTTCTCTTCACCGTGGGACGCTGGTCCATGACAACCTGGCTTCCTACGTCCCCTCTCCCCTCCCTGCTTCCCTCCATCTCTTGATTCCTTTCCCTTCTGCCAAAAACTAATCTCCCTGTTTCCTATTATCTAGCTTTTGTTTTCCTCTTTATTTGTATTTCGTGTTTCTCATCTAAGAGAAACCGTGCAGTATTTAAGCTGTGTGCCTGATTCATTTCACTGAGCATTATGGTCCCAGGTGCATCTGTTTCCCTTCAGATGGCTCCAACTTATCCTTCTTTATGGCAGAGTAGTACTCCACAGTGTTTCCCGTGAATGGTGCCGGGTCTGATGCTCTCTCCTGCCTTCTTATAGGTCTCGCTTTGAACTACATTTTTGAAAACAGCTTTAAGCCAGAAGCGGGATCCAGGACCGGAGTGGCCAAGATTGGCATTCTGATCACCGACGGGAAGTCTCAGGACGACATCGTCCCGCCCTCGAGGCGGCTCCGGGAGTCCGGGGTCGAGCTCTTCGCCATAGGTACGCCTGCCTCAGCCTCTGGCTCCATCCCCTCCAGTGTGCACAGCCCCGGCCTGAGCCCAGCCCCGTGATCCAAACCCAGCACCCGTGTCATCCACAGGAGCACACTGCTACCTGTGAGGTCCCCGACATGGTCAGGACCCCCAGGGGGATGCAGAGCAGTGACTGTCTGGATCTCTGTTGTCTGGTCCTGGAGGGAGAGATCAATTTATTATTTTCAAGGAATTAAAACCATTTACTTATTTATTGTTTTCTGAGACAGGTTCTCGCTATATAACTCAGTCTGGGTTTGAGCTCAAGGTGATCCTCCTGCCTCAGCCTTCTGAATTGCTGGGATTACAGGCATGTACTGTCAAGCCTAGGTGCTGTACTATTTAAAAAATCAGAGGTCTAGACATGCCCTGTTACTGATTTAAAAGTAGCCCTGAGAGGAAAGGAGGGAGTTGACACACATTCGTGATCCCTACAAGATGCTTACATGATGTAACTCTGTTATTAAAATGTTTAAATTTTTGGCACCAGGAGGTCTTCTGTTAGATACCAACAAACTTTCTCAGTGGAGGAGAAAAAAAAAAAAAAAAACAAAACCCGAGTCCCATGTGACTCTGAAACACCAATCAAAATGCCGCTGCACCTTCCTCAGGAGGACTCCAAAATTAGCTGCTGTGAACAGTCTGCTGGGTTAGGGGTTGCGTTTGTGGCTCTTCTGCTTGGGCTCCATTGCTGGACCGGTGAAATGCATCTATTTTCCTGTGTTTACTGAGAACACCCTGCAGTCTCCTCTGTCCATAAACCTCCTCAGAGAAGTTTGTCTTATAGAAGGAAACTCTCCACTTAGAGCTCTGTAGCAGTGAGGAGAGGCATCCTGGGTGTAAAAACACGGGCATTCCGAATGCAGGTCCCTGGGCTCTGCTGCAGCTTTGCTAGTCAAACTATGCAGCAAGACATCCTGGGAATCAGTGCTTTTAAAAATGCAGCCATCCCTGAGCCCGAGCCTGCTCCAGCGCTGACACCCGCTGGTCCCTGCTGAGCTCCTCAGAGAAAGACGCTCCTAAACATCTCAGTGGGTGCCCTTTATCCACAGAGCAGGTTTCCGATTAGCCTTTATGTGGGGGTTTATTTCCTTGAGTGCAGTCAGGTGCCGTCTGGGACGGTGCAGCAGCTGTGGGGACCCCTCTCTGCTCCTCCTTTTCTTCATTCCCGAGGCGTCTTTGCCTTCATTTTCTCTGCCCCTGAGCTGGTGCTTAACGAGCAACAAATCTCCAATAGTGGCTTGTGGGATGACTGGGTAGCTCAAACATTCCTGAGGTCACCTTGGTGTTAAATCAGCATGTCCGTGAGGGATGTGGCTTTGGTTCACGTGGATCAGCTTGTGGCAGTGTGGCTGTGGCTTCCACATCTTCCTCTCACAGAAAGAAAGTGGAAGAAAGCCAGGGGGAGAAATGAGAAATGCATTGTGCCCACGCCTTGCCGGGTACGTCGGGAGCTGTAGTTTGCAGGGGGCGAGCTCGTGGGGTGGCAGGGGGCTGCCTCTCAGGCCGGCCTGCAGAGCCAGGGCGCTCCCCACTCCTGCACCCTGCGACCTCGCGCTTATTGTGTGAACCAAGTCCTCGCCGGGCTTTTGCACTGCAGACACCGGCAGGGCTGCAAACCCGCGCTGAAAACAGCCTGTTTCCTCTGACCACATTTCCCAGCTCTCCCAGAGCCTCCGCAGGTGTGGACTGCGTGATTAACTGTGTGGCAACTAACAAATCCGAAACTCCGTCCTGGGGGTGGATTCAAGTTTGTTTGCCTTGAAGGTTCATCGCCCTGTAGTTTGAGAAGCTTTCGCCTAGGCTTAGAGTTGCTGCTCAAAACCTGGGTTATGGAAGGCTTCCCTCAAGAAGTAGTTGCTCATTTTTCACGTGCTAAGCATTGTGTTGAGTGCTGGGCATGAAAACAAAGTGAAATCCTGAAACACAGGCTTCTCTTTCCCATTCAAACGAGAGAGAGAGAGAGAGAGAGAGAGAGAGAGAGAGACAGAGAGAGACAGAGACAGAGAGACAGAGACAGAGAGACAGAGAGAGACAGAGACAGAGAAACAGAGAGACAGAGACAGAGTCATTTTTTTATAGTATATTCTTTTGTTTTAAATTTTAGAATCATTTTGTTTTGCAACCTAGATAATTAAATATACTTAGATTATTCCTAAGAATCTTTCGGATAGTGTCACGTGTCCAAACTTGTCCATTTCAACTGTGTGACAAGGAAGAGTTCTTGTCGCCCAGCTGCAGCCCCGGTGTGGGCACACCCAGTGCTCTGTTGATTCAAGCGTTCATTCTGGAACCTTCGTTAGAAGTCCTTCGGGCAAAAAAGCATCGCAGAAAGTTTTTTTTTTTTTTTTCTCGTCTTCTTTATCCCCTCCTCCTGCACAGGAAATCTCTGCGGGAGCCTTCACCAGGCAGGGATTAGCTTCTGTGCTCGCCCTGCCTTCCCTGCTCTTGCGTACAATGAATGGGTGAGTTTTTCAACAAAGCTCGAGTCACCCAACTGTGACTTGGACTTTTGCTTTGGAAATTACCTGGAAATCAGTAGTGTTTATTATCTGATGGCCACAGTAGCGCGAAGTCCGGAGACAAGGCAGCTTTTGTTCCTCAGTACACCGAGTTGGAAGATAAACAGTCTGCACAGCGAACATCTAAGACGTAGCTCGTGCCGCCCTGGTCTGCGCTCCTCCGTGCTTTCGAGGCCCCCTCTTAGTGCCCTCCCGTGACTGAGTGCAGGGCACTTTGTCTGGAGCCCCTTTGCTGGCTGATGCTTGGGGAAAGGAAATCCACCTGCACTCCCATGAGGCCTCGCCCCATTCCGTCTCGGTTTTCCTGTTTCACTGGTGAACACACAGCTCCTGGAGGTCATACGATGTAGGGGAGCCCCATGTACCATCTCTGTCTCCCGAGCTAATCCACAGCGTTGGCTGTGAGGATTAAGCACATTCGTATACATAAAACACCAGCCAGAGCAAGCGTGTCCTGTGCTGGCGTCTGCGGGTTTTAGGCGCTCTGTGTGGTGCGTGGCGTGTTGCTCTGGATTCCAGGGACCCTCGAGGGGACCACAGCACTCCTGTTGGTACCGCTGAACTGCAGTGGTGACGGGGCCGCAGAGTGCACCAGAACACACGTTTCCCCTGAGCTGTCTCCTTGATTTAGTGCTGCATAATTCTAATTTTAAATACATACAATTGTCACCGGAGGGGTGCCTCTCTGTGTAACTAAACCTACAGAAATCTAGAGCTAAAACCTGGATCGCTCAAGGTGTGGGGTTATTTCCTCTTGATTCTGCGGTATCCACGCAGGATGGAAGTTAGTTTTTCCAGATCATCTTCCTCTTAGGATACATGGTGCCAGATTGGCATCCATTCAAAAATGATTCTGAAACTGATTTTTAAAAATACCAGCATGGAACCTGTTGCTTGAAGGCAGCCGATGGGCATCATCAAATCCCAGGCCAAAGGGGTGTGACGAGGGCCCCTCGGGACGATGACCCACCTGCCAGTTGCTAGGACAGAGTTGCTTTCATTTCTTTGAGAACAGACATTCCTACTGTTAGGTTTTCTTGTTTATTTTCTTTCTGCATTGTTTGGTAGAGTCAGATTTATCCTTTTATGTGATGTAATAGAAATGACTTAGCTATGTATTTTCATTTCATCTGTTTATTTTGCGTGCATATTGATTTATTTGAAATGGGATCCCCTGAGGATGCACAGGCTGGCTTTCTTCTGGGCTCAGGTAATCCTCCTGCCTCAGCCTCCCAAGCAGCTAGGACCCCAGGCCGGTGCCACCGACCCCAGCGCTTACACACGTGTGTGTTCGTGTGGAAGCACGGTGGTATCTGCCAGTGCCAAGTGCAGGTGCCTGTCGGTGGTGGGGACAGGAGGGGGCCCGACCGTCACGCTCCTGTTCCCTCCACACCAGGCGTGAAGAACGCAGACCTGAGTGAGCTGCAGGAGATCGCCTCGGAGCCCGACAGCAGCCACGTGTACAACGTAGCCGAGTTCGACCTGATGCACACGGTGGTGGACAGCCTGACGCGCACGGTGTGCTCCGGCGTGGAGGAGCAGGACAGGGAGATCCGAGGTACTGGGGCCGGCCCGTCCTCCCCTCCCCACCTCTCCCGGCCTTTCTGTTTCTCTTTCTCTCTCCTGTGCTCTCGAGGCAGGGTCTTGCTCTGTTGTCCACCCTGGCCTTGAACTCAGGACCCTCCTGCCTCGGCCTTCGGGGTGCTGGGTTTAGCAGTGCAGTGTTCTCTGTGCTGTGCTGTCTTCACCCGGTCTCTGGAGTGTCGCATCCCCAGCGTCGGCTAGGCGTGCTGTTTTTGTTTCAGTCGTACTGAAGACCCGTATGCCCATACAACACCACGCCTTTAATTCCCATCGTCCTGTAGCTGAAGAGGTGGAATTCTCTGGGCATCTTTATTTTCCTCCGCTGTGTCCATGTCGTCGTTTGGGAAATATCTCTTCAATTTAACTATTCTTTCTTTAAAACTTGATTTTATTCTTCTAGCTCCTTTATCTTCCCATTAAACATTTTTATCCTACAAAAAAAAATCTCTCTGGGATTTTAATAGGAATGGCAATAAATCAGCTATCAAAAGTCAATTACCAAATACCCGTTTTAGGAAGGGAAATCATTGTTTCTTTGTTGACTCACCCAATCCCTGGACTCCAGTGTGTGTCTCCATTTATTTAGCTAGTCCTTGGTTTCTTTCATCAGGAGGTTTCAGGGCTTGCCGATATCATATACTTCAAGTTTACTGGAATTTCACCTCAGTGTTTAATTTCATTTGACTTAACTTTTGTTGTCACACCCTTCTGCGGTCAGTTCCCCGAGCGGGCAGCGCTGTGACTGGGCATGGGCTCCTGGGCTCCGGCCTTGTTTGGAGCAAACCCCAGGCACGTCCTTCAGTTCTCTGTGAGCCCTGATTTCCTTGTCTCCACTTGGGACTCGGTGGATAGGAATCTGAGACATTTCATCAGAACACCCGATGTTTGGAGGCTCTGTTAATTATTATCATTTTTTTTATTTTAAAGAGGATAAAACAGAACAAAACCAATCAAAACAAACCAGTGTAAGAGATACGGGACTTTAAAACATTACAAAATCAACAATAGTTACTATAATGCCTTTTGATGTCTTCAAAAGAGCTGCAGATAACTTCGGAGGTAGTAAAAATCAGAACAGAGTAGAATAGAAACCATAAAAACAAAACAATGAATGCAATAAAGGACTTCAAAACAAGCCTATAACAAATCTAAAATGGCTCCATAACATAGCTTGCTATCCTTGAAATACCTGCCATTGGATTTGACATAATCAAACAAAACAAGAGAATAAAACGTGACCCAACAAACAATGGAAATGATACAGGACCTCAAGACAAGACCATAGGGAATCAGCAATGACTAAACCCCCAGAAGGAGGTCCCCCAGATGCCACACTGCGTACCGCCATCCTCTGAACCCATGATCAGACCGCTGCCCCAGCCTGCAGTGTTAAGGAGACAGCACAGCACCGCAGGCACCCAACTGCATTTCAGCCCCACAGCTGTCACCACAGCCTGTGCGTCTCTGGATAAGCCGGTTGCTTATGGCAGCGGTGGTGATGGGGGACTGGTACTTCTTGTTAGCCAGCCTGAGCGCTGGAAGGGGCTGGGTTCTGGCTATCCCAGTCCAGTGGCGGCCAGCGCGTGGCTCTGGGTCCCAGACTGGGCTTGTTTGCGGGTGTGGCCTTGTTCTCTCTGGCTCTGTTAATTCTCGAAGTCAACATGCTCTCTCTCTTCTGGATCAGCTTCTGCTTTCCTTGCATGAAACTCACCGATTCTTTCTCCTGATGACTCAACTTTGCCGTTTAATTCTTTGCAAGAGCTTTCTATTTCCTTATGGAGAGTTTTAACTTATTTCTTCTATTTCCCTCGAAGTTGCTCTTGTCCGCAGGAGTGGTTTCCATGGCTGCGGCTTCTGATCTTCTGGGTTCCTCCAGCATCTCCCTGCCAGGGGATCGAGGGCAGCTGTGTTATCTGTGGAGCTGGTAGAAATCCAGGGTGCACATCCTTTAACACCCTAGGAGGCGAGGGCCACTTCTTAGCCTTCTACCTTGTTCTGCTGAGAAGTGAGACCCTCACTACTGACCAGGTGGCCCACAAGGAGTCTGCTGTCACTGTGGTCTCCTGAGGACAGCAGGGAGGGCCTGAGCCACAGCGAGGTATCCCCCGAGGCCACGCCAGGGTCTGGGGTGGGGTGGCACCCTGTTACTCCCCAGAGGGTCTGCGAGTCTGGCAGGCGCTCCCTGTGTTCTCCCTGGGATCACAGAGGGTGCGGGGGAGAAGGGCTTCTTCCCTGTGTGGCTGGCAAGACAGACAGAGTGGACATCATGGCCACTGTCACAGCCGAGAAGGGGCCGAGGGTGGGCCCCCACATGGCCTTGGCTGTCGTGGTGGGTGGCCACGTCTTGGTCTGTGCTTGTGGGGAGCAGAGCAGTTGTGGCTGAGACCTTTCCATGGGGCGGGGGCTTGCGTCCCCATCCTTCGGCGAGAGACAGCAGGCTTTATTGGGGCGTCTTTGGTCTCTGTCTGTGGAAGCTTGTAGGTTGCCGGATATTTTATCTCCAGGGAGTAAAAAACAAGGAGGGGACTCCCCGCTCTGGTGTTTCTTGAGTCCTCCTCCGTGGCTCACCCTTTTCTTCTGATTTCAGCGGCGTCTTGTGCCTGTCTTGCATACGCTGTAGGAAGGTTTCGTTAGACTCGGAGGGAGGAATGGCCCTGTCTTCCTGGAACAAATTCGTTGTAGAATGTTTGGTTTTTAACCTGGCTTGTCATCCGGTCTGCAGGTTACATCTGGCTGGCCGGGGTGCGGTCTCCACAGAGGCAGCTGTGTCGAATTTAAGAGTCAGCTTTTATTTTTGCCGTGATCGCGTGCAGGAGTGTGACCTGACACTCTCTGTCTCCTGTCTTCCATCCACTGTTCTTCTTCCCCGGGCGAGCGCTCTTGGAGCCCGGGTGGGCGTCCAAGCAGCAGGGTGTCCCACAGACTTCTCTGGGCTTCCGAAGGGGACTCCTTTAGTCCCCACTGCACACTGACACCAGGCTGGGGGCACAGCGTGTGGCTCAGGCCCGCCCACGTGAACTCAGAACACGGTTCTTTCCATGGTCGTGGTTATTAGAGTCCTTTCAGGTCCTAGGCTGAGAACTCCACGCGTCCAGGTGTCCTTCCTGCTCTGTGTTCCTTCCCAGCCAGGTTGCCCGAGCCCACAGCTGTGTACAGCCACTTCCTTCCCCGTGCACATAACACTGCACAAAGGCTCATGGCCCTTGGACTCAGAGTGACACTCTGTATCCATTAGTTGCTTTTTAAAAATCTCTTTTTATTTTTAGGTAGTCAGCATCCGTCGAAGTGTTTGGTACAGAGATTATTCTCTGATGTGAAAGACTGTCACTCTCAGCTCTGAAGGACTGCGGTCTAGTTAATTAGCTTTATAGTGCTAAGCTTTTCTTGTGCAGGAATCTTGGACAATAATAGTAACTACTGAGAATTAGTCCTTCTGAAGAGCAGGGAAGTATTTGGAGATACTCTAGTGCTCAGCAAATACTTCTTTTTGTTACTTACTAACAAAACCTTGCAGAGCGTCCCAGGAGTCAGGTGATGCCTTATGTAAATTTGTAACCTCAAACCTTAATACACAGCGTGGTACCCACTGGGTAGAAACCATTGAACAAATTCGAGAATTAATAACCACATTGACTTATCTGGAGATGAAGATCTTGGAGGGGGTGAAATCGCTGGTCATTTCTGGCAGATGGGGTTTCTTGGGCACATGGAAATAACTTAGGGCAAGAGGTTTATTTGCTGGATTTCTTTAATTCAGCCTCAGCCTTCACCACCACTGGGCCACCGACCGAGCTGATCACTTCGGAAGTCACCGCCAGGAGCTTCATGGTTAACTGGACTCATGCCCCAGGCAACGTGCAGAAATACAGGGTCGTGTATTATCCGACCAGAGGTGGAAAGCCAGAAGAGGTAATGACATGGTTCTTCCAAGCTCTGCCTTTTATCTGTAACTACTTGAAATAATTTGACCAAAATCCATTTCATCACTTCCATATTGCTCTTCCATCTCTCTGAGCTGCGGTATTTATAATCTTTCATCCACCGCATAACCATCAGAACCAGTCTGGTCCACATTCCTAAGTTACATTTCTTCTTAAACATAGTGAATTAGAAAGGAAAGGTTATTAGTACATATTTATCTGGCAGAAGTCCTTTATATAATCATTTTTTTTAAAACCCTGGCGTGTCCTGAGCCCTCTGCCTTAGTAAAATCTGGGAACTGCGAACCCTATGGTGATACACTGGACCGGTGCCACTGGGTTCCAAGTTTCCTGAGCATTTGTGGAGATTGTTGCTGGTAAAAAGCCAGGGGGAAGCTGCCAGCATTTTTCACGGTTGAAGCGAGCGCCCATGGCCAGAGACTGCTTCTCTCCACTCCTACCTTCCATTTAGCTATTCACAGATAATAAATTAAAACGTGGTGAAACCCTCTTCTCCCTCTGTCGTTCTAACCTCGGACTGACCTTTCTCTGTTTCACAATTTCCTTTGCATTATGGCAGGATTTGTGAGGTTTTCAAATGGTAGATCATGAAGTTTTCTGTGTCTTTACATGTCTTTTTTTTTTTTTTTTAATGACTAACGAATCTTTTCGATGTTCCCCAGTGTACCATGGAAACAAGCGTGTGTCCGGGGTTGACGGAGTGGAGGGGACAGATAGCAGAGAGCCGGGGAGGGTGCGGCTTTCAATACGCATGGTTAGCAGATGGCTGTGGACACAAGCCCTAAAAGACACAAGACTCCGTGCGGGAATTCAGGGGCCATTAATCGCTGCAATAGAAGGGAAGACAGGATGGCAGTGATCATCCGCGGGGGAGAGGCGTGTTCTTTTGCCCTAACTCGACGTGTGTGATGTCTCTGATTCCTCACACTCCCCTTACACAGGTGGTGGTGGACAGGAGTGTGACGTCCCTCGTGTTGAAAAACCTGATGTCTCTAACCGAGTACCAGATATCTGTCTTTGCGATCTATGCCCACACTGCCAGTGAAGGCCTGCGGGGAACAGAAACCACGCGTACGTATTTCACTCTGCACCATTTCTCCCGTGGACCGGACCCCGTGCCTTGGTGGGCATCCTGCCTGGGATTCTCGGGGTAACAGCCGTCCTCGGTCCAGCTGGCAGCACCCTGTCACATGAGCGCTAAGGCTCTACTTGGCAGAAATACTGGAGGGACTGCCGTAACCCTCAAGAGGTTTTAGTCCAGTAAGGGAAAACCACAGCCACGTAACCCGTCCGTGCCATGAGGCACTGTGGAATGCGTGCCCAGAGCCACCGGGAGAAGCGAAGCTCAGAACTTGACAATGAGATTGGAAAAGGAAGCAGGGTCACATTACGGAGGGTCTAGAGTTATACCTGAAAGCATGTCATGGCTGTCACCCGCACTGAGAAGCCAGGCCCTGACACGTGTCCTGACCCCTGTCCCCTACCTTCCAATATGGTGCATCCCAGCTTCCACTCCAGTTCTGGAGGACGTTTCTAGTGGCTGAACGGGGACGTGAATCTCTTGCAGTTGCCTTGCCCATGGCTTCCGACCTGGAACTGTATGGTGTGACCGAGAACAGCCTGCGAGTCAGGTGGGACCCGGTGCCGGGTGCCACGGGGTACCTGGTCCTCTACGCACCGCTCACAGAGGGGTTGGCAGGGGACGAGAAGGAGGTGAGTCCTGTGTGCCCGCTGCCATGCTAGGAGCCCAGGTTTGCAGTGTGAAAATCTAATGAGGGAAGCTTAGGAAATTCTGATTGATAAACAAACAGCCATCAGCAGTGGTCTTACCAATGAGAAGTCACCGTGTTAGCATCCAGCTAATACACTTGGTCAGAGCCTCTGGAGTGCGCCAGATGAGAAAGAAGGCCGTGTAGTCTGCTACTGTGCTTTCGTTATTGGGAAAGCCTTTCCCCTTCCAATAGAACACGCATCTATTTGTTTTCTCCAGCTGTAGTAGGTCGCTTTGGTCTGTACAGATTGTGTGTAATTTCATGTTGTTGTCATTGAGACAGCTCACTTACAAATAACACATAACATTCTTAACATCCTTTGCATGTATCATTGCATGATTGCTCAGTTATCTCCTTAGGATACATTTCTAAAATTGACGTTTCTTTTTCAAAGGTATATGAATTATTAAGGCTTGTATTAGTTATTACCAGATGGCTCTAGACAAAGTAACATTTATTTTACTGTATATAGGTAACCATTTTGCCCATATAACCTGAATTAATTTTGTCTTATTAATTTGAGAAATAGATAAATATATCTCATTAATATTAATTTTGCCTTTCTATTTTAAAGTATGAGTACTTGAGTTTCAATTGACTTATTTTAGATTTTTTTTAAAGTTTATGAGGTGGAATCTTACTATGTAGTTCAGGTTGGCCTTGAACTCACTATGTAGCTATGAATTTATGGCAGTCCTCCTGCCTCAGCCTCCCGAGTACTGGGATTACAGGCCTGTACCTTCACACTTAAACTTAGACCTCATTTTTAATTGAGAAGGGGCACTTGCTATAATTTAGACGTAAGGCAAATTCTCCACCCCTCCAATGAGCTTTGGAGGGGCAGTAGACTGATTAAGAGGCCGTTTGGAACTCGGTTCTCAGACCTAATCTAAAATCTGCCACTCACGACTGAAACTTTTAGGGTTAAAAAACAGAGTGAATCTGAGTATCAAGAAACGAGCGCTGATGACAGATACTCTATTTCCAAGGTTTAGGGAAAAATTTTTTTTTTTCATTTGGATGGAAAGTTGATCTGAATGACTTTGGCAGAAGAAATCCTTAAAAATGGTTTTGGCATTATGCTCTGTCTCACTGGAAAAGAGAAAAATAACAGTGAAAAGAATACTAGCTCACACCTGACAGATTATAAAACCTTCTTGAAGTCTGTTGATGCCGTGTGGCAGTGAGATGGGACAGACTCCATCACCCCTCGATGGCTGTAGGCATCTAAATTGGCTCGGCTCCCTGGACGCTGTTTTGAAATATTTCATCATGTTTAGATATATAGCCGAGGGCAGTGTCTTGCAAGAATTTTCAACACAAATGATTGAAACGCAGTGACCCGCCAACAACGCATGTGCCCCAGTGGAGGACTGGAAAATAGTGGTGTATTCATACAAAGGAGCCCATGAAGGAGTTCACATCAGTTCTGTCCCTGCCTGCGTCAGCATAAGTCCTGAAAGATAATACTGACGGGTGAAAGCAAGAAGTCGTAGCAAGATTACGTTGCTATGACAATGTTGTATATAAACACTGAGAATATACTTGATTAGTGTATGTATGCATCCATGCTCAGAAAGTTTTAAAAATAGAGTCAGACAGGACTGAGGATTTAGCTCAGTGGCATAAGCACCTGCCTGGCAAGCACCAGGTCATGAGTTCGATCCTCAGTACCAAAAAAAAAAAAAAAAGTCAGACACATATGAGGGTCAAGGTAGAGGTGGTGAACAGCGTGAACGAGAGAGAACTTAGCCTTGTCTGAAATAATACCCGAAGCCCATGTGACCGAATTTTCATCTTATTAAACCAGAGCAGGGGGGTCACGGCAGGACACATCACATTACTTCCTGCACACCTAGGTGAGCTATGCAGAGACAGCTAAGCCTGGACGTTTGATTGGGCAGTGACCCTGTGACTGTGTGGGTGGAGACTGGCGGTGTTTTCTGTGCTTCTAAAGCATAAAACTTTCTAATCATGGGATGAGTGGCTTGGCCGACCTGCTGCCAAGTTCAGTAGAGCTAGCCCAGAGCCAGCAAGCACATGGCCAGGTCGAGTGTCAAGGTGGACCCGCTCTTCCGGTTGCCGAAAGTGCCTGCAGCCCATTAGACTGGGCCCGCTGTCCAACAAGGACAAACCCGGCCCAGCTTAATGGCACTTGAAGCTAAAACTGGGCCCCCACCCAGCAGGTTAGAATTAGCAGCAGGGACAGATGACACCTGCTTGGGCTGAGGATCACACCCTGCTGACCCAATTCCCTCCGCCTTCCTGGGTCCCACAGCCTCCGCTTCATCACCCTGGCCGCTGCCATCAATTGTGGGCTGTACGAGTTACGCCTGTGCAGCAGGCAGGGGCGTGTTCCCTCCTCTGTGACTTAGTATCTCCTCTCCCTCTAGGAACCGGCCTGGGCAGCATTAGGACCCCGGGCTGTCTGAGGGAGGGGTCGTGAGGAGACGCAGAGTCTTGTTCCAGCCTCACCTGTATTCAGTTCCACGCCAGTCGGTGGGAACAGCACGGCCTGGCCCTCCATCTCATGACCTTTGTTCTTCCCAGATGAAAATTGGAGAAGACCACACAGACATCGAGCTCACCGGGCTGGTCCCCAACACGGAATACACGGTCACAGTCTATGCGATGTTCGGGGAGGAAGCCAGCGATCCCGTAACGGGACAGGAAATGACACGTGAGTGGGAAAGTTGCTCAGCTGGGTAACCATGGACGTGGGGATCGGAAACACCAGATTGGGGGGAAATGCCCTGGGGGCTGGCTGCAACCCAAGAAAATGTGTATTTCCCTCGGGGCAGGCACGCGTGTGTCCCCTGTCTTGTGTTATTCCGAGCGATGTGGATGTCAGAACTGCACTTTAGCATCCTCCAGAGGATCCTACCCTTTGTCACAGTGCAAATGCTTGGTCAGGAGAGAGGGGAGAGCTTGGGACAGCGTCCGAATCGCAGCCATGCAGAGACAGGAGTCTTAGCCCAAGCTGTGTTTTAGCCGGGAGACGTGGGTTGGGGTGGAAACATCTTACAGCGCGAGGCTGTATCACAGCACCACCCGTGGAGCCCTCAGCGCACGACTGCTCAGTGGTTTTGACTGCTTGTCAAAATTAACACTTTTTTTTCTAAAAATCTTTATTCTCTTTATCTGAGTCTTTGTTGCTTTATTTTTATTTTATTTATTTATTTATTGGTACTGGGGATCAAACTCACAGCCTTGTGTTTGCTAGGCAGGCACTTACACCACTGAGCTAAATCCCCAGCCCCTGCATTTTTAAATCAAGTATTTTTTTTATTGGTGAATCTAGTTTTGGCTTAATTTTTTCTTGGGATGGTGCTGGGACTTAGACCCCAAACTCTGTACCTGCTAGGCAAGTGCTCTACCTAAGACTAATTCTAAACTAAATATAGGGGACTCATATTTTTAGGAAATGTCTGTATTTACCTAGTTTTTTAAAAAAAATGTTAGAAGACAAAAATACTACTGTAGCAAACTAAAAATTCTTACCATACACTGTTAAAAATACAGCTGTATTCTAATCCTTTAAAACAGAAGAAAGCAAAGCAAGCTGGACGGTTAGCTGCGCTCCAAGGTTTGGGAAGAGCTAAGACCACAGTTTCTACCCAGTCTTTGTCTTTGAGATTCTACTTGGGAGCACGCAGAGGTTGAATAATAAGGAAATAAGTTTTCCCACATCCATTTCATTTTCTATAGCCAACACTGTGTTGTTCTGCCTCTTCCGAGAAAGGTCCATATAATTCAAACAGCAAACAAACCAAACTGGGGCCAAAAAGCAAAGAATCATTCCAGAAATGATCTAATAGATGATTGGCTGAGTGGAATTTTTGGACGCTGTCTGTTTGAAAGAAAAAGTCTCCCAACCCCTCCCGGTCACACAGACAGCTCATTTATTTATAGGTTTGAAAAATTTATACAACTCTTTCCCATGATTAACATTTGATTTAAAGAAAACAAAGCCAGCGGCCGCTGAGAAGATGACGGCCTAGGTGCTTGTCCCCGGGACTGGCACTTTCATGCGTTAGGAACGCCAGGCTTTGTTTTGCTCTCCTGCCAAGTGCAGCTGAGCGCTAGAAAAACCACAGGGCTAAGCGTGCACAGCACCTGCCCAGGCCACTCATCCCTTCCCTGCACTGCCTCTCTGGCCTCTTCAGTGTTCAGTGACCCTAGTTCTGATAAGTCCTTCACTGTCAAAGAATCAGGGTGTTAAAGCCATGGACAGTTGTCCCTTTGGATCAGGAAGCTTATGCCTCACAGCGAAGGCCGATTGTTGTCCCAGCTCGCCCTCACGGTCTTTGCTGTGTTGCTGTACATCTGGGATTGTGTGGTGCTGTGTGAGGGGTGTGTGGGGAGGGTTAGCATACTAGTTAACACTGCAGGGCCTGGAACTGGTGACTCAGCTGCCTGGGTTAAATCCTTAGCCTCTGCTGTGCCTCGGGACGGTGGCCTCGTTGCCTTCATTGTCGTTAACAGGGTGGGGACGTTGCAGGCTCAGGCTGGGATTCGATGGGTAACATCTGCTACTGTGTGTCAGACTCAGGGAAGCACTTGATAAGTGTCAGCAATTATTGTTACTGTAAATCCGTAAAAGTTCATAAAACTCCAAAAAATTCAAAACCATGGAATTGATAGGCAAGAAGCTACAGGAAAGTTAATATTGCTCTAATTTTAAAGCTTATTTTTACTTAGGCTGACAAAACCACTCTCATCTACTCAGGACAGGTGATTCCTCATTGATGCCTTGAATAGTTCCTGAGTACTTGGCATGTTGGGGATACCCCTGGGAGCAAAACTAAACCAAATTCTCCAATCCTCTGAGGTTACAGGACTTTGCAGGAGAGAGTAAACTAAAAACAGCAATGCAAAAAAAAAAAAAAAAAAAGGCAGAAAAGGCAGGTGGGTAGTGTTGGGGTACGGGAGTTGTTTTACATGAGGTGACCATGGAAAGTCCCCCCCAGAAGACGGCTGTGTTGACGGGTGGGGAGCCCTGCCATGCAGGTGTCCATGCAGATATCCCAGTAGGCGAAAGGGTCAGCAAGTGCATTGTCTTGTGAGTGACCATAACTGGAGGGTCCAGCACAAAAGAATGGCAGTGAGTGTCATGAGCCAAGGAGGGGATCATCGGAGATGGGGCAGCACGCTGGCGGGGTCCAGTCCCCCCGAGTCACCATGGCTATGGTAAGAGCTCAGGGAGCCCTGGGCGAGGTTTTGGGTAGAGGAACAGACTTTGTGTGTGTGGTGTGGGCGTTAGAGGAGCCCTTGGCTGCTCCTCTGAGAGCTCTGCCTGGGGAAACCACTGAGAAACCTGCGCTGGGAGCAGAGTGGGGGATCAGATGTGGAGGGTTCAGGCTGCAAGGGGTGGTGAGCGCAACAGGAATCCAGGACGGACCGGGGTTTTGCTTTGTCTTAACCATCAGAAGCAGAGCATTTCCACTTGCTCAGAGAGGAGGGAGGAGGGAGGAGGGAGGAGAGGGCTGGGGAGGACTCAGCCATCCAGGTTTTGATGGGTTTGCTGGAGACGCCAAATAGATGCCCGTTGGAGGCGGCAGCTGGCACCTTTGCTATGCGTGTGGGAAACTGTAAGATGACGAGAGGGTGGCTTCCAAAGAGCCACAAGATAGCCCAGGGGAAAGCTAGGATTTGATTTCCGGTGTCCTTTTTTTTAAATCTTTTTATTGGTACCGGGGATCGAACTCAGGACCGCCTGCTTGCAAGGCAGGTGCTTATGCTGCTGAGCTAAATCCCCAGCCCCCTTATTTTTAATCCATTGCATTTCTTGCTTATGTCAGGCTATCCTGACGGCACCAACTGAAGTAAAAATGCAAAGAAAATTACTGAGCCCTTATCAGCACATACACCTTTTCGAAATTCACTCTCTACTAAGAATACTTTTTTCTTCGTTAACGAGACAACACTATTAATTTTTTTGTGAGACAATTCATTGGTTGTTTCAGGATGATAAATTATTGTCTGGGTGACATTTTTCATATGAAATAGTTTAGAAGTCAAAGATGCCATTTCTTACCTTTTCTTACATATCTGTCGTTTAAAATTTTAATGATTTTTCTTTTCCGTTCACTGCAAAGTACCTCTAAGTCCACCAAGAAACCTGAGAATCTCCAATATCGGCTCCAGCAGCGCTCGGTTAGCCTGGGACCCGACCTCCACGAAGACCAGTGGTTACCGAATTGTCTACACCAGCGCGGACGGGACTGAAATCAATGAGGTGAGTTGCAGAGTTGATGGATCTGTTTCGAGGCTGTTGCGTGTTAGTGGTTAAAGGCTGCAGCATCGAAGCCCGGTGGCTGAAAACAACACTGCTTTCTTCTATGTGTCCGTGGGTCCGGGGTTGGTGCTTGTATGTGCTGTTGGGGTGGGAGGCCACACATGAAGTGTCGCCCCAAGGTGGCAGGGCCTGGAGGAACTCCTGCATCTCCACAGCTCGCAGCTCCAGGGGAGTCGGCTCAGGAGGCCGAGGACACATGTCCACGGGGAGACCGTGTCACCTTTCATGACCTAGGCTTTGAAGTCATCTGACATCACTTTCACCATATACTATTGGCAGGAGCTGCCACAAGCCACTGCCTGGCTTCTAGGTGGTCCCAATTCAGTTCCCACCTGTCCTGGGAGGCCGCCAGTCACATAAGCAGAGTCCGTAGGGCAGGAAATGTGCATTGCTGTAGTCTCCTTGTAGAACGTGACCTGACAGGGCGGATGGGGATGGGGAAATCCACATCTTGGTGGAAATGTACTCTGCTTGCCCGGTTTGTCCCTCTGCTGTGAAGTACATTGACACCCTCATTAGATGAGCCTAAATTTCAAAAATAAACAATTGGACTTTTGTTTAAGAAGATACTTTCAAATAATGGCACTTACAAAACTCAGGGAGATACAGTATCTTACATGCAGTGACTAATGTTTACAGAAATGCCTTTCTTGGGAATATGTTTTTAGCAAGATAGCGAGGTTATTTTTGTTTTATTTTTCCTTATCTTGGTCCAGGAAGCTGAGACAAATGGGAACTATATTGGATTACATCAGTTCTATTTTCTGACCAAATAAAGCAAGTGTTTTCATATGCCGAAACAAATTTTTTCCGACAGTTAAATCCAAGTAATATTTTATGAAATGCACTTTCATAAGGAATACTGTGAAGCAAAAGATCACTCAGTGTACATTTCCCCACCTGCACGAGCGCCGTCCACCCTCTCCCTGAAACCCCTGTAGGTCCTGAGGGTAGATAATTGGGGTGCGTCTGAGGCCTCTGGGACTAGTTGCTTTGTTTTTTGAAGTCAGGAACCTGGGGCCGTGAAAAGATTAAAATAAAAGGGGCTGGGGATTTAGCTCAGCGGCATAAGCGCCTGCCTTGCAAGCAGGCAGTCGTGAGTTCGATCCCTGGTACCGATAAAAAGGAAAAAGACCAAAAAAAAAAAAAAAAAAAAAAAAAAAAAGATTAAAATAAAATCCACCAAGCCACAAGTGTCTCTTTGGGCCCGGTAATAGACAAACAGCTTCCCCGGAGTTGCAGCCCTGGCTGTGCAGGAGGGCCCGGCGGGTGTACAGTGCATGAGGCAGCGGCACGCACTGCGTGTGCACACAGAAACTCCCGCCAAGAAGCCCCTCACCAAGGTCTCCCCTGGGACCCATGGACGTGGAAGAAACCCTCCGCTTAAAGAGACAGCTGAAGGCCGGTGATGACAATGGACAATGGAGGTCAGTGACAGGCGCGTAGGCTGAGGAGGAGGTGTGCTCCCATCCAGCTCCTGCGCCCTAAAGGTCCAGGCGGGCAGCCAGGTCCCGGGCTCTTGGTGAGATACAGGAGTTTCTGTTTTTCCCTGAAAACTACCAACTTAAAGATGGTAGATTCGTTAATTTATTTTCCTTGTGGAGCATCCTTCTTTGGTAATAACTTTTTAATAAAGCCAAAACACCCTTTCATAGGCACAAATCCATGGTACTTATAACCGTAACTGTAGTAATGAAGAGTAACCATTCTCTGGGTCCATAGCCCGTTACCTGGCTGACTTAAAAACCACAGAAGCTCAGTACTTGTGGCTCAGAGGTTGGGCCCTCCCAGGGCAAGGCACTGCAGGCTCGGTGTCCCGAGAGGCCCGTTCCTCATAGGTGACACCTTCGGGCCGCGTCACCCCATGAAGGGTGAGCACCCAGGCTCCCGTGGTGCCTCTTATCAGAGACCCCACCCGAGGCCTGGCGTTCCAGTGTCACTGCACAGGGTCAGGTATTAACATTCAGCCCGCAGCAGCTGCCCGGGCTTCTCCTGACGGATTCTGTGCTGTTCATTCTTGTCAGGAATGGCCCCAAGCTAGCAGAGTGGCTGAGGGTGTATTTGTGCCTTTTTGCTGTGCCGTTCAATCTTAAGGATGCCTTTGGCATTTCCTATTTCTAACTTTTTCTGGGAAATTAGAGCATCACATGTGGTGAAACTCAGTATAAAAATCAATCAATGGGTTTCAAATGAGGATCTGAAGACGTTTGATTGAATACGCTCAGTACGTAATAAGGGCTTTTGCTTTCCATGCGATTAATACTTCTCTGCCCACTTCCTCCTCCTCTTGCCCTCTCTAGTCTACTTTGCCTTGTGAATCCTCATGAAGTTAGACTGAGGTTTTAGCTAGAAGCTCGCAGAACTGTTCTTAAAAATAGTTGCAAGCAATGAGCTCACGATTGTTACCATTTTCTTCAAATTCTCCACATTTTAAAAGCACTACCAATCAAATCTGTTCTAGAATAATTTAAACCATAATAGTATAACTAATAAAAATAAATGATACCTTTGATGAGATAAAATAACTAATGGTAAAATTATACAAATATAGTTACAAATAAAATGGTTTGGGAAATAACCTAGATATTTTTCTAACAGATACACATACACAGTTATATGCTCATATTATAACTACTGGTCTATCTGTTTCTTTATCTAGGAAGAGGAAGAATGTGTGTGTTTATATACGTTTTTCCCTTTAGTCTCTCAGTGTACCTAAAAAGTTTGGGTTTTAACTGCTTTTGCCTATGTTTGATATCTTTGCAAAGTTCCTATTTGTCGCAGATTTGCAATTTAGAAATGAAGTCAAGGCCTAATGTGCATTCTGGTTAAGGGTTTTATGGCGCGGGAGGAATTTGTAAGCTCTTTGGACTTCCGGTTCTCCTTGAACAATTACTATCGTAGGCAACCAGGGTTTGGGAGGGGAAAGGTCTCTGCTTGAAATAACGTGTGTAGAGTCCCTGGTGCCTTCTCGGTGTTCAGCAGGTCTTCACCATGATGGTCTGTAGCGTCAGGAGGCAGTAGGTAAATAGTTTTGCACTTGTGGTTGAAGTATGGGTTTGCGTTTTCTGCGAGTTTAAATAATGAGACTGTCCTGCAGGAAGTGTCTAAGAGAACAGGATTTCAAGTCTGAAGCACCTGGGTGTAAGTCTGAGGTGGGCTGAGACCCTAACGCGTTTCCCCCTTGACACCGGGGGCAGTGAGTAGCCGCCCTGCAGTGGCGTGGTGAGGACAGAGTGACCTAGTGGCAGGGAACTGTGCCACAGTCCCCAGGCCGAGGTCAGTGCACCTAGGAAGGACCCGCGAACCCGTCAGTCCCTGCTTCAGAGGGATGCACACACTCCCAGGGGGCTTGCTGGGTTGTTGACTGGGGCTGGAAGTCCATCGTGTGGGCCCAGCTCTGGGGGCCATTCAGCCCTGCACGTGCTGTTGCCTGAGGTGTCACTCGCCGAGCTGCTGGGGTGACTTCATTCCCATCTGGTGTCTCAGCTGGTGGCAGAGAGCCCTGGGGTCACTGGCTTCTCCAGCACTGGCTCCAAAATCATCCAGAGAAAGAACTGGCCCTCAGTGGCATGTGCTGCCCGTCCTAGGCACAGAGCGGGTACCAGGTCACTCGGAGCCTGTCTGTCTCCACCTCGTCGGTTTCCACCATTTGCGGGTGGAGATGAGAAATGTCTACATGGGAGTTTGTATCACTGAGTGAACTATTTCATAGCATTCCGGGCTCTCCTCTCCGCTAAGGGAGCACAGAGCACAGTGATCCCGTGCTCAGGGTGGCGCTCAGGGTGGTGCTCAGGGTGGCATCCCAGGCGCAGCTTCCAGGACTGCTGTGTTTTGCAGGTTGAGGTCGACCCCATCACCACGTTCCCTCTGAAAGGCTTGACCCCGCTCATGCAGTACTCCATCGCCGTTTTCTCCATCTACGACGAAGGCCAGTCTCTGCCTCTGGTAGGGACTTTCACCACAGGTAAGCTTCGGTATTCCACGGAAGGTTTTCAGCAGGACCTGTGCAGAAGCCAAAAGTTGCAGCAGCTCCTTCAATGGTGATTTTTTAAAAAAAGATTGCGCTTTAATTTTTAAAATATTAACAAGCCAGGAGAGGTCCATGCCTTTAATCCCATATCTCTGGGAGCCTGAGGCAGGAGGGTTAGAAAATTTAAACTTCACAGCCTGAGAAGTTTGAGTGACTTGGCCAGACTGTGTCCCAAAATAAAAAATAAAGAAAACACAGAGAATACAGCTCAGCGCAAAGGTCCAGCATTGCCAATAAACAAATGAGTAAAATCATGTGTATCCTGGCTAAATAGGCATCGAAATTTAACACGTCTAAGTTTTTAGAAACTATATTACTCACTTCATGATCTCAAACTTTTTTTTTATTCCTGGATGTAAAATTTTTACAACTTTTTTCCATTCATGTGTACATTAACTTGAAGTTCCAAAACTGCTGATATCCTGCAATTTTTGACCACGAAAAGACGTTTTCATACTGTTTAGTGTACTGTTCTACAGCTGGTACTGTGCTTAACACGATCAGGAAGGTTTAACACTAAAGTGAACTGGAAGGATGAATGCATTACTTTCGTTTTCTGTACGGACCCGATAAGTACCAAACCCTTTTGTCTCTTGGTGGCCACGATTCTGTTGTCTTACTGACTTCCTGACCGCACTGGGAAGCAAACCCAGCTCTGTGTCACGGAGGTGAGAAAGTCCTTGAGGAGGAAAAGAGGCGTCTGCATTGAGAACTGATTGTGTACAGAAAAAGCCAGTGATTTCTCGGAATCCCCCGAGGGCGGAATTCCCAGGGTGTCCTATCTGAGTTTTAAAATCCTGATCTCAGATAACAAAGATGAACACCAGACACATTTATCAGCGTGCTGTTGGAGTTGTGCGTCTCCAAAGTGTGTGAACTGTGAATAGCTAAGGGTCTCACAAGTTAAACCGTACTTCTGATGACATCCTAAGATGGAAAACATGGAAACAGGGAAGTCCTTCCCCAGGCAGGGACTGATGTAACCACTAAGCCGATGAGAGCTAAAAGGGACCATGTCTCCAGTCTCTATTTGTCAATTTCCTCAAACTATTTGGCATATAATATCCTGATAAAATAATAAATATGGAATTTTTATTTACTCTACTTAATGAAAAGAGCCAAGTAAACAAGCTAAGGATTCCGTAATTACTGGAAAATCTGATTTCTGTGTTTGCTGATTTACGCTGTCAGCCCACGCCACACCGGCTGGCACACTCCTGCCTCCTGTGGTATTCCAAAAGCAATAGATGCCTTGAGGAGTCCTCTCCCTCGCCGTCCCTGGCTTGCACCTCGGCCTCCCAACCTTCTCATTCCCTAACACGATTTCCTTCCTGGCGGACAGAGGAAGTCCCAGCCCAGCAGTACTTGGAAATTGATGAGGTGAAGACAGACAGCTTCCGAGTGACCTGGCACCCGCTCTCGGCCGAGGAGGGACAGCACAAGTTGATGTGGATCCCGGTCTATGGCGGAAAGACCGAAGAGGTGGGTGCCCCGAAACGCCCCCCCAGGTTAACCCCGTGCAGCTTGCTAGCTGGACGTGTGTCCCTGCTGGCACACAGGAGCTGTGTGTTCCAGGTAGATGGGGAGCTCCGGAAGTAGTGGACGTTTACTGGCCCTTCATAGACGTCATACCTTTTCATTTAAGATTAAAATGTATTACTACCACTGCATTTATTGTATATCTTATATATTTTCAGATTATTTGACTTTCTTGAGTGACATTTAATGACACTGCCAAATGCCACTCTTGCAGCATTAGAAAGCTATCTGTTCTTTAGCCCAACTTTTTGATTGATTTCTGGCCTAGAGTTTGTTATGCCTGCTTATTTCCTGCTTTTTATTTGTGTATCTCTTACCTTCCCTTCCCCTGTGATTCAAGTGAACCTAATGACCAAGCAGAACCCTTTCCAGGTGGTCCTGAAGGAAGAGCAGGACTCCTACGTCATCGAAGGCCTGGATCCCGGCACTGAGTACGAAGTCTCGCTCCTGGCCGTGCTGGACGATGGCAGTGAGAGTGAGGTGGTGACCGCCGTGGGGACCACGCGTAAGTCTCTGGCCAGCGTGGACTTCGGCAGCTCCCGTGCCCCATGGTGATGCCGGCTTCCTTTGCGAGGGTCTCCCTCCGTCAGCTTTAGCCTAGGCTGGGTTCCACTTTGTCGCCCAGAATTCTTTAGGGGTCACTACCTTCCACAAAACCAGTAGGCGAAGCATCTTAGTTAGACTGTTGTCATCCTGGAGGCTTGGACCAATCCATTCTGTTCCTTATTATAGTCTTAATATTTGGCACATTTTAACTGTGCAGTGTTCACTGGAGGGATGGGTGGGTGCTGCATGCATGGGTAGCTGGGTGGGTGGACGGATGGACAGATGGATGGATGGATGGAGTGATTTATACACGAAGCTGGAAAACAAAGAAATCTAGAGCTTAAGAGTTGCTGGAATTTTCCAAGTTGGTCTTGGTTCCAAGAATTTTGCACAAATTCTCCTGCTGAGTGATGATTTATCCCATCATTTTTTAAAAATATGAGGTAGGAAGCACATATTAAATTCTCTCAGACGGGGTTCCTGGGGGCCAGAGTTGGAGACAGGAAGTTGCATCCTGAAGGTCTATCAGGAGACAATTATGTGAGACACAGAAGTCAGTGGTATAGGGCTGGGAGAAGGTGGAGCTGAGTCCTCAGTGAGGCCTTTTAGATGCTCCAGCTTTGGGATCGTCCTTCTGAATTCTCTAAAATCGAGGTGAAGGGGCTGGGACTCAACACCCCTACATCCCTGGTTGTGGGAGCTGGACTGTCCTGGGCGGGCAGGGCAGGCAGGGTGGACGTGCCTGGTGAGTGTGGTGTGGCCTGCACATGCTCAGGAGCCCGCTCGGCTGCCGCAGACCCTGCAGGCCCAGAGTGGACACAAGACACACAGGTGCTCTTCTTGCCTGAGTGCACCGCCCACCTTGGTGGTCTTGTTGGCAGCCCTTACACAACTTGGTCTCCACACCATTTAACTTGCTTTAAATATCAAGGCTTCAGAATAGTTGGAAAACTCCACAATTTGGCAAATGGAATCCAAATGTTTATGTGAAGCCTAGTGTCTGTGACAGGGAACTTGAACTTCTCTAGGTTTCAGTTTTCTTATCTTGGAGACAACGTCTGCCTTACCTAACCATTCATTCAGTCTTCCAGCCACTGACAACTTTGTTTTGGAAAGAAACGAGACCATGTAGGTAAAATGTTTTATGCGAAGATACGGAGCTATTGTTCTTACAGAATCTCGAAGTAGCAAATACTTTTTGTTTTGTGTTTAGTTGACAGTTTTTGGACAGAACCAGCCACCACCGTAGAACCAACCAGACCTGTAACATCAGGTAAGGGCGCGTGGGACCCCATTTCCTTCTGTTTGATTTAGACAGAGAAGCTTTCTTCCAACTTTACTTCCATCATTAGCTAGAGAAGAGCTGCTCCTACCTTTTTCCATGGCAGACTAGGTCACACTTTACCCCTAGAGAGTCCTCCAGTCTCTTTACCGCTGCCCATAGCGTCCACCCCTCTCGCTGTGACATCTGTCCATGGGTCCATCTCTGTCTTGGAGTCCTGCTTGCTTTTCCGGGCATGGTCATGTAGCATCCTCCCCAGGGCCCTTGGCCTTTTTCTTATCTCAGTGACTTCTGCCACTCATATCAGGGTCTGTGCAGATATTTCCGTGGGGAACAACTTTGGCTATTTCCTCTCTCAGCTGAGCGCTGTCTGCCTCTGCAGGACACCTCTGAGCCATCTGCACAGACAAATGGGGACACAACAGTTGAGTAACATCATTTACTGTCCTGTCAGTTGGGTAACATCATTTACTGCCCTGTCTGAAACACTCCAGGAGCTATGAGGTTCCCATGCATTTGCTCCTCCATTTGTCTTTACGGAGTCCTAAGCTCTATTGTAACATCAAGATCTTTCCCGATAGTTTCTACTTCTCTTCCTGGCTTCAGCGGTAGTACCCATTCCTCTCCATTTGCTCCTTCCGTCTGAAACTCCTTGCCTCCAAGTTCCCTTCCATTCCCTCTGCCAGCTAAATGCCAGCGCCCTACCTCCTCTGTGATAGTTCTAGTGTTTTTTTCAGAAGCTAAGACCCGACATCATGTGACATCATGAAGAGTCTGATGATTGTTAGTGGATGAATGAATGGATGAAGAGCAAGGGGGTGCAGTGGGGGTGGTGGGGATGGACAGGGAAAAGGAGACCGTAGAAAGGAAGAGAAGCGCTGGGAAGGAGGAGGCTTTGAAGAGAAGGATGGACCTGTCGGCACCCAGGAGGGGAGTCGGGGAAGCGTCAGGGGAGACTGTGCTGGCCGGGTGGGTGCAGGCCCCGTGAGAACTGTGCTGGGGTGACGGGTGTTAAAGCAGACGGGACGTGGGGAATGGATGGGTGGTGAGTGCTGGCTGCACGGGCAGGGAGCTTCTCCCACAGAGCGTAGCGTGGGGTTCTCGTGACCCCACTCCTCCGTGGGCTCACAGTGAAGGTACAGAGCAGATGACTCGGAGTGGCCCTTGGCGTTGTCCTGTGAGCCTCTCTGGAGCCCGTTTTGGTTTGCTCCTGGTCAACGTCTCGGCTTCCTGTGGACCCCCGCAGGGGAGCGGCTCCGGCTCCTGGAACCGCGTTAACCGATGCTCTCCCAGCCCCGCGTGGGTTCGGTGCAGCGTGGTGAGCTCAGTGTTCTCCTCTCCTCCTGTTGCGTTTGTTCTAGTTTCGCAGACAGGAATCAGGAACCTGGTGGTAGATGACGAAACTCCCTCCAGCCTGCGGGTGTCGTGGGACATTTCCGACAGCGATGTGGAGCAGTTTAGGGTGACCTACCTGACGGCTCAAGGGGACCCCGCCGAGGAAGTGGTCGGAACGGTCTGTATTGCAGCTGCAGACCCCCTAACACCACTAACAAGGCCGGGGAGACCACGCGAGCTGTCCAGCTTGGCTCTCGCTGCCCGCCGTCCCCGCAGGCTAACGCGCTTTCTGAGTCTGAACCTCGCTGCTTGTTTCCTGAAGGCCTCTCTGTCTCTGGCTCCTGCTCCACAGTACTTGCTGCAAGCTGGGAAAGCTCCTGGCATTGCTGCCACAGCCTCGGCTGCTCGCTAGGGCATCACATTGGGGCGCAGAGGGGCTGGTGTGTGTCGTGTTCCTCTATGTGCACATCCACACGGAGAGCTCTGACATAGGAGCTGCATCACCAGGTCTCAGGAAAGCCTTCAGGTGCAGAGCACAGCAAAGGTCTTCTGTGTCAGGCGGACGTGACCCCGACACATGGTCCTCTGTCAACCGACAGCTTTATTTCTCACTCATAGCAACTCGTTTTGAGCACATTCATAGTCATTTCTTGGTTTTTCTCCATCGTGGAAGTCTCTCTCTGACTTTTGTGTGCTGAGTTTTCTTTAACATGTTGTATTTATGTGTTTTCGTTAGTACACATTTGCAGGACATTTTTCCATATGGTAACCCCGGCCTCTCCAGGGTTCTTAAATGTATCCCACGTCATCCCATTTAGTCTGGGACCTGAAATTGTTCCCTAAACACATGCCTGGTTAGCCCCTACGGCTGCATGCTTCAGCTGCAAGAAATTCACCTTTTTCATCACTAAAATACGCCTTCTGTAGCTTATCAGTTGCATCTTCCGTTCTCTGCCGTGTTATGTTTGGTCTCTGGGACAGGAAGCTCCCTGATTCGTCACTGTTGAGGAGCAGCAGTAGGCCTTTCCTCCCTTCCTTCCTCACAAAGGCTCTGATGGAAGAAAATGATGCACGTACACAGACGGTGGTGTGCCCCAGGACCGCTTCAGAAAGCTTTTCCTGCCAGCTGAAGGGGGACCAGGACAGGGCAGGAACAAGGGCCCCTCCGCTGGGAGAACCAGGGTCCCTGCCCTGGTCTGGGAGACTTTGGGGGAAGCTAATGGACACTCACTTCCATGAACTAAGCTGAATTTCAAATCCAGTCCAACCGTACATTTCGAATAATTCATGGCTGGCATATTCAAACATACTAATGTGGCGTGTGAGCGTGCCAGTTAATTAATTTGGGCATTTTATTTTTTGTTGTCATGGTCCTCCTGTTGTAATTTAGTTCCTCCAAGTGAGACTCATCGCAATTTCCTAGTGTGAGACGTTTTTTGCTTTCTTGTATTTTTTTTTCCACTTGTTCCAAGAAATACATTAGGCTTCTTGGCAAATTATTCCTGCTACATTGGAAAGGGTAAAACCTAATCTCACACATGCACTCAGGAGTTATGCAAGGTAAAACTGTGATAATATTTACTTTGGGTTGTTTCTAGATAATTTTCACTTGGCCATTTGCATTTAGCACTGCTTGCTTTTGAAAGGCTTGGACACCTAGGTGAAGGGGAAAAAATAAAAAGATTTAGTTTCCCTAGTTAAACAAACCTTTCACAAAAATGAAAAAACACAGATAAATTTAGTAGTGATAACTTACTGTACAGAAGTGTATATTTTTGTTTCAGCCGTCTAAAAGAAAATACTGTAGAATTCTTTAAATACTCAGCTCTTTTAGTGAATGTTAATGAAACTGGATTTGGGGCACAATTTGTATGCCCTTTCTTAATTTATAGGGACTAACCTGTGGATTAACTGAGATTTTATATCTGTTTTAGCAAGTGTTTCTGCTGCTGTAGAGATGTGGTGGATGGACATTGCTGGAGATAGGAAGTGGGCTGCCCCTAGGTTATGAAATGAAGACAGGACAGTCAGCTGCCAACTTAGGCCAGCGTCCAAAGTCTTGAAGTTGAACAGGTATCAAAGTGTATCTTAAAATAATCATGCATTGCAGGGAAAGACAGATGGGTAAAATATAGTAAATGCAAGAAAGGAGACGTGACAAGGAGAGAGGGACACCGCTGGCCATCTTCCCCATTTCTCCTTGACCGTAAGAGCTGGTCATGTGTACATGGGGGAAGGGTAAAGCAGACAGCATATGGATAGAATGTTGTGAATCAAACTGTAAATGACATTTACTCCATCAAGTTACCTGAAATATTTACATTCTAGGTGCAATCAAATCAACCGCACATTTCCAAGGAGAGGTTTTTGAACATTTAGAAATAAAACTCCCATCAAATATCCGAAAAAGATTGACTTTTGGCTGTGCTTTAGAGCATGGCAGGGTGACAGTGACCTTTGCCAGTGGAGGGGTGTGGCCTCTTGGTCACTGGTAAAACCCTAGCCAAGAGTCCAGATTCCCAGTCTCATGTTAAAATCTTCACCCCCACCGGAAGTCTGAGTTGCAAGGAGTTTTCCATCGCAGGTGCCTCTGTGATCATTCAGATCCTGAGAGTAAGCTTTAGAAGCTTTGGCACCACAGGGCCAGCACAAGGGCCTACTTTTCTAGCAATTTTTCTAGCAATTTGCTTTTACTGCATTTTATATAAATGTTGGTTTGCAGTGGTGGAGTAAAAACCACTATCACCACCACCTCCACCAGCTTGGCATCCAGATGGACTGTCTGGAAACAGAAGCTGCAAAGAAGGGACCTGGGCGCACGGGGAACCTTCCCCTGCAGGGGTCCGCTTGCCGACAGCAGTTGGGCTGCTCTGAAGTCCTCTGGGAAACAACAGAGCCAGACCCAAAGCTTCATTTCTGAAAAGATCAGTCTGGGTTTGCTTCCTGGTTAACCGTGAGAGTCCTTTCTGGATCTTCCGTGGCCCGTGGTGTCTCGTTGTCGTGAGACCGTGTATATCTTTAGCCCTGCTTAGCTCAGACAAGCACTGCTCAAGCCGGAAGAATTCTGCACAGCCCGGAGGAGATTCACACTTTACTCTGTGGGATGAATTTCAGCAGGGCAAAAAGGTTCAAGCAATTCATTCATGTGGAATGGAAGGCAAATATTAAAAGCAAGGCCTGAGCCAGATTCTTGGGCTTTCAATATGGCTCCTTTATCGAGCTATAGGGTCCTCAGTTTTCCCATCTGTAGAATGAACATGATGATACCCCGTACCTCAAAAGGTTGTGGTGAAAATTACGTGAATGTCTGTGTTCGAATACTTAGCATAGCATCTGCATGTAGTATTTGGTAGATAAGGAGGGCCACTCTTATAGACCACAGAAATTACTTCCTGGTGACCTAAATGAGTCCTGCAAAAATGGTCACACTGCTGTCTGGTAGTCCGCAGGCTAACTTCAATGGCTACAAGAATGTGCTTCTCAGCAGGAGAGATGCCCTTGTTTAAGGAATAGCAGCATGGGTGGTTTGCTAGACAGACAGCTGGGCCTTGGCCCCAGAGGCTGTATTTCAGAGGAACGCCCAGAAGGACCCTCCCTCCAGCCAGGACAAGTCGGGACGGCCACCACTCTCTGAATCCAGCCTTGATGCCAGGGTGTCTAACTCACCTGGAACCCAGTGGGGCTCCTTTAGTCCGAGAGCTGCCTCCTGGGACCCTGTGCCCAGGAATCCAGACATCGCTGAGCCTACAATGCCACTTCTACAGATCCAATAAGACTCACTTAATTCAGACTTCTTTTATTCATATTAAAAAGCATTGCTCTGGAGAGCTTAGTAATATCTTAGCAACAGCTGCTCGGGGTTCAACTTGAGGCTTTCGAGGGCTTTCTCTCTGATTTATGGGTTCCTCCCCTCATCCAGAAGTAGACGGCACCGCCCTCAGCTGCTGGCATTGCACCCAGCGCTCGCATGGGAAGCTTCTCCATCTGTCCGGTCTTGTGACTCCCCAGAGCCGCTTGGGTCTCCTCTTACGGCCTCGCTTCCCTCCACTGCGAGCCCGGTGCTTTGCACAGTTGAGGGCTTGCGTGGCGGCTGGCTAAGGAGCACAGCAGAGCTCTGCCGTGCAGCACCAGGGACCTGTGGCTTCTCAGGTCCGCACTGTCCCCTCGGGGACACCCTGGTTGGCACCTTGAGCCCCGTGGCATGTTGCCTTGTCCCTCCCTGCCATAAGTCTTTTTTTGGCAGTCTGTGGAGACAGAGGGATGGTGCTTCCAGACTGCAGAAGACATCGCTTTTCAGACATTTAAAAACAAATCAGCAGCACTTTTTAGTGTTGCTGCTAAGCAGGTTTCAGCTCTCAGGCCCTGGCCAGTGGGCCTGTTGCTCTTGGCTCGCAGCCAGCCTTTCTAATCGCAGGAATGAAGCCAGGGGTCAGGGCATCTCTGCAGCAGGAAGCCCGGGGCTGAGTGTGCAGGAGGACATGGAGGCCTCTCCCCACAGAGAGGCAGCAGTCTGGGGTGCAGGATAAACACCCTCCAGTCTTCAGCACCAGCTGCACGTTCTGCTGTTATTCTGACTTCTGGGTACTGTACACATCCCAAGAGATGCTGAGAGAAGGCTGCTCCTGGGGGCGAAGCGCTTCTGGTCCTGTGTTAGTGATTATATCCCAAGGGCCGGGAGAGGGCCGGGGAGAGATGCCGCTGCCTGAATGCCGCTCCTTTCTAACAACTGTCAAGTGCTGCTTGCTTCTCCTGATTAAAAACATCTACCATCAATGCTTAGGTCGTAGGTCAGAGGGGACAGCGGATCTTACATGTACCTCGGTCCTTGATTTCTCTGTCGCAGGTCATGGTGCCTGGGAACCAGAACAGTGTCCTCTTGAAGGCCCTTCTCTCAGACACAGAATACAAAGTCACTGTGACACCCATCTACTCCAACGGAGAAGGCGTTAGCGTCTCTGCACCCGGAAAAACCTGTAAGTGCAGCCCTGCCCCTGCGAGCTGCCTCCTGGTGTGGGCTCCCTGAACGCAGCCTGAGAGACAAGATGGGATCCAGTGTCGAAAGAGAAAGAGAGGGCTGGGGATTTAGCTCAGCGGCACAAGTGCCTGCCTGGCTAGCGTGAAGTCCTGAGTTTGATCCTTGGTACCAAACAAATAGAAAGAAAAAGCTCTGGGAACAGAGATCTGCGCTAGAGTCCCTCTGCATGCCCTGGGGAGGAACTGCTTTCTTCTCCAGTACGGGATTCATCCCAAGTCCTGCTGATCCCCTGAAATCCATGCTTTGTGTCTGTTCATTTCCTGCCCATTTCAACCCAGACCTTAGACCTTGCCATCTCTCCCTGGATGAGCGCTGGCCGCTATGGGGTCTCCCTCGGGTGCTTTAGTTGTCAGTCCCGCAGCCACGCCTGCCTCCTGCGCCTCCCTGGACCTGCAGGCCCGTGCACTGCCAGTGCTCGCTCTGTGAGGACTCTCCTGTCCCTGATCGTCGCCAGTCTGCCTCCCCGACCCTGCCTTCTGCACGCTCCATGCCACGTAGCTCAAATTCAGCAGAACCTGCCCGTTTGCAGTTTGTTTGTTTGTTCCTTTCTTTTCCACCGTGATTCCTCACTGTTTACAATCTGGGGTGCTCTTGTCCACTTCAGTCTGTGTCACGAGGGTCCGGGGCTTGCCCATACCCATTTGCCCAGCCTGCCAGGCTACAGCTACATCCAAGGCATGGGGAAGGGGTCCTAAGCGAGTTGTTTAAGATGACTTGGCCGTAATTGCCAAAAGGGGAATGTGTGTGCAAACCCTTGGCCAAAGCTCCCAAAGGCTTAGGAGTCTTCATTCCTCTTGAGGCGCTCGATATCAGCATAAAGCGTACGTTAAGCTTAACGGCACTAAATGATGGCCTTTTCATGATGCCTCAGTTGCATGGGGCAGGATACCAGCTAGTGCTGCTGGGAAATTTTTCATCCCACGTACTGGTTAGCATGGCCCAGGGTCTCCTCCTGGGGACCGGGTCACCCCCACTCGTGGCCTTTGGGTGGTGATGGCTGGCCGCAGCCGAGTCTCTCTCCATAAACCTCCAAGCCTCTGATGGGGTTTTCCAGCAAGACTCTCGCCCAGTGACTCAGGACTCCGAGAGTAAGAGGCGATGAGCAGAGACTGCTCGGATGCTGCGGGGTTCCTGCTGGCACAATCCGTGTCACTTCCACAGTCATCTGCAGGTCAAGACAGCCACAGAACCAGCCAGATTCAAAGAGAAAGTCAGGGCCTCCACTCCACTCCTCAGTGGAAGCAGGGCCCAAAGTATCCGTGACCACCTTTACTCCTTCGTAACAGCCAGTGGTTTCCTGGGCTCAGGTGCAGAATAATTTCAACGGTGGCTTCAGAACCCGGCACCCCAGGGTGGGTTTCCCGCCTGGGTCTTCGCTAGTCCTGACTCTGCTGCTGCACAAATAGGCAACACCTCCGGGCGCTGGGATCTGTGCCTTCTCCCCATGGCTGCTCTGCACCCTCCGGACTGGCCAAATCCACGCAGTGCCTGAGAGCCCTCTGAGTCACCACAGTGACTTCCGGGGCCCTCGTACAAAAGGAAGCGCTGAGCCACTGCCGTTCCACTGCCACCAGGACGCTGGCATCTGCTTTTTCTCTCATTCACTGTAGGCACTGGGTCCTTCGCAGGCATCGAGGGCCCACTGTGCGCGGCCTCAGGATTTCATCTGTGTGTTGGGCTTTCTATCGTATTTTAGAATTTTACCACTACATAAACTGTTTGAAGCCTACAAACAACGACTATTGAAGACAGATGCACCAGGACCTTCCCAACACGAAGACTACCACCGTGGAAGTGTAACTTACATCCCATTACCCAAGTGCCGTCATGCACAGCAACCTCCAGTCAGTGAAATGATCTCAGGGCATGGATGGTCCACTAACCTTACAGCACAAGTAATTCTAGCCACAAAAAATAACAGAGATAGTTTGTCAAGGGCCTCCACGTGATTTTAAGGTTTTTATTCAAAAATCAATGAAGAGTAATACAAGGTTTCAAACAATGGACTTGTACCCTGTGAAGGTAAAAAGCAAAAGCCCGTCAGATGTTTACCTCCGCGAATAATCATCAAGAACACTATGCGAACAGCAGCCTCGATTTCGTGGGGCGTGTGTTCTTTGACACACGTGGAACAGAGCTTTGCTTAACAGAAATTGGTCATCCACACCATTCAACTCCATTTTTACTTAAACTTAATTGAAAAAAAGGCCAGGTACAGTGGCACAACCTGTAATTCCAGCATTTGGGAGGTTGAGGCAGGAGGATGGCTGTGAGCTCCAGGTCGGCCCCAATTATACAATGGGACCCTGCCAGCCTCCTCCTCAAAAAAAGAAAAAACAGGAACCAACATGACATTGAATGAAGTTCTGAACATTAGTAAAACTGTTTTATCCCAAGAATGATTTCCCCTATACTGAATATTTTAAAAATCAGACACGAGATTTCTCACTGCGCGTCGTAACTATTTATAACCCTGTGAGAAGATGCTGTAAAGTCGTTGACAATCATGCAGCCTGTAGAGAATCCTTACTGTTCCCTTTCTTTCCTGCCCAGCGCCGTCCTCGGGCCCCCAGAACTTACGGGTCTCCGAAGAATGGTATAACCGGGTGCGGATCTCCTGGGACGCCCCACCCGGACCCGTGAAGGGCTACAGGATCCTCTACAAGCCCGTCAGCGGTGCGTAGCTCGCAGGGCCACGAGGCCTTGTAGGATAAATGGTTTTGATTGAACTTTTCGCCAGTGGTTGGTTCATCTTTTAGAAGGTACAGCAGGCACCTCTTACTTGTTTGGAAAAATAGTGTCCATTGTGGTCAGCGTTAGGGCAGGTAGAATTATCAGAGGATGAATGCGTAACCTCACAGGAAAATACCGGGGCTCCTGGTGACAGAGGACGCTGTCTCTGCTGTGTCCATCAGGCCTAACACATACCAGGCAGGGGGGCAGCCAAGACAGCCCGGAAAATACAGGAAAGGCGGGTTCTGTGGCTCGGTGCTGTGCAACTTATAGAGGTCTGGAAGCTCTGATTTCAAGGTTCTCCTAGATTTGTTGGGAAAAACCTGTTGCCTGCACGCTGGAGAAGTTGGGCGAGATGAACTCGTCCAAGCAGCAAAGTGCTTTGATGCAGCTGCGGAGACGCCACAGCTAGCCCCCTGGCCTCCTCTGCCTCCCTCGTTAGCGCGCCCTGAAGGCATGTGAGCCCCACTGGGGTGCAGCTGTACCCTGGTTTGTGGGGTGTAAAGAGGAGGCCCTGCACCCCAGCACCCACTACATTGTGGTAACATTATGAAGTGGATGTTAGAAAGACCTAGAGTTTTCTAGAAACTGTAGCCAGGGCCTTTAAGTCTCTGGGTGTGACTCAAAATATTTTCATAAATTTGGCAGGAAAATTTTAAAAATATTCTCTGGGTATTAAAAAAAATTTTAAATGCTCAATAAGCAGCATCGTTTTCAGTCTGTCACCTGAGAGGTTGCTCTTGCCTCGTCTCAGTTTTCAGCCTTTGCTGTCATCAGCTTCAGACAAGTAAAATCCCCCGCTGCTGGATTTTCATGAACCCTGAAAGTCAAAAGCACACAGGCTCTGGATGGGCCGCCCCGGCCCTCTGCAGATTAATTGACGGGGACCCAGGGCTGGTTTCTCTCATACATCCCTGCCCGGTTTGCTCTCTGGATCCTTTGTGCGGCTGCTTAGGTTTTCCAAGTAGCTTGGTTTCAGGCTGGCAGTTCTCAGTGGGTACAATCTGCCCTCCTGCAGAGATATGCTGATGGTTACAGCCTTGGGGAGTCGGGACCTGCAGCTGGGGGTGCGCGGGTGCTACTGAATACCCTGCAATTTGCGATCTTTTCCTGCCCGAAACAAAGCATTATCCAGTTCCCATGACAGTGTGGCGAGGCTGGGAGCCCTGCTGGGGGTCCAGTTAGCACTGACGGGATTGTGGTACTGTGTTCGGGGTGTGAAAGGTGAGCTCCCGAGCTGTCCTGTGCAGGGTACAGGGTACAGGGTGAGCCTGTACTTCGGGTGGAGAGAGGTGGACAGTTAGGAAGCTGTCAATAACCACCAGCTCTTAAAGAATGGGTACAACAGGAAGAGGCAGCAGGTAGATGCTCCTATATAAGGAAGGAATGTTTTTAATACATAATCAAAGACCTCATCTGATACAGAATCGAAACAGAGTTGAAGATGTAAATACCCGAGTCCAGCTGATAGAGAGCTTTGGAATAGAAGCATCATATATCTCACATTAAAAATCCTAAAAGGAGGGGCTGGGGATATAGCTCAGTGGCATAAATCCCTGCCTGGCAAGCACAAGGTCTTGAGTTCGATTCCCAGTTCCAAAAAAGAAAATATTTCTAAAAGGAGCAGGTGGCTCTGTAGTGTTAACCGTGGGCCGGTTGCCCTGTGGCTCAGAAAGGTTGTGTCTGGGAAAATGTGCTGCCCTGTCACTTGCAACCCTCTGTGGCCAGACTTGGGTGTCTGTGAAGGGACATTGGAGAATGAGTCCTTCGAGAGCTTGGGTGTCTGACACACGGGCGTAGCTCACAGTACATGCACAGCGGGTTGTGAGGTGGGTGGTGGCTGTGGATCAGCACAAGGCGGAGGAACTCGGTCCCTGAAGTTCCCCTGCAGCGTGGCACTGGTCTCGGGCTGCAGAGTGACAGGAGGCTGGGCTTGGCCTCTGCCTGGACGCTGCAGGCTGGGGACTCCTGGGCGCTGGTTAGGTACAACTCGCTCCCAGCTCCTCACATCTTTCCCTTGTGTTCCGCTGTAATGGGGTGTGCACCCTCCTCTCCTGCAGTTCCTGGCCCGACCCTGGAGACTTTTGTGGGTGCTGACATCAACACCATCCTCATCACGAACCTCCTCAGTGGGATGGACTACAGCGTGAAGATCTTCGCCTCCCAGGCTGCAGGCTTCAGCGATGCGCTCACGGGCCTGGTGAAAACACGTAAGACAGCAAGCACCTCCGCCCAGGACTGAGTTTCCCTGTGCCTTGTAACTCGAGCCCACCTCAGCATGGCCTGGCGTTTGTCTTCCTGGATGGTGCTTGGTGGAAAGAAAAGTATGCTCCTTCCTCAGGGGACTTTGGAGACCTGGCTGGCAGGTGGGGTGTCAGGGCCTCACTTTCCAAGAGGCCTGATGACTGCAGATAGAATTCCCTCCTGGAAAATCTTGGTTGGCATTTCTTAAATTAGGTGAAATTTTCCGAACAGCCGATAGCCTGACACAGTCAATGCAAGTCCACTGGGCGAAGGAGAAGTGTGCATTTTTCAAAGCCATCATTCCCTGATCTCACACACACACACACACACACACACACATGCACACACACACGTGCACACGTGTCTCGTGTGCTACAGTGCATGCCACACTCTAAGAACCTCCTTCTCTATTCTTTCATGGGGTTTCATGCCGTCTGGGCGCCAGCTGGGATGTCTCATTGGCACACAACGTTTTCAGACACCCATGGAATTATGCAATGGTTTCCACATCCCAGCGTGTATGCTCCATATTTCTGAAATTTGTTGTACCTCCACACCATCTGTTTAATATATTTCTTCAGATGGACTTTCCACGAAACACCAGCCAGAAGGAGCCACGTGGAGGAAAAGAAAAGCCAGGCACACGCTACATATAAATACTTTCGAAATCCCATGTAATCGTCCTAAGCAGAAGAGCAGTAATTTTATTACACAAGCAGGATAACACGGGAAAGGCCAAAATACAAAGGGCTCCACCGTGTGCAAATTGAAACAGTCTGAGTGTGACCAAGAGCGTGCGCCCCGGCCGGAGGGAGCCAGTCAGGGCACACGCAGGGGACCAGCTGAGGGGCACTGCTCGCTGGCCAAGCTCCCACCCTCTGAAATGAAGGCAAAAGCCACCCTGGGGCTTGATCAGGAGGGTGAAGAAGGCGCCGTGTGAAGTCCCACCACACGGCCACTCAGGGACGGCCACTGTTATTCTGGTGACCGTCGGTGCCCCTCGCAGGGTCTGATGCTCATCCCTAATATCATCACCGATGTGATAAACAGGAACGAGGCCGGCCTGGGCCAGGCTCAGCCAGCCCCCAGCCCCCTGGGTTTCAGGAAGGTGGCTCCCGGAAGGTGCCTCCTCCGTGGGGTCGCTTGAGGTCTTTCAGTCCCAGAAGAACGGTCCGTGCGCGGCCCCGCGTCTGGTCTTGGCTTGGGTGCTGAGTGCCCCTGTGCCGGGAGCAGCAGCCTCTAGGTCCTGCTGTCCTGTGGCCTTGGAGCTGCCGCGGCCCTCCTGGCTCACGCCGCCCGCCTCCAGCTCCTTCCTCTCCCCTGCGCTGCTTTGGCCATCTTCCCCTCCGGTCACTGCCTCTGCCCTTTCCTCTGTCTCTGGGACATTTCTCCTTACAGAACCTCTCCCTAGTCCTGCCGGGCTCCTCTCCTTCCTCTGCCTCGCCCTTTCCTTCCTCCCTCCCCTTTGATGAGGAGTCCAAACCTATTGCAAAAGTCTGAAAGTTTTCAATTGTTTTATACTCACATCCTTAAAGTAAAACTTACACGAGTTTATCACTCATCGTCCGTCTCCTGGGAGAAATAAAACCTCCCATCATGAAAAATTAGCTAATGTCATTTTAAAAATGTGGTTATAGAGATATGATTAATTTCCCATTGGTGTGCAGAGAGAATAGTTTAATTGGCTTTTGGAAAACAGTCTTCCCTGCTATTGTAAAGGAAAGGCATAATAGGAAGATATAAATTATGATTAGACAGGAATGGCTCCCCAGCTTGCAAAAATAATTAAAAGGTAATTTTATTTTATGAGTTAATTAGGAGAGAAGGAGAAGTAAGATAAAATGGCATGAATGGAAACCAGGTTCAGGAGGGAGAGTAAATACGAATTTTCTGCTTTTTCCTGTTCAGACCTAAAGGGGAAACACCAGATGTTACTCCTCTGTGTGGGGAGAAACAACATTTTTATGTGAAAATGATTATGTGGGGATGTAAGAAAAATACCATTTCCCTAGAACACAGAGAACCAATCATCTGGTGTTGTGTTATATATGCAAATTCTATCATTTTAAACTTTTCAAAAATACGTTCCCATTTAATAGAATAGAAAGGGAAGACTGGCATCCACCTTCTTCTCCCCACTTCTGTGAGGTAGACTTTGTTAGCATCCCAAAGAATGAGATCACAGTGGACTATTGCACAGTCATGAAAAGGATAAACGGTATCACTCATGGCAACATAAGTGATGCTGGACAATATTACGTTGCACCAGCAAACAGAAACACTGAAACACGCAGGACTTGGAGGCAGATTTATTTTACATCACTGTGAACTGACAGGGAGTCAACTGTCCCTCAAAACGTCAGGCCCCAAAGGCTCAGGAGGGAGGGTTCTGTGGTTTGTATAGGGGTTGTAGGTGAGCGGAGTACTCGGCTGTGTCTGACTGGTTCCTACAATAAGCATCACAGTCACCAGCTGTTTCTAAGAGACCAGAAGTAACAGGAACTGCAACAGGAGCTGTTGCCTGGGCAACCGGAGTACACAGGCTGCGAGGGCAACATTTCCGCTACAGTGTTAAGTGGGATTAGTCAGGCTGGAAGACAAGTACCCTGCTCTTGCTGAGAGCCAAAGCCAGTCCCTGTGAGTCTGCCGAGTGTGTCTCACCCCCGTCCTGCCTCCTTTTACCTCCCCTTTGCAGCGTGCATTTCGATGGTGGGTAAACACGTGCTGCAAACACTTTTTATTGTAGGGTGGAAGATGCTCATAATTGACTGTGTATAGAAAGGCGTTTGGATAAAGGCAGCCAGAAGGACCACTAGCACTTCGTCACCCACCGCCTCTGGTCCTTTTCCTGGGGCTATACGTTTCCCTTTTCATCTAGAACTCCAGACAGATGACTGCTTATGTACTGTTTTGTGATCTGTTGTCTCAAGTCAGCCTTGTGAGTTCACGGATTTCTCACCTCTGGGTATAGAGATTTGAATGTCGATGTGACCGTAAATTATTTTCAGGCTCAGGGACCCATGTGGCATTGTCTGTGGTGTGACCAGGTATGTCTGTCCCTCGTTGTAGTGTTCCTGGGCGTGACGGATCTCCAAGCACATCAGGTGGAAATGACCAGCCTGTGCGCTCGCTGGCAGGTGCAGCGCCACGCCTCAGCCTACAGGATCGTTGTAGAATCCATCCAGGGTAAGTGCATCGCCTGTGTTTTTGCCAAGCACCACATGCTTGGTTCTTTCCGTGTCCATCTCGCTGTGGACGACCCCCAGGTACTGGTAGACCAGAACCCTCTTACAGAGTCGGCCTGCTGGACCGTAATTACGTAACCTCTCCAGAGCTCTGCTTCCTGGTCTTCTAATGGAGAAAAACACAGGGCTTATCTTTGGGGTCTGTGAGTGTTAGGCTGAGACAGTCCACAGGAAGGAGCCACATAGCCAAGACTAGAAATTGAACGCTGTGTGGTGCTGGGTTTTGGCATTCGCTCCCTGTGGGCTTTCCTAGGGGGTCATGCTGTGTTGAGTGAGTTGTGCAAAACAGATGCTTGGTGGAGAAGCCGCCTGTACCACGGCACTGTGGTGCGGGCTTCAGCTTTTCTGCCTCCAGCACCAAAAACCACGACTGGAAGCTGCCTCCAAAGCAAAGCTCTCAAATCGTCCTCGCTGTGAGAAGTATCCAACACCTCAAAAGTCTGATACCTGAAGAATGACCAAGGCCTGTTAATCTTCTCGGCACAGTGTGACCTTAGACAGTCTTCAAACCTGGAGCCAAACCCTGGAGGGTGCTTTACTGCCATTCATGCACACAGCAGAAGAGAGGAGCCTGCTGCTTGGTGGGGGTCTCAGGGACAGTGTAGAATCCCAACTGGGAAAAATTTTATGTTCAAACTTGATAGCAAAGTTGTTAAAAAATACAGCCTTTTATTTCCTAGCAAATTATTTTGGTTTCCCCCACTTAAAAAAAGAAGGCGATCTTTTGTTGAGGTCTGCGCAGGTCTGGGCTTACTGGCCCGTGTCAAGGGCAATGCCTGTATCAGAATCCACGAATCTCACTTTTTATGCAAGTGGGGAGCACCACTTAGGAGACGACCATTTTGATGGTTGGCCCTGTAAAGTGTGAACTGAAGCAGGAGGAACATTCTAGAATCTCCTGCCAGCCCTGCTGAGATCTCGTCTCCTGCCTCCATCTATCTCCGTGACGTCACTTCCTCGGTCCTGGAGTGATGCAACCAGGGCATGAACTAGACACGGTGGGCGGTTTAATATGGAAGGAACAGTAAGGAACAGAAAAATGCGGGACATGATACATCGATATTGTGTTAGAATGCTTTATGGCATGCTTAATCAGAATTCGATGAAAGATATGTGAATATTCCTAAAACAACTGCAAAATCTTGAATTACATTACATGTATTAAATTACAGTTTAATATAGAAGATTTTTCATTTACCAGTATTCGCTGGGTTTTTAAAATATTAAGTATAATAATCACACACTTAAGCTTTCCCACAATATTTTTGTCCATTTATATCATTTAAGGAATTGAAACGAAGGCCAGGGATTTAGCTCAGTGGCACAGCGCCTGCCTGGCAAGCACAAGGTCCTGAGTTGGATTCCCAGTACCAAATCGAGACAAAACAAAACAACAAACAAACAAACAACAGCAGAAACGGAAATGGAGGAGGCAGCCCCGTGGTGTTCGCTGCCTCTCGTAGCTAGTATAACCGTGGAGACTGGCAAACGTGTCTGTCAGAAGCAGCTTTGTCAATGGAATTAGCAGATCTGTTTTCCATTCAGCGGCTGACTGTGGCGTTTGTTTATCCGAGGACGTGATTAACGTATCTGATAACACTGATCTAATCGTCTAAAACCACAGTAGGTCCTTGCCAAAGCCAAGATCTCTGGGGGCCAAAACATGAGGCCACGTGTCGTCATGGTCACTTCCCCGTCACTGAGACTCAACACCAGCACCCAGAAGCCGAGGGAGCACTGTTTACGTGGCTCAGGTCCCAGTGGGGTCTGTCCAGGGTCAGCGGCTCCAGGGCAGAAAAGCATGCTGGGAGGGCATGGAAGTGGACAGCTGTGCAACCACGGCAGCAGGACAGAGAGACCAGGAGGAGCAGGGACAGCGATGCGCGTTCCTAGGTCAGTCCCCAGTGACCGCTGCAGGCAGGCCCCACCTGCTGACAGCTGGCCCAGCCAGGAGCTCAGCAGGGGACTGAGCACCCGCAGCCCCATCACCTTCCAAGCATGTGAGCGTTTCAGAGCTACAGCAGAGCACATGCACACACACACATGCACACACACGCACATGTATGCACACACGCCAGGCACAGCCATGATGTGGTCTGCGGTTCGGGTGGCTTGCAGTCTCCTCAGTTTGTGAAGCTCTGGGAAACCGCTCAGCTGAGCCTCTGTGGCCACAGTTAAACGGGAAAGCACGGCAGTGCTGGTCCACTGACCTCGGGCCAGCCTTTGCGGTGGGGGTTTAGAGGCTCAGTCTGCGTCTCTTCCGCATGGTCATCTGGCCGAGCAGTGTCTCAGCAGCACCTGAGGCTCACCGGGAGGACAGACAGACAGATGGACAGTGTGGGTGGCGGGGGACGCGCAGGGACCTTTTCGCTCGCACAGTTGAGACCGAGGGCTGGTCCTGCGGCATCAGAGTCGTGGAGAGGTAGGCCGAGCTTCCTCACCTCAGAGACTGTCTCTGAAGGACGGGTGGAAGCTGCGTCCCACAGCCCGGAGTTCTGACCGTGACATCGTCCACGGGGCGCCTGTGCTCCTGCACACCCAGCGACACCACCGCTGTCCCCCCAGCCCAGCCAGGAGATGCCAGGGAGGGCTGCGGCCTGGCTCCTCGGTGTGCAGGGTAAAGATTTTAGCTGGGCTGATGTTTCCGGGTGCCTTGGCTAAATTCCAAGGCCTGACAGTGACCTCTGTCCTTGTCCACTTCCCCCGACCTCACCGTGTGCACGGATGTCCCCGCTGGGGCCATGCCTGCTGGCCACATCCTTCTCTGGGCTTCAGCGTCTCTACCGTCACTTCATGATTACCTGCACCTTTCCAGGTTGAGTCACTCAAGTGTGTTTATTACATGTGTAGAAAACTAGACGGAGGGAATTTCAGGAAAGCTGAGAAGCCTCGAAGATCAGCCTTCAGGCTCAGCTGGATCTAGGTGGTCTGAGAGGCCAAGGTGAGTCTGACCCCTGTCTCAGCCAGGCAGGCCTCGGTCAGCCTCAGGATGACACCTCTGCTTCCCACGTCCCGACTCCCAGCCATGGAGAACAGAGAACTCTTCCCCTCTGTTTCCAGCTGAAGGCCAGACTCTGACTCAGGTTGGCGCACTTTGGGTCACATGCCCCTAAATCTGTCACCGAGCTCGCAGGCATGGAATAAACGGCCGGACCTGGCTGTTGCCCCTGGCCTGTGGCGATGGTGAGCACAGATGGGTGGTGTTCTTTCCTTTCAAAATCTCAGCGACCGAGACCCAGGACAAGGACAAGATCCAGAGAAAGAGGGGCGGATAGGACCGGCCAGAGCAGCAGATGTCTTTCAGCTCTGAAAATATGACGACGTTTTTATGGCAAAGAGGAAAAAGAAAAAGATTACCAGAAGATGAGGTCCTCTTGGGAGACACTGGAGTCAAATCTGCCAGCTGCCTTCTGCCAAATTCTGCGATGGGCCGTTGGTTAATTCCAGGGCGGGCCCAGGCGAGAGGCTCGCGGGTGGTCGCGGTCTCCGGGCCTGGGCAGACGCTGGCTGGTGCCCAGGGAGCTCTGGGTTCTGCCCCTCTCCGAGGTGCTTGGCTGAGTCAGAAGCAGAGAGTGGATATAGGTTTCCCTTCCAGGCCATGTGTCCATGCTCTCAGGGCCCTGGCCTGTGTCTGTCTGGGCTCCGGCCTGTGTCTGTCTGGGACCCCACTGCTTGGTGATCTTCTTTGTCGCCTGCATAGAGGAGCTCGGGGATGCTCTAACTGTCCTTTGTTCAGGTGTGGACATGTCCTTTATCAGGGACAAAGGTTGCGTTGGTTACAATCAAGCCTATCAAGGACTGGGAAAAAAGATGAAGAAACCCTTTCTCAAAATTCAACTTTTAAAGCAGTGTTGTTATCTGGACTGGGACCAGGATCCTGGTGAGACCCAAGGAGTAGAAATATTTATATCCTAAAATCCACACCGAGTCATTACCTGGATCCCGAATTCTTTTGCTCATGGCCCCCAGGAACGAGCCCGGCACATTTCGGGGTACTGGGGTGTCGGCACCACCATATGGTGATAATCCACAGGATGTAACTTAGCGTGGCTTCCTAGAATAGAAATGACCGCACAAATGAAGACAGAACTTTTTCCCTCGTTCCAAAAAAATAACTTTCTGTTCTTGGCATAAAGGGTTGAAGAAATTAGTCATCATTTGATCGGTTTGGGTTTTGTTTCCTTTAAGGCGAAGCCATTGGATTCGAATGTCACATGCCAAAAGCAACACAGTGCACCCCACGCACGTAACCCCACTTTGTCAGCGCTGGGAACCAAACGGGTACTGTCTGCCATTCATGAACAGCGCCTGTTCTAGTTTCCAATGGCTATAGACTTATACAAGTAGGACTCATAAATATTCTATTTTCAAGAGTCTTTCTCCGAAGTTGGACGGATAGCCGGGAACTAGAGGTGGCAGAGTAGTGGATTCCTAGAATGAATCCCCTGGAGAGTGCCTGGAAGGCTCCTGTGACACAGATCAGTGTACTCCGTGCGTGGGATTCAGGGTTTGGGTGTGGGAGGCTCACAGAGGCTTCCAGGAGGCTGGGCAGAGCGGCCAGGGGCCAGAGAGAGGCAGTGATCATGGGTCCAGTCCTGGGAAAATCAAAACCACGTTTCTCTTAGACTCAAACTTCTTCCATAGAAATGTAGAATCTCACAGATACTTTACTTGTTTTTTGTTTTTCAGACAGGATCTCCCCATGCACTTCAGGCTGGCCTGAGCTTACTTTGTAGCCCAGGCTGGTCTCAAACTTGCAACAATCCTTCTGCCTCAGCCTCCCAAGTGCTAGGATTACAGGCATGAGCCACCATGCCAGCTTCCTACTTTATCAATTTTTATCTCATCATTTCATACAATATATGAAACATGCTTGTAGAGAATACCTCATTGTAAACAAATATAAATCAAGATCACATTGTGATGTTTACTTCTGAAATCTTTTACTGTTCACAAGATATACAAATAAATTTCAATTTTGTTTTTCACATAGCTTAATTTAGTTATATTTTTAAAGGTCAAGATTTTTCTATGACCAATGATATATGTGTTTATTCTCATATATACACACTGAGAAATATATATATATAAATATATGCTTCCTAAATTGTGTATTCAAATATAGAATGAAAGTTACCTAAGTATTATACCTGCTAAACAAACAAAAATCACTGGATGTTTTTGCAGTTTGCACTTTTAAAAGCAACCGGTCTTTTTCTTACATTTTCTATACATTGCTTATTTCCAGTAAACTCTTCTGAAAATAACATTTTTGAAGAATGGATGGTTCTTTTTAACCATTAAATAATATGTGCAATGTATTAAATCGATGGAGTTCTTAATGGTAAATTTTAAATTCCTAGAAATTAAGCTTTGTAAAGCTTTGACCAATCAGATGCAATTTACAGGTGAAAAAATTAATCTGCACGTAAGTAGTTGTTCTTTTCCTGGTGGCCAGGATCCATCCTTTTAGTCAGTCACTGTGGTAAAAGTAAGCATTCCACCTAGAGGAAAACCCTTTGGAAACTTTTTAGTAATAAAAATCTAAGTGGGCCGGGTCTGAGGGATCCAGGAGGCACCAGACAGCCTTGTTCTGAAACCCCCTGTTCAGTTTACACTGCTGTATGCTATTCCTGTGGAGATGAAGCAGGACCTCTCAGACTGGGTGTCGTGTGTTAGTTCTGCTTCTGAGCTGCAGACCTGGGAACCGCTAACTCCTCTGGCCTTTGGTTTCTCATACATGGATTGTGAGTAATTACAAATGTTATCAGGATGAATAAAGGCCTCAGCACACTGCCGGGCTGGAGAAGCATCCAGTCATCTCCCTCTCTGTGGTGGTCTTTGGCTTTAAACACGAGGCGCAGAACCCGCAGATCAATTGCCTCACACACCCGGGAGGGAGTGTGACTCACCCCCGATCTGACTCCCCAAAGCTGCGGACCTGGGCATGGAGAAGGGGCCAGCGGTTCTTTGGGCCTTCAAAGCCCCTGCCTGGCCCTGCCGTTGTGGAGGAGACAGCCCACAGGGTGGGTATCCGGGGCGCGTGGTCCTTTGATGGAATAAAAAGACCCTGGGGACCAGGCGTTCCGGGACAGCTCAGTAGCACCCATGGCATTTAAGCACCGTGTCTTGCCTCCGTGATGATTTTTATAGAGTAGAAAAGGATTTCAGGGTGCATCCAGGGAGTCGGGAGTTCCCTAAGCATCTCGTGAGTTCCTCAGTCTCCTCTGTGATAGAGATGAAGCTGGGTGTGGGCTAAAAATCAGGGCTTGGAACATGGCCGCAGGGCAGTCGAGGGGCATTCCAGGGGCTCCCTGGGGGTCCCGATGCTGCCCCGAGCTCCAGCCAGCATTTATAGCAGCTGCAAACCACCTGGATCATGGGTGAGGTGCTGAGACCCTGCAGCGCCTCCCAGACAGGAGGCAGGAGGACCGCCCAGGCCTGGACCCAGGGTCCTCTGTATCTGGATCTGAGCCCCTGGCCGGAAGGCGCCCACCAGACAGTAACCAGCTGGGTGAAATGCAAAGCATGTGTCTTTTTTTTGTTTTTTCCTTCTATAATCGTGGGGCCACATGCTGGAGAACCATGTTGACTAAACCAGCGTCCACGTTTTTAACAGACAGGGACACAGCCACAGCTGTACACAGGCCAGTTCAGATTGTGCATGTAACCCTGTGCATTCATAGTTCTTTGCTTGGCAATGGGACCTTGGGATTCTTCATAGTAAATTTTATTTTTTCTTCTTTTTCATTTTTATCGGTACCGAGGATCAAACTCACTTGCAAGGCAGGTGCTTATGCTGCTGAGCTACATCCCTAGCCCCCATAAATTTTATTTTTATACATATAGAGTGTAATATTTTTTTGGTACAAGACTCAAACTCAGGACCTTGTGCTTGACAGGCAGGCGCTTGTGCCACTGAGCTACATCCCGGGGCCCTAGAATGTGATTTTTAATAGAAAATAAAATGGATACATCTTTAGAAAAGTGCACAATATTTCAGACAGGTATAATTCATTCCGTAGTTATCTGATGTGGACTGTGCGTATTATGCATTTTGGAAGCAAATCACATACCAATGATTTCTCTAAAGCATTTTGTACATATTTTGCATTTTCGTTACAGATACACAAAAGCAAGAATCCATTGTGGGAGGAGGGACAAACAGACACTGCTTCTACGGACTGCAGCCCGATTCCGAGTATAAAATCAGCGTCTACACCAAGCTGCAGGAGCTGGAGGGGCCAAGCGTGAGCATAACGGAGAAAACCCGTGAGTCCACCGCCCTCCCTTCTGATTCCCTATAGGAACCGAAGGCATCTAAAACTTCAGGATCTCAGAGTTCATTCCGTTTAGAAAATTGTCCGCCAGGGCCGCAGGGCCGTCGTGCCACAGTGTTCCTCACCCTCGGCCCCACGTCCCAGGCTGGGCTTCTCCCGTCCTCCCGCCATGCGTGAGGGCAGCGCCCTGGGCACTGCAATCTAGTCCGCAGGGGAAAGCATGGAGGGCGGCTGGAGGGGGACGCCCGGGTCCTGAGAGTGAAGCCGGGTCGCAGCCAGGGGCGGGAGCCGAGGTGTCCCGGGAGCGCTGGCCTCTGAGGACTCTCCTGCTTTTCCAAATTGGCTTGCGACCTCGTTCCCAGGAGGCAACGGCGGCGAAGGCTTAAATGAAAACCAAGTGCTTTCTACATGCTCCAAAGAGCAAGCAGGAGGTGTCCGTTTCTTGGGGTGGGTCTTCACGGAGAATCCCTGACCCAGAGGCCTCGAACATGAAAGTGATTTTGATAACACATTCGTGTTTAAATTTGTATCTCAAGTGTAACCCCGAGATCCCCGAGGACTTATGACTAGAGGTGGCCCTTCTTGGTAGCCCTCTGTCATGCATATGCATTTAAATGGACTAAGCTCTGGGGTAGATGTTTCAGCCTTCCTGGCTCATGCAGAAAGAAATTGTCATCCACAGAAAGTAAAGCCGGGTGTGGTGGCATAGATTTATAAACCCAGCACTCTGGGAGGCTGAGACAGGGCGATCATAAGCTTGAGCCCAGGCTGGGCATGTAGTGGTTTAAGGACTCCTTGCCTCAAAAAACAAAAACAAAAAACAAAAACAAAAAGAAGGCTATGGATATAGCTCAGTGCAAAGGCTCTGGGTTCAATCCCCAGTATTGGAAAAAGAAAAGAAAAGAAAGCATAATGAATGAGTTATATAATTTTTATAAAATATTCTTTATTTCCTAACACTGAAGTACTCAAAATGTTGTACTGCAGATGAATTTTGGAGACACAGTTTATAAACATCACATGAGAGGGCCAGGCTAAGAGTGCAGTTCAGTGACATCTTTCAGTGTGTCTAGAAAGTCCTGTTGGCATCGCCAGAATCCAGTTTTAGGGCTCTGTCCACCCGGAGGTCTTTCCTGTCCCACACGTCTGTCCCCTTCCCTGCCTGGTCCCCCGGCCCTGTTTTGCCAACCCTTTGCCCTTTCCGGACATTCACAAGTACAGACCCACACGCGGCCTCCTGCACCTGGCTCTTCTCACCTGGCGCCTGCCGTTGCGTTGTCGCACTGAGGAAATTGGTCAGCTGTGTCCCTGCCTTGCGGGTCAGGGTCTGGCGAGTGTGAGAACTGGGGTCTGAGCTCCAGGTTTGCTTGGCTGGTTGTCGCGTCCCTTTGGAGCCCTGTGACTCCCGCACCATTGGACACCTCTGAGCTTCTTTCTACTGGACGGTAGAATTAAAGCTCTACTTGCTTCCTCCACCAGTGGCGGGCAAGCCGTGCCTGCTGAGTGACTTCTGTGCCCACCACTGTAACCTTGGAGTAGAAGGGCTGGATCTCACGGTCAGATGTGCTTTCTCTGGGCCTTACTTCTTAAAAACTTTAAAATACTCTTGAAAACCCAGACCACCCTGCGACCCAGAGCCCAGGCACCCTCGTGGTGCCCATGTGCTGGGACCAGTTCACTGTGGCACACGTGCCCTGGGCTGTATAGGCTGTTCTTTGTGCCTGGTCCTGACCTGCCCGTCCTCTGCGAGCATCCCGGTTGTGACACCTGGCCCACTTCCGGCTCTCCTAACCTGAGCCCCACACTGCTCCCGACCACCTCTGGGTTAGCTCCAGCTGGGGCGGCCTCGTCTGCTGTAAATGCTGTCCCAAGACCCAGACATCTGTCTTCTCGTGGCTTCCACCCACTAGCTCTGGCTCAACCATGAAGCAACCCAGCCAAGCCCGATCCTTTGACTCTGATGGCACCGCGCCCTCTGGAAGGCGCGGACATCTGCGTGCCACACAGAGACGTGAGACATCTGCTCCCAGGCAGCGCGCTCCTCTTCCCCAGGCGGCTGGCACTCTCATTGATGAGGTCCCTGATTGATCGGCTGAATTCGGGGTACTCTTCCACCTCTGTCGGAAGGGAAGAGGAGGCACTGTTACTGCCAACTTTAAAATGAACAAATCTTGAAAGCGTTTTGCAGAGCTTTCAAGAAAAATTTTGCAATCCTAGTTTTGGTAGCGAGGTTTGTCAATTTTTAACTCGTGGAACATTTTAGCTTGAAGTAAAAATCAACCTTTAAAGCAGTGATGCTTAGATCCATGACAGCATAGCAGACATGGTGCACTGGCCACCTTTTCCCATTCTTTCTTTCCAGAAATCACCATTTCTGCCCCCTGAGGTGTCTTCCAGAAATTCTTTCATTTTTTTGACAGATGGGGTCATGCCTTGGTGTCCTGTGAGCTGCTCTATTTCACATAAGTAGCTTTGGACATTTTTCCATACCGTTACCTCATTCTCTTGGTGTCAAATCAATTTTTAAGTCATGTTACTTTATTTGCCCCAGAATTGGAAGAGCCCCTCACACTGATCTCTTCCAGTGGCCCTGCCAATGAAGGAATTCCTTCTCCAGCACTTCAGGCCGACGACCTGTTTGCCCGGACACAAAGCCTTTGGTTATTTGCTGGACATTTCCTTCTTGGGTCTGGACTTTCCTTTGTGAATGGCCTAGGCTGGGCAGAGGCTTTTCCAAGTTTCAAACTGGAATATGGGAATTTTTTGTCAGCTTTCCTTACATCTCTAGAGTCACGGAGGAATAGAAAAAAGATACGTTGCAAAATCCTATTTTGTGGGTTCCCAGTGACACCGTCCCTGCCTAGTACCTCGCCACGTGAGCTGGTGTGAGGGTCCCCCTCCGATGGGTCTCCTGACCCTTTCACCAGATGACACCTCTGCCCAGGGTGTGGACTTCGCCCCCGCAGCATCCAGGCTGAAAGCTCACTGGTGTTTTACATCGGGTCCGCAGAGCGGGAACACCTGTCACGGATAGGGGATTCTAAGAACAGAGGGTGGATCGTGTTCCACTGGACACCAGCGCCCTGGGGCTGTGGTGGGGAGAAAGCACCTTGAAGATGGATGGAGGGCCAGGCCGTAGTTGGACAGGGAAGGGACAAAGTCCATTGTGTGTGTGAAAGCAGCCAGACCCGAGTCTGAATGGGTGGCAGGATGCCTGCCTTAAATCAGCCCGGGGACCACTTCGCCGCTGACAGTTTGATTGGGGGACGGCTGCTGGGGGAGCCGGAAGCAGCCAAACCCCATCCGGAGCCTTTGGTCTGAGGCTGGGAAACAGTCGAGGCTGATCACGGGGGTTATTTGATTCCCCAAAGAGGACATTTGTCACGGCCACGGACACCCCCAGCCGCACCCAGCCCCCCTTCTGTGCTCCTCAGATGAGATTGATGTCTCGCTCCTTTCCTTTCTAGGGTCCCATCCTACGCCCCCACCAACCTTCCCTCCAACCATCCCACCGGCCAGAGAAGGTAAGGGGATAAAGAACGCGGTAGCCATGTGGCCCGCGGTGGGTGGAGGCTTCCTGTGGGTTTTATTTCCTAAAAACCAAGGCATTCGTAAAAGATATTCATTGGCTGCCCCACCTTCTCCCTCCAGTCAGTGCTTGAAAAACCATGATGTGATTTTCTGGGAAAACACCCATTTACTGATAAATTGTATGCACAAGGGGTGCGATTTTCTAGCAGATTTGTTTGATACTGCTCTCATTGAAAACAGGACAGTTTTCTCGGGGAAGAATAGTTGTGTAATTCATGGGTTAAAATGAGTCTGGGAGCCTGAAGTCCAGGGCGATGGTTCCCCAGCTGCCTCTGAAATCCAGTGTTACTTCATTCAGTAGATGAGCTGACTTTCCCCACCTTCCTGGTCGCAAAGCGGATTGGAAGAGAACGGAATGAAATCTAGTGGTGGGTTCAGGGTCAGCCTTATGGGGGGATTTGATTTGGCTCCCATCCAATTCAGTTTTGGACCACAATGGTGGTGAGAGCCGAGTTTGTGCTGGGAGGAGCAGGGCCCCTCTCCCAGTGTATGTCCCAGCCCAGGCGTGCTGAAAGCCATTGTTTAATGGTGGCACCAATAATGCCAGCTACCTAGGAGGCTGAGGCAGAAGGATCATAAATTTGAAGCCAGTCTGACAACATAAAGACTGTGTCTCAAACTTACAAAGTGGGGTACAGGGTGATAGCATAGTACTAGAGACATAGCTCGGCAGTAGAGTGTGTGGGGTTTGATTCTAATACTGCAAAAAAAGAACTTTTAACACAGTACTAGTCTTTGGTTTATTTAGTTTCACTCCTGCTAGGCCGGGGTGCTAATCCAGGATTCCCGCTCGCTCTCCGCCTCTTTCTCTGGCAGGTACCTAGCAGGCGGGGTGGGACTTAGAAAGTAGAGAGCGTGCTGTGCTGTTCCTGGAGTGAGAATCACCCAGCTGCTGCAGATGAGGGGCTCAGAGGGGAGGGTTATCTGCAGCTGAGAGCGGGCCTGGGGGGCGCACCGTGGGGTGGGTGCTGCAGAGCCCCACAGAGTGAATGGGGTGCACAGTGTTGGGGACCGATGAGGTGTTAGTGAGGCACAGAGGAGGGGGCATGGGCTGTGTGCAGACCAGGGGTCCCAGCCCTGTCCTGCGGGACTGGTGTGTGTGGAAGGGGACACAAGGGGGGCGCTGGGGGAAACCTTCTTTCAGGGACAGAGCTGGGGTGCAGTTGAGAGGCTGGGCAGGAGGGCGGAGAGGCGCACGCAGGTGGGCAGCCGGAGGGGGCGGGGAAGAGTTCTATGCACCACGCAGCTTGCAGCGCCTGTAACACAGGAGGAACAGGAAAGCGACACTCCTGTGGCCCAGGAGCAGCCAGCGGGGTCAGGCGCTGCAGGCAGGGAAGGTCAAAGCATCAGCACACAGGAGACGCCTGCTGGGGAGCAGCACACGGGCAGCGCGCCTTGCTGTAGTAAAGCTGAACAACTCAGGCGCCCGGCCGGGTGCTGGGCAGTGCTGCAGTGCCCTCCTTCATCCCCAGGCCGAGCCCTGGCTCCTCACAGCGCCCTGGGGAAGCAGAGGCCCAGAGTCGGATTCCGACTCGGCTGACTCTGAGGTCGGAAGGCTGTTATAGTTGGGAGGCACTGGGTTTATCCAGCAGGCCTTCGTGGGCGCTGGTGGAACACGTGGTTTGGAAGGTCAGCGGGGAAAGAGCCACTCGGCAGGGACGGCGGGTCTGAAGTTCTGCCTGTGACGGCTTTCCTGATGGGGCCTCTGCAGTGGAACACACTGTTCACTTTAAGCTGTCTGTGTCTGTCTGTCTTGCGTGCACTTAATGTAAAAAAGCCTATCCAGGGATGGTATTGGAGTCATACTGGATACTCACTAAACACATATTAAAAGTTAGGAAGAAGTTTAAAGAAGATAATTAAAAACAGTTTCGTATCCCAAAGGGAACTTCCTCATGCAGATTGATATATTTTCTTTGATTCATTAAGCAGATGTTTCATTAATAAGTTTTAAAATGGCTTTTTCTCTCATTTTGAAGGTGAAACAGTTTGCTTTTCATCTTGCTTTGAAAATGAAGGACTTGTTTTTGATTTATAAATGCAATTAGCAGACCTTACGATTCTTTGCAGCATTAGATCTAAAGTGCAAATTTGTAAAATTCTATAAATCACAGACCTCACGAGAGCAGCCTCATGAGAGACTCACTGTCCCCGGGGTATTTTTCCCGTTTGGAGATGGTTCGTTGTACAGATAGCTTTCAAGAGGGTGGGGTTGCATTGAATAAAATAGGGACTGGGTTTTTTCTTTTTAAGAAAGGGAAAGGACACATCTTTTCACAGAATATTTGTGTGCCACTGACCCGAGGTCAAAAGAGTCTGATTGTTGAAAACCAAATTATTTTGCATCATCATAAAACAGAATTGACCACAATGATCTCCAGCAGTGGAAGGGCACAGAGGCAGAGCAACCCAAACAGCTGGGGGAAGGAGGGCTTTGGAAATGAGCCTTCGGTGGACTAGGCGTTCACTGGTATTGGGCGGGTTTCTTTTTGTTGTTCAGCTTATTGGTTATGTGGATATAGCTCCTCCTCACTGATCACGGGTTGGCGATGCTGGCTTATTTATTCTCCTGACCTGTGCCCATGGGTGGTGTGGGCATAAACACTTCGTGAACAATGATGGAATCGAAATTTGCTTGGGGCCTTGGTTCAAATGCACATTGAGTTGTAGGTGAATCTCACCCACCGTATCCCATGCCCCCTTTCTTTTTTTCTCCCCCCCCCCAAATCCATTCTATTTCAAGGAGAAAAAAGACAAAAACAAAGAAAAGAATACAACAAAATTTCCAAATGCGTCAATCAGGGCAACAGTGCACACTGTCATCCCCAAATTATTCACCCAGAGCACAGGACATTCGAATTCAACTGTTGCTCCAGACAATACCAGCACAAACCTTTCTCTTCAGTGAACTCAGAGAAATCAATAGTATAACTATCTTAACTATTTTTATATATATATAAATGTTGTTCCTTTCAGCATCTCACACTGAGACAATAAGATGTTTACACACGTGTGTCTGATTTATTTCACTGAGCATGGTCTCGAGATGCATCCATTTACCTATAAAAGTCTCCAGTTTATCCTTCTTTCTAGCTGAGTAGCACTCCATTGTGTAAAGATACCACATCTTTTTTATCCATTCCTCAGTTGATGGACACTTAGGTTGTTTCCAAGATCTGGCTATTATAAACTGTGCTGCTGTAAACATGGGGCACATATATATCACTGTAGTATAATGTTTTAATTCTTTTGGGAAGATACCCAGAAGGGGAATAGCTGGATGGAATGGGATCTCTAGTCCCAGTCTTCTGAGGACTCTCCACACTGATTTCCACAGTGGTCGCAGCAGTCTACACTCCCACCCACGGTGGAGAAGGGGTCCTTTGCCCCACAGCCCTCTGCATTTGTGCTTGCCTGGTTTCTTGATGGTAGCCATTCCCTCCGGGGTGAGGGGGATCTCGGTGTGGTTTTGGTTCCCAGGCCTCGTTCTGACTCAGATTGCACACTCGGAGGCCGACTGGGAGCTGAGCTCAGACCCCCCAGGGTGCACGCCCCGAGGCCTCTGTGTCGCCCCCTCCTGGGTATAAAAGGGAGGTGACGGTGAAGGCACGTTCAGAGCGAGGCTGGGAGGATCGCCTAGCGGTTCTGTCCTGGGCCGAGCCTTGTCCCGCGGCTCAGTGGCGGCCGGCCGCGGTGCTCTGCCCTTCCTGAGCCGAGCGTCCCCTCCTTGCCAGTGTGCAGAGCCGCCAAGGCCGACCTGGTGTTCATGGTGGACGGGTCCTGGAGCATCGGGGACGACAACTTCAACAAGATCATCAGCTTCCTGTACAGCACCGTGGGCGCCCTGGACAAGATCGGCCCAGATGGAACGCAGGTGAGGCGCGGGCCCAGGGCGCACGCTGGCCCCAGGAGAGGGTTTCTCCAGCTGCGTTCCCGTTGCTCCTGGGGGACACGTGTGGCCAGCTAGAAGGAGGGGTGCGAATGCTCGGAAACTTTGGAGCTCGGCAGACTACAAGAGAAAGAGAGAGCAGGTCGGAGGATATTTCTTTTATAGACAAGGACAAACGATCTCATTTAATGACAGAATGGTGGCCACAAGTAACTGTGGCTTAGTGAAACACACTTATTCATTCAACAAATATTTTTGTCTTTTTTTTTTTTTGAGACAGGGTCTCACTGTGCAGTTCAGGCTGGCCTTGAGCTCACTTTGTAACCCAGGCTGGTCTCGAACTTGCCATGATCCTCCTACCTCAGCCTTCTGAGTGCTGGGATTACAGGCATGTGCCACCATGCCTGGCCATACAACAAATATTTATGGTTAACAGTTTTGAAAAATAAGCAAAAGGTAGTTCATTAAAAAAGGGCTCAAAAGTTCTCCATGAATAATAGCAAATAGTTGGAAATGAAGCCAAGGAGGTTTATATTGTGGTAGTTAAGTCCACAGATTTGGAAATAGAATATACCTGGCTTGACTTGGTATTTCTGACACTGAGAAGCTGTTAGGATATTGTGAAAATTACTTATTCCTCTGTGCCTTGACCTGCTCATATGCAAAATGGGTAGTATAGTAAAAGTTACTTGACAAGTTGCTCCATAAGAAGATCTTTGTAAGAATTCCAGCCCTGATTCTCTGACATGTGTCCATGTAACAGGCTTTGTCACCTGTTTTCCATTTGTCAAGAGTGGTGAAAGTCCCAGGCTGTACAGAGACATTAGAACAAAAGCAAAAATTAATCCAGTAAGAAGATACCATTTACTCTGTCTTCAAATTCGATATGTAGCTTGCACATTTTAATCCAGGGAGCGCAGAGTGGGCTAAGGAAGAAACTGAAGTGGTAGGGGACAAACACACGGCTGTGTGTGTTCCCCGGCCCAGTGCAAGTCCACACGTGTGTAACGGTGCACGCGCCTCCTCCCTCCAGGTGGCGATGGTTCAGTTTACTGACGACCCCAGGACGGAGTTTACGCTAAATGCTTACAAAACCAAGGAGACTCTTCTTGATGCGATTAAACACATTTCGTACAAAGGAGGAAACACAAAAACAGGTGAGGCCAAGAGATGCCCAGCCACGCACCACCGGAAATGGTGGACATGATGACCTTTTTGGAGGCATAGTATTTTAAAGTTTTTCTTTTACTTCAGAGCACTGTCCCTACCGTGTTCCCCCCAGCAGAGCAGGCAGGGGAGGGTGTAAGACTGAACCGTTGCCCTGTGTGTTTCAGGAAAAGCCATGCAGCACGTCCGGGACAGCTTGTTCGGGGCAGAGGCCGGGACCAGAAGAGGCGTCCCGAAGGTCATCGTGGTGATAACGGACGGGAGGTCGCAGGACGAAGTGAGCCGAATCTGCAGGGAGATGCAGGCGGACGGTAAGGGGTGCGGCGCCGTGGGGGGGCCGTCACCACGCGGCCCACTAAATAAGCTTTGAACGATGACCAGGTTGCTGGCCTACCTTAGTTTCTCCGTCTGAACCACAAAACAAGAAAATAAACTGAAATAAACACTTCAGCCGACTGTACCTTATCCCCTAGATGTTAAAATAATCACTAAAAGCGAGCAGCCATAAGGCTGTTTCTCAAATGGGAGCACTTTCGTCCCCAGCACTCACTGGAGCCTGGGCCTCATTGAGTTTCTTTAAAATGGAAAATTTCTCTAGGCGATGATAGAATAATGATCACAGGAAGAATTCAAAATGTGCACGGCGCTGATGAACTGTAAAGACTGAATTAGCTGCCCCTCTCCGCCACTCTAAATAAACATGTTTTAAACACTCGCGGCCTTCAAAGGCCGGTACTCTGTGAGCGTGTTTTGCGCCCTGTGAAAGCCCCAGCGATCTGTGTCCCTTCCTCCCGCCACAGGCTACAACATCTTTGCCATCGGCGTGGCCGACGCGGATTACTCGGAGCTGGTGAGCATCGGCAGCCAGCCCAGCGCCCGCCGCGTCTTCTTCGTGGACGACTTTGACGCCTTTAAGAAAATCGAAGATGAGTTAATTACTTCTGTCTGCGAAGCTGCGTCAGCAAGTTAGTGCCTTGGGGATGAGCGCCTTCTCGTGCTGTTAAAGTTTAAAATACCGAGCTGGGCAGGTGCTGCAGGCATCTATTATAATCCCAGCGCTCAGGAGGCTGAGGCAGGAGGAGCCTTGTGAGTTTGAGGCCAGCCTGCGCTACAAAGTGAATTCAGGGGCAGCCTGAATCACATAGTGAGACACCGTTTCAAAAAGAGAAAAAAAAATTTAAAAAATAAAGTCCAAAATGCCTAATGATAGTTAGGTAATCAGTCCTGTTTTGAACTGCGGAATTAACTCAGAGCTGCTTGGCTATGCAGACAGTCAATTCTACGGTTCTGAACAGACAGACTCATCCTGCTCTCCTTTCTGGGGAGGATTTTGATAATGACCTTCCAACAAACCAGTTGTAGTGGCCATGCCTGTAATCCCAGCATGTGGGAGGCTGAGGCAGGAGGATTGTTGCAAATTCGAGACCAGGCTGGGCTACAAAGTGAGTTTGGGCCAGCCTGAACTGCATAGGGAGACCCTGTCTCAAAAACAACAACAAAAAAGACCTTCCACAGCAGGGGAAAGTACATCTTTAAAAGCCACTGAGTTTAAATAAATGTAGGAAATAGTCTTCAGAAATGTACTGAGTGTTCTCATCAGCGAGCCCATTAGAAACGAGACATTTCCCTACACGCGCCCTCAAGAGCACTGTGATGATCCCAGGAGGGGAGGGAAGCAGTGGAGTTTGACTTTAAGGGATTTAGCTCAGAGGCATAAGCGTCTGCCTTGCAAGCAGGCAGTCATGAGTTCAATCCCCAGTACCGATAAAAAGGAAAAACACACACACACACACACACACACACACAAAAAGAGTGTGTCAGTCTGCAGAAAACAGGACGGAGCTGTAGCCACGGGACTTGGTGGCTCTGCTCCTCGATTGACTTCCTGCTCAGTCTCTTGTGCTCACAGCGGGGAGAGGGATGCCTGGGAGCCACCCACCTTGGGATTGATGTTGTTTGTTTTGCTTTCCAGCCTGTCCGATGCTGCAGAAGGATGGCGTCGAAATGGCAGGTAGGCACCATGGCGGGCTTTTCAAATCCAGATGTCTGCAGCGGCTCCCGCTTGGAGTCCAGACGTGTGTTTTATTTTTTAATCCTTTATTTAAAATGTTTGAAATATGTGTCTGCTTATTCTCTCTCTCTCTCTCTCTCTCTCTCTCTCTCTCTCTCTCTCTCTCTCTCTGTCTCTCTCTCATTCACCCTCCTTTTCTCTCTCGAAGGATTTAAGATGATGGAAGTGTTTGGTTTGGTTGAAAAGGACTTCTCCTCCGTGGAAGGGGTTTCTATGGCGCCCGGTACCTTCAACGTGTACCCGTGTTACCAGCTGCACAGGGACGCCCTGGTCTCCCAGCCCACCAAGTACGTTCCCCCCGCCGGACCCTACGGCCAGCCCCTGCCTATTAGGTCTCAGTGTTAAAGAGCATCAGGCTGAATGACTTGTGATTGTTGCTGGTAGTATTTTCTGTGATGTTTAGCACAGGCGATGCTTATATTTGTTTAATAACATCAGATTCATGTATAACGCTGATTGAATTTTAGCATCTGTTCATCCAAGAAACTCAGTAAGAATAGCTGATACTTGTAACCGCGGGGTATCATTCTAAGTGCTTATGTGTGCCAACTCACACTGCAAACACCTCTGTGAAGCAGATGCCTGTATGATTTCATGCATTTTGTTGTGTTTTGGTGTTTGTTTGTTTGTTTGTTTGAGACAGGATCTTGCTATGTGGTTCAGGCTGGCCTTGAACTCACGACTATGTAGCCCAGGCTGGCTTGGAACTTGTGGCAACCCTCCTGCCTCAGCCTCCTGAGTGCTGAGGTGACCTGCCTGCACCACCACACCCAGTTTATTATTTCAGTTTTACAAATGATGCCACAGACCAGAGTCAGATCACACAGTTCATTCAGTGCTAACACTGGGTGTGCGCCTGGCAGGCAGGGTGGGAGCTCAGGCTCGGAGCTGGTGCACGGTGATGCCGTGGCTCGGGTGGTTTTTATCTTTGGAAATCACAGCAGCACTGACAGGGCTGGGGGAGTGGGACTGGGCCGGGGCAGAAGCTACGTTAAGCTATGCGCCCCTCTGTGCAGTCCGCAACCCCGCCAGGGTGGAGCTGTAGGGCTGTGTGTGCAGAGCGGTGTCTGCCGGCAGCCTACACACCACACCCAGATGGGCACCTCGTGGAGGTGGAGCTGGAGGGGCTCTCAGTCCTTAGCACAATACTAGGACACACGGCAGAAAGCAGGAAAACCCAACACTGTACACACCGGCTGGGGAGAAACACTGTTGCACGGGAGCTTTTAACGTTTTCAGTGAGAAGTGTGTGAGTTCTGAACCAACCCTCGAGAGAAGACCGTGACACCCTGAAGTACCGCGCTTTGGACAAAACTTAAGAAAAACAGGGCCAGTGATAGAACATTTGCCGGCACGTGTGAGGCCCTGAGTCGGATCCACAGTGCTAAAAAGGTTAAAGAAGATGAAAAAGCTTATTCAATGATGCTAAGACAGGAATGGGACAATAAATTGGGCAAACGTGCATTTTTCAAACACTGGAAGGAAATTTCTGTACCTCATCCAAACAGGTCTGGATGGGATTTATGGCAGTCTCCTTTGTTTTTTCAAAAGCTGGTGTTATGAAAGCATGTTTCCTGCAGAATCAGAGGGAAAACTGTTAAAGGAAAGATTCAAATAAAACAACAGTGCTTCCTTTTCCCCGCAGGTATGTGCACCCGGAGGGATTGCCTGCCGACTACACGATCACTTTTCTCTTCCGGATTCTTCCTGAGACGCCACAGGAGCCCTTCGCGCTCTGGGAAATTCTGAATAAAAATTCCGCCCCGCTGGTTGGGATCATTTTGGATAGTAAGCACCTCCTGTGTGTGTTTAGGTGATGGGTGTGGCCTGCCTTGGCCCGGTCCGCGTAGATGACAGGATGTACGCTCTTGAGTCACCTGGGAATCTAGAAGGAGGACGGAGCCCGTCCGGAGATGGGGAGTCCCTGGGTTTGGCAGGGGAAAGCTGAAGGGACCCGGGAGGGGCGCGTCTCTGCGTGGTACCCTGGGTTGTCGCCGTGATGGTCAAGTAAGAGGATCCTCAAGGGTTGGGTTGGGTTAGCATCACCGAGGTTTTTAAACTCAAGATTAGAATGAAGCCAGGGACCAAGATGCCCCTGGCACTGCCGGGTGCCCGCTCTGAGGTGGGTAAGGAGAGCGCTTTCAACATACAACTCTGATCTGCAAAAGGAATTTTCAGCACCTGGCAAAGAACTGATGACTAAACAGAGTGTGATAACGCTCTTTGCGTTGCTGCTGAAACAGGGAATTCTTAGACTAGAAGATCACCAGCGTCACTAAGTCCCCACGTGTCCCGGACTGCAAAGAAATCTAGAATCATTAAGACCAGTGTGCCCGTTTGAAAGCAGAGTGAAGAATTTCCCTGCACCGTAGGCATCGGTGGGGAAAATATTACTGTTTTTGATAAGATGAAGGGGTCAAGCTTAGGAAGGCTTTTCTTTGCTCTCAATGACTGATTTCCCCGGGCGGCAGGTTCCGTGTCCCGGAGCGTCCGTCTCTGCAGTGGGACGCCCTCTCTCGGACGTCCCTGTCACAAGGAGAAGTGTGCATCGTCCCTGCCCTCCCCCAACCGCCCGGTGGTGAAACCGGTTAATTTGGGGTGACTAAAAGCCTGGGGCACCCCGAGGCCGTTAATTAATTCACCACCAACAGTTTCAAAACAATGTATCCCTTATTTTCAGTCTTCAGTTGAATTTTTGCAGAAGTTTTTCACCTGTCTTAATTGGGTCCACATTTTGTTTGTTTGTTTGAATAGATGGTGGGAAAACGCTAACGTATTTCAACTATGACCACGCCGGGGATTTTCAAACTGTCACTTTTGAAGGACCCGAAATTCGGAAGATTTTCTACGGGAGCTTTCACAAGGTCAGTAAGCTTTTGGTATACATATGTATCCTCTCTCCTCTTGTCTGTGGGGAAAGAAGCAGAGATGGATTTTTGAAAATCCAGGGTGCTTTGGAGTGAGGATGGTGACCTTCAGGGCTTGTCAGCAATGCCCAGAGGTTCCGCTGAGGAGTGGGGACCAGGACACAGGCTCTAGGAGACACAGGCAGACGTGACCCAGGGTCTGCACTGTGTCCGAGGCAGAAAGGATCACTGGTGTCCGTGGCCACCAAAGCACGTGACAACACTGCCTGATTACTGAATACAGCACTAATATTTTTACACACGTACAAAGCAGCCTGTCATAAAAAGTCACCCTGCAGCCAGGCGTGGTGGTGCACCCCTATAATCCCAGCACTTGGGAGGCTGAGGCAGGAGGATCACTGTGAGTTTGAGGCCAGCACAGGCTATATAGGGAGTTTGAGGCCAGCCTGAACTCCACAGGGAGACCCTGTTCCAAAAAACAAAATGAAACAAAAATTTACCCTGAAAACACTGTTTACCATCGCACTTTCCTTGCTATTATTGTAGTAGATTGGCACTTGTGGTAGAACTCTGTTGCTTAAATCCAGGACTCAGGAACAATTCCAGGGGCCAGCGCAGGGGGTGCAGTCCTTCCCTCCTCTGCGGTTGGTTGCCTTCGTGCTCTGCAGATAGCTCTGCACCTTCCACTCTGCAGGCGGAGCAGAGAATGTGCTCTAACACCCAGCAGAGCCGCGCGTCCTGCCGGGCTCTGTCCCCTCTGTGAGAGGGAACAGATGCTGCCCTGAAACATGCATCCCGGCTTCTGTCTCACGACTGGGCCTGTGGTCAGATCAGCCAGATGACAGCTCGGCTGCCTGCCGCGGTTTTGAACGCCGTAACCACACACCACATAATCCCAGGAGCAAACGGTGTGTGTCAAACTTACTTTTTCGTGGGCTGGCACATGGATGTAGGTGAAGATTTAGTAGTTTAGGGTTCAAAATGACCCTGTTAGCGGCTCTGGCCTTAATATTATTTAGCCACCAAGTTCTTAGGATTTTTCTTGATCACTCAGAGTTTATTGCAAGGTAAGGGAGATGCAAAGCATTTGCAATTTCGTGAGTGTTCAAAGTGGCGCTGTCGCCCTGGCCCGCGGGTCAGGCATGAATTTGCAGTTCTCTTTCCATAGAAGTCTTCAGGCACTGTAGGCGGAGGCTAGGCTTTCTTTCCCTTGCCAGAACCCAAAGACCTAGAAGTAAGATTCAGTACATTGGTTGTAATGAGATTTTTGTCCTATAGAGTGATGAAAAATATTCCCACACCCAAAAACACAGAGGAGTGGAGTTCCATCCTTCTAAATACCATGCTAAAGATATTAATCAGAAGCAGGGTGTGATGGAATTTCTTTCAACAGTCTCTCCCTCCTTGAGTAATGGGTAACTCTTTTTTTCTTTTCTTTAAGAGAGGGTCTCACTATGTAGTTCAGACTGGCTTGGATTCACTGTGTATCCCAGGTTGACCTTAAACTGTGGTGATCCTCCTGCCTCAGCCTCCTAAGTGCTGGGATCACAGGCATGTGGCCCATGCCTGGTGTATAACTTTTTTTGAAAGAAAAAGATTCTCAGGAACCTCACTGCTGACTTACGTTGTCTTTATCTTTATGCAACTTAACTAAAAAGTTTAAGTCCATGTGCATCCAGCTCTGATGGAATAAGGAAACAAAAAGAAATTGAACAAAGCCAGTAAAATGAAAAGTGGTGCACTTTACATACAGATGGGGTTATTTCAGGGACAGGCAGTGTCTGCTTCCCGTGTAGATCGGTCTTAGCTGCTTAACCCTTGTAACTTTAATTTGTGTCGCTCAATTCTTTCTGACGGTCCTGCCCTGATATCTTCCTTTAGGCAGCAGAGGTGACGTTTTTGTCTTTCACTGGAGGTGAAAACATTATTTACTAACTTCACTCTGCCCTGTAACCTGCCCAGTCAGTCGCCTGCCAAGTACTCATCACACAGACACCCTCACGAATCCAAGTGTTTCCCTAAGGTGTTGCGTAGAACTCGGTCAGAATGTGCGACCTGGTTTGCCCAGAACACACTTGCCTTTTATTGTCACCTAAAACAATAATGCAGCGTCTCTGGCCCTCACAAAGAATGCGCGGCCCCCTCACGGCGGCGTCCTGGGGGCTGTGGGGCTGTAGCTCGAGACGCGCCCCCTGCACTAACCGAAGGGCCTTGGTTGGTCTGGGGCTGAAGTCAGCAGAGCCACCCCGCCTCCCCCTCAGATCCATTCCCCATCTCTGGGGACTGTCAAAGTGGACTAGCCAGTCCTTGGAGTCCCTGGGTGGCTGTGGTGGTCTGTCACCTGCATTTTGAAATTTTAATAATATCCTCTTAGCTTACTATGCACCTGGCGAAGATCTACAGTACCTTGGAGTTCCCAGGTGTTCGAGATGTCATCTACATGGGGGTGACGCGTGGCCTTCTCCGCCCGATGCGCGGTGACGGTGACGGAATGCCCCCTCCTCCTCTTCCCCGTTAGCCTCCTGCACCATCTTCTCTCTCCCCAGCTCCACGTGGTTGTCAGCAAGAACTTGGTCCAAGTGGTTGTGGACTGCAAACCCGTAGGCGAGAAGCCGATAAATGCGTCTGCTAACATCACGTCGGACGGAGTAGAGGTCCTCGGCAGAATGGTCAGGGCCGAGGCCCCCGGGGGGAATTCCGCACCAGTAAGTAGATGCTCAAGTAAGCCCGAGTGGTGGCCGTGGGAGAGGCCTTGGCAGTATTCCCAGAGGGAAGTTTGGCAAAGGGAGGGCCGGGAGGGGGATAAACAGACGAAGATTCTTTAAATGTGCTAACACATGTACGTTCAGAGCTCTTGGCAAGAGGCTTCTGCTATCTTGCAAGGGCGATGTGACAGGAATTAAAGCACTTTATTTTCTAAGTGCATTTCAGAATTATTATAATGGTGTGATATGCACCATGTGGTTTGTCATTTATTGAGGATCAAACTATAAATAAACCTCATTGATATACGAAATAGAAATCACACAAACTCTTTGCCCTTTATCCCTGAAGAGTGGACATAGGTCTCTAATTTGGTTTAGATTCAGGCACTTTAAACCTGGGTGCTTGCTATCAGTCGTGTGAAGTTTACCTTAATAGTTCCTTATGCCACAGATCATTCCAAATAATACAGTCTTCATCATGCAAAATGGAATTTAAATCTGGAAGACTTTCAGCTGGCAGAGAAATCACATTCCTCTCACTCGGCACCCACGAAAATGAGTAGCGGAACAGGTTTTGGGTTTAATACCCTGCATGGCGGCCACTTAGCGGCATGCTCTAATTTGAGTTGTTCTATGATTAGTAAGGCTTTTTTCTTACAAGCAATTCCAACGATTCTCATAAACATTGGTCTTTTATATATAAGAAGAATCAAGATCATCGTGAATCACTTCTGTCTCCGCTTTCACGGATCTGTAGAATTAGCCATCTGTGTTGAACTTTAGAAACATCGAAGTCCCTTTAAGCTGAAGATGATCTTGTACAAATGCGGGTTTACATGGTGACAAATAAATAAATGCATGAGATTGGAACAGACTGATGGAAGGGACGGGGGCGGAGGCAGCAGGAGCCCCCACCGCCCTAGAGTCCCCTCGAGAAGCAGCGCCCTGCTGTCCTCTGACCTTGGACACCCAGGAAGGGGTCCCAGAGGGGTGGAGTGACTCTCGTGGGGACAGGACGCCTTTGGTGACATTCCTCCTCTGTGTCTTCTGCCCGCTTCCAGTGCGAATGCAGTTAGGAGCTTTATAACTTCCACACCTTGATTCACGTTGCTCGGATCTGTTTTCACCGAGCTACCACGATACCTTCCATTGCTCGCAGACCTTGACGGGCAGACGCATGCTACTTAGCTCAACCCTGAGCGCTGAAAGCTCTTTTGAAAGTTCTTTTGTTCCCGCTACTGCTTTGGAGGTTAGATGTTTGGAAAAGACTGTAAAAGCCATGGGAGGCCCCCTGTTTTCAAGTCTGGTGAGGGATTTTAGGAATGTTTACATGACAGTGGGAACTTGTCTCCTTTTATCCTGTGGTATTTGTGCTGATTATAAACACATACTTTTTTTCTTAATGGATGGTGCTTGCAGGACTTTAAAAGACATAGTTAGCAAACTCAGGGCATTTTATACCGTTAACTGGCTTATTGGTAGATGGGATCTTGGAAGGATGGGTCTAAGAAAGAAACAATTTTAGGTGTGTGAGAATGAAGTCCAAATCACTTAATTCCATTATAATAATTTTCTTAATTAACTTTGAGTAAATAAAGCAAACAGAGATCCAGACTGAGAGAAAGATATTTGAAGACAATATTACTACTATTACTGAAAGAAGCCGATAATACATTTTCCATCTTCTGCCTTTTGCAGACCTCTGATGCATAAATTTAACTATTACTCTAAGTATTATTCAGTGCATAAAACCGAAATAAGCTCTTTCTGTTGCACACACTTCATCCCTCCAGCCAGAATATAAATCTCCAGAAGAGACACACGGCATGGACTTCCTTTGAAACCACCATCTTCCACCATAGCATAGTAATATCAAATAAATCCCTCTAAACAGGGCAAGCTCTCAAGAAATACATGGCAGAAGTTAAACAGGAAGTTTTCTGCTTGAATTCTATCATGCACTTTTAAAAAGGCTTTGTTTTGTCTATGTTACACCCACTGTGTGGCCTGGCCAGCACCCTGGCAGCACCTGCCGAACCCCCGTATAATTATAATTTATGTTTTACCAGTATAATTTTATAATAATAACATATTCCAAATTACACTGTGTGTAATGACTATACTCCAAATATATGACCAGGAACCATCAAAGAATAGATTTCTGGAAGCACAAGGTTTCAGGGTTACTGGTCCTAAATCTTCACTTTCGAGCATGAGAAAAATGTAATTAAACAGTTCACCCTCTGTGGTGACTGCCAGCCGGACGCAGACAAAGAGGAATTTATAGACACCCATAATTAAAGGGTTCTTTGTGAGGCTAGCAGGAAAAAACTCACAGCTTTTGTTAAAATCTAGAAATTCACAAAGATTACTAAATAGATGTTCAGTTTTCCACTTACTAAAAGATTTAATTGTGTTGAAAAAAATGGCATTAGGTTAGATCTTGGGAATGTGATCGGAAACTCAGACTGACTTTTGAGGGGGTGGGGGGTGTTGCTTAATTATTTTGGCACAAGGGGAAAGAAGACCCGGTCTTCCTGTGGAAGCTGCTCCATCTCAGGAGGCATCCGCACTTCAGTAAAGGTAGGAAGGGAAGTGCTGTTAACGGGTGGACGGTGGCCTCCCGGTCAGCGTCGCCTGCCAAACCCAGCAATGTTCAACCAATGCCAGATGGCGGAGGCTCTAAAGATCCCGTCTTTAAAGAAAATGTGCTCTGTAAGCCATGGATGAGGGGTAGATGAATAGATCTAGGGATACGGTAGCTACTGCTCATAAATCACCCACATTCTGATAAAAACAACCCGTGCCCAGCAGTGCGGGTTTTCACCAGCCATGCTGGGGCAGGGGAGCTGAACTAATGTACGGGTTCGGGGGCTTCCGTGTTGCTGTCCGGGCCCACGTGGAAGGAAGCAGCACCGGGCCACTCCCACTGGTCTTTTTCCTCCTACGAGGTCGCTGCTACTTTTGCTGATACTGGGTGAGATGACTCCAGAAACCTTCTGAGCACCTGGCATAGGGTCCGGGTCCTGTTTCCTGCTTAGGTGATTATCCAGCTGGCACTTATTTAGTCCCCAACTATTCAATGAAAGAGAGCTTGTAAACTATGTGATGGAGCCATCAGTCACTTATTCACTTAGTTGGGGGTTCAAGTATCACTTGCTTTGGTCCTCTTGAATTCAGGTTTATCTGGCACTGGCCACCTCCACGATGCCCTCCAAATTCTACCTCAACAGGATCCAGGTGGGTGCCACATCTGCCCTGACTGGCAGGAGTCCACCCTCCCCCCATCCCCCAGTCCATCTCTACACAGAGTAGGCGATTATGTCACTGTAGTCACTGGTGACTGGACGGGTCTGAGGATTGTGGTGACACTGGTCATTAGGGGCAGACAGGCCATGGAGGAGGTGCCTTCTGCCCCTGCCCTGACCACCAGAGCCCCCAGGAGTCACCAAGCAACAAGAAGAAGCAGAAAAACATTAAACACAGTGGAAATGTCACTCTCCATGAGATTGCCCACTCTGCCCAAGGATGTAGCACCAGTCTTTAGCCAGAGAACTTTCTAGAGCCATCAAAGAGCCCCCGAGGGCCACATGGTCTGTGGTCTGCAGTGCGGACACGGGGCAGCTTCAGGACATCATAGATGACATGCTCGGTGGTACCGAGTTGTGCCCAGCTAGCTAAGAAGCACAGGAAACATTTCAATAAAAAGGGGGTCAGACACCAACAGACAGAAGCCAGCTGTAGACCAGTTGGTGACCCTACCCAAGCAGGTGCTCCATGATTTTTAAAGAGCGGCAGTGGGTTTTCCACGAATCAATAGCCTGTGGAGTAGCATTGGTTGCCACAGTTTATTGTGTGCCAGCGACAGGTTAGGAAGGATGGAGTTTTCTGAGATTATCAGTGTGATCTTCCAGCAAGCCTAGAAAGAGGGCTGCCTTTGTCCCCGCTCTACAGATGCAAGGACGAGGGCTTGAAGAGGCTAGGGTGACTTCCACAGGGTTCCTGCTGGAGACTCCGGTGTGGTGGAAGAACCTCAGGCACAGGGAACCCAGTCCCCACAGTGCCACACGTCCTGGCTGCTCCCTGCCACATGCAAAGATTCCCCAGCGTTGGAGTGATGACCTGGGAAGAGGTGGTGACCGACACTTGCCCTACAGCGGGTCTCTTCCGAAATATTTCAATCCCAGCCAACAGGAATTACTATTGGTTCTGTTGCCTGACTTGATCGGAGCCTTTGTGGTTTCAATAAATGGGTCAGGACAAGTGCAATCACTCAGTTCAGTAGCTGACAGGTGGCGAATGCTGCGTACTCTTCTGGTTTTGCAATGGAGTCAACAAAAGTTAGGCGTCAAGTTAAAAGCCGAAGATGGGTTAGGTCTGTGGTCATTTGTGGGCCTGGGAAAGTTCTGTATAAAAAGCTCAAGTATGCCTTGACTTTAAATTATAACTTAGTTATGTTAGAAAGAAATCAAAAGATCAAATCTGTGCTCAGTGCAGTTAAAGACGGGGGCACATTCTGATTCCTATTCACACATCAAATGACCCAACTGCTGAAAAATATTTTAATCTTATTTCCATGCTAACATTTGACCCCAAATGACTTGCCTTTTGTGTTACACCCAGCCAGAAAAGTCCAACAGTGAAAAATGAGCATTTGTAATTGAATACGTAGTCCCTTGAAAGATTACAAAAATGAAAGTAGGTTTTGTGTGTGTGTGTCTTTTTTGGGGGAGAGGTACAAATTTATCTTTTATAATTTTCAGTTACTTAAGAAAGAAAGTAAAAAGTGCTTTTACTATTGTTTTGAAGCACATTTTCCTATATTTTAAGGTGCTCTGATGGGAGCCGAGACCAGTCAGCTCTGTATTGTCATTTCTTGTATAATTTGTACAAATATGTCCGTGTGGGATTTTGGAATGAAATCCAGAGTGATTTCATAAAAATTTTTTAGTCAATCCCCAGAAATGTGCCTCTAGGAATCTAAAATGTTATGGGTGCAAAACAATGATGAATAAATTTCTTGTACTCAAAGATTTCATCTAACTCACAAAGGAAAGACTGCCCACGTGCAGCATTCCTCAGGCAGGAGGGTCCCCAGCGCTTAGTGGGCGTGGAGCCCTTGAATAAGAATCCTAAAGACTCTGCAGGGTGTGAGGGCCGCGGAGGGTTGTGTGCAGACGTGATGCTATCTATCATAGCTGACTGCGCGGTCAATGTTTATTTGACAGGCTTCGAGAAAGCCTGGTGCATACGGGGTCGTGGAAGGCCTTCGGTTTAAGAAAATCTCTCCATGCATGAAAAGTTTTTTACACTGGGGCTTTATTCAGAAATGGAAAATTTCTTAACGGGTGACTGTTTCTCACACTTAGCTGACGTTACTAACCTATCACAATGGCCCCATTGAGTCAAGGTCCTGGATGGAATGGCCTTGTGAAGTTAGACCAGGCTATCTGTATTCTAAACGTTAGACCCATAGAGTTCCTGTGTGATTTCTCCAAAGGTTAGTGCCATGTGTTGCAAAGTAAACCACACATTCCTTGGGCCGTCCACATGCCAGGCAGAGCAGGGCTTCAACGTGTGCTTTGATTGTTTAAGCTTTTAAAAATTATAGGTTCTGTTCAACAGAACAGACTGGTACCGGCCACGAGAGGCCTGGCTGCTATTGGTATTTGCTAGGAACTTTCTCAACCACAATGTTAACTAGACAACAGCACTGTAGAAATAACGAGCCGGTGTACTTCTGTCCTGGACACTGTCACTTCCACTTTGATTCGACTCTTTTGCCTCTGTGTTAGATTTACAACCTACACCTTAAGAAAATCAGTGATATAGAGTTGTACATATAAAATTAAAATGGTATTTTTAAAGCTCTGTCTCCCGTTATCTGTCTTTTGTTTTGCTTTCTATTTCATGTTTCTCATGTAAGAAAAGCCACGTGACACCTAAGCTGCTGTATCTGATTTGTTTCACTAACGCGATGGTTTCAGCAGGAAGCCCCTTCCTTCCCATGACTCAGCTCTGTCCTTCTTAGCAGCGCGATAGAATTCCGTTGTGCGTAAATACCGCTACCGTGTGCCGTGTGTTACCCAGTGACACAGGCGTTCCTCCAAGAGTCAGAGTAGAAAGAGCATGATTCATGGCGTTGTATGGTGGGAAGTGAGGTCTTAAGGAGATACATGGTGCCGTGGGGAAGAGGCGTTTGGGGGACGCTGGGATGGGCTTCCCAAGAAAGGCTCCTTAGGCAAGGAAGGGGTTTGGATAGCCACTGGAGAAATCATACAGGAAATCTTTGATCACTGTGTGTTTAACGAACAAAATTAGTTTGATATTGTTGGATTTACTTTTCATGCAGTAATGATGTGACATTATAAATGTTCTGTATTATGAAGTGTACAGTAGTGTGTCTCACAAGATCGTTCTAAGTAGGAATACAAGCATATCCAACAAAACGCTAATTTTCTCCCAACCCTGCAGTTCCAGTTACAGATGTTTGACATCCTTTGCTCCACCGCGTGGGCCAGTAAAGACCGATGCTGTGAGCTTCCGGGCCTGGTAAGAATTCCTCTTTATTCCCTATTGAGATCTGTAAAGTAACACTTAACTTTCTCTGAAGAAGGCATGACACTTCTCAGTATTTATGTAAGAAATTACTCTTTGGGATTATAATTAACATAGAAAAGGGTAAAGATGGAGACAGAAAAGAAACCAGTGGATCACACCCAGAGAAATACCAGAAGGCCTCTTTACAAAACATCTCAGGTGCTATTTACTGAAAGCGTAATATGTATTTCCTGGCAACTCCGTATCCTTTTAAAAATGATAGGTATGAATTTTAAAAAATGAAATTTTTGTTTTATGTTCCTGTTTGGGTATTTGAGATAGGGTCTCACCAGGTAGTCCAGGCTGGGCCGGTGTAGACCAAGCTGGCCTCAGACTCACAGCACTGTGCCTGCTTCGGCCTCCCGAGTGCTGGGATTACAGGTGTGCGCCACCACGCCTGGCGTTTACTCTCAAACACTGACAACGGTTTGGTAACGGGATGCGTGTGCCAACTGAGCAACCCGGTATTTTCCACATCTCCAGTGGATACAGTCTGTCTTTCTCATCTTTCTCTGCACTGTTTTCTCCTGCACACTTGCTTTTCATCGCAGTGACTCCTGGGAAACCAGATGTGCAAACACAGAACATCACGGAAACGTGTTTGAAAATGCCCTGCTGAGCTGACTGTTCACATCAGGCCCAGTGAGGCCTCCTGTGGCCATCTCCCCTGAGTTTTTAAAGCAGCCACCATGTCTCCCTGAGTTGAAGATAGTATGCAGGGCACCCTGGTATATGATTTTGGGACCAAAGTCACAACCTGCACAACCTCTGCAAAGCTAGAGACCGGAGCGGGCACTTCAGGGTGGTGTGGGTGTGGGCTGCAGTGCTGGAAGGAAATGAAGCGTTGCTCAGGATTCACAGTAAGGGTCAGCTGCATTGTAGAAGAGAAAAGGGCTCCTATCTCGGGCTCCTTGGGGACGTGGCTATGACAGGGAGCCTGCTGTAGCCGGGCGTGCTCAGCCTTCACAATTAAACCAGCGTGGAGCAGCTTTCACGACGCCTCAAGTGTCCGGCTTTGTGAGAAGACGGGGCATTTCAGCACTCACGGCAGGCAGCACATGCGTGGGGCCTGTGTTGGAGAAAGCTAACTTACTCCTTTTCCGTCTAAACAAGTTGTTAATCAACTCTGGTGAGGACTTCTACCAGGGACCTGTAATTTGTGCGTAAGCACAGGTAGGCTGCAAATCGGAAGAGAAAATTCTCAGAACTTTACTCTGTATTAAGAAGCAACATCGTGTCCAGGTCTCCCCCAGGACCAGGAGCTTCTCATTTTTTTCCATTTTTATCCCTGGATGTCTCGGTGGAGAGGTTTTATTGGCTTACAGTTTGTAGAGGATTCAGTGCACAGTCCAGCGGCCCCAAGGCAGGGCAGCGTGGTGGAGGAGAGAAACAGTCCAGGGCAGGGCAGCCGGAAGCAGAGAGGAGCGGGAGGCTGAGTCCACAGATGCCATCACACGCCTCTGATCTGATCGTCTCCCGAAGCCCCACCTAGCAGCTCATGAGGCTTTGGGGGGCCATGCATGTCTGAACCTTAACATAGAGATGTATCAATTCCCTGGGAGGAGGACATGGGTGTTTGTGTGTCCAGATAGATTCAGATTCGTGGGTCTCGTGGGTCTCGCAGTGTTTCATGGCCACAGAATTCCCCAAGGAAGGAAAGGATTACAGTGCCAGAGCTTTAGGGCAACACTGTTTTTCTTATTCACAGCCACAGAATGTAAGCAGTCAGTGGAATCGTCACAGGCAATTGATTGGTCCAAGCGGTTTTTATTTTGTTTTACTTCTTTGTTGGTTTCAGTATAGATGTGGTTGTTTTGATAGAGCATTCCATTAACATTTTCTTTTATTCTTTGAAATAGAAAAAATATCAGAGCATCAAGTTTTCCAGCCCATTAGTTCATAGAGTACTGTTGCCTGTAAAAACAAAACGATCAATTAGACGGTTGCCAGGAACTTTCTCACGCTCCTCTGCTTTCCCTGCTCCCTCGGCTTCCCAGGTCAGTTCAGCAGCCTTCCGTGGGGCTGGGGATACAGGTCCACAGCGCAGCGCCTGCCTGGCAAGTGCAAAGGTCTTGAGTTCGATGCCTGGCACAAAAAAAAAAACCTTCCATGGCGATGGTTACCAGCAGGTCACGGGGAGCCCATGCAATTGTGATAAAAACACCCAAGTAATCAGGAGTGGAAGCTCACCACCTTCCCCATCTGGTGCTCGCTTGAAAACCTTAAACACATCGTATGCCAGTTCTTCTGGTCAGCAAGCCGTCACCCAGACCCTCCTGTTAGTTCCTCGCTGTCTTTTCCTCCGCAGAGGGATGAGCAGTCCTGCCCTGAACTCCCCCACTCCTGCACCTGTGCTGTAACCAACGAAGTGGCCCTGGGTCCAGCTGGCCCCCCGGTAAGTCTTTCTTCCTTAACTCCTAAAGTTCTTTAATGACGTTAGTAGCTGGGCATGGTGGCCATGTCTAATCTGGAGGCTGAGGCAGGAGGGTCACGGGAGGGCTTCATATGGGCCAAGGACATCACTGTGTGAGAATGAAGCCTCCTCCAGGACTTCCTGCAAGGAGAGGGAGAGGGAGGGAGAAGAGAAAGTGCAAGGCAGAACACGCATGTGTGTAAACTCTGCAGTGTAAATGCCCCGTCTGGGCCTCTGAAGGTTCTGTGACCATTTCTGTGCATCGCATCTGAATGCTGATTCAGTCCTCACACACTGAAATGAAGTCGTCAGAGTAGCTCCTGGTGAAGGACTGAGCCTCTCTGTGGTCAGGACAGGGCGTGTGCTGGGGTCCAGAGGCAGAGACAGCCCTGCGGGGTCTTTCCCATGGTGAGGTCCCTGCCGGCCGGCTCGCAGCAGCGGGCTGGCCCTGTGAGGTCATGCGCTTGGCCCACCCCTGTGCTGCCTGTCATGGCCTTCCTGACCCCCACCCAGGGGGAGCTGCTGCTACCCTTACCTACAGCAATGCCCCCTTCTCGGCCCGCGCTCTGAGTGGGAGCCCGGCCCGGGAAGCAGAAGCCCAAGGCTTCCTCCCCGAGAAGCATCCTCATAAAAAGAGGCCACCTGCCTCTGCAGAGGGAGACAAAGATATTTATCTGTCATAGCTTCAAATGATAAACTATTTGACAAGTCCCAACATTTTCAAGATCTTTGAAACTGACCGGCGCAGCCCCAACGAAACAGGAGACAGGAGACGCTCTTATGGACGACAGTTAACTGCTAGTTTATTTACGCGGGCTCTGGTTTATATATTTGGCCGTGACCAATCACAGGCTGCCACAAGGAAGCAGGGCGGGAATGGGATGCAGGCTCTGGCTACTATATCCAGCTGTGGCCAATCAGGAGTTGCCACAGAGTACGGAGTGAGCGCCAGGTGCGCACGGGTTGGCTAATTTAAAGAGGGACGTAGCGCATTGCGGAAGCTGGCGTGGTCCTCAGTCCCGGGTGGGGTATGGTATGTTGAGCGCCTGTGCCCAACATGAAACATACAGGAAATGTGTCCTAACTGCTTTCCATTCCCATCATTAACTTTGTCAAATTCTTTCTGGAGTTCTGCATTATATATCCTGCAGTTGTGTTAAAATCCCCAGAAATGCAGACTGCTTAATTTAGAGTAAATTGTGAATCATTGGAGGGACCCTTTTAAACGTAGTAAGGCTTTTTTCTTAATTCTAATTTGTGCACTATTAATACAGCTTTACTATTTGTATTTTGTATTGTCTTTCTGGTGAATATTTTCTTCATCCTCTTCATCATAATATTACATGTCTATACATCAGACATTTCTTCATAAATTAGATACATTTCAATTTTGTTCTTAATCTAATTTAAAGTTTAATCTATTCTACTGTGATAATTCATTTATAATGTTGTTTTGTATTATAATTCAAATAGTATATTGTCATTCCTTACAATATTATAATCCCTTGTCTGGCCCCCCTCGTGGCCCAGGAAGTTTATATTTGTAATCCCACTGAAATGTGATTGGAATCCCGGGAAGTTATTTCCAATCCTCCATCTCCAGTGCAACCCGGCGTGAGAATAAAGACCCTGGTACATATTCAAAGTTACAGGCAGCCAAGGGGTCCGGAGTTTGGTCCAGGTGAGGAGACACGGAACAAAGGCCCTGATCCAAGGCTTCCCCCAGAATTTACCATCCCGTGAAGAAGGGAGTGGCTCACGGATGAGTGAGAGAGATTGACGGAATTACGTGAGCAGGGTGAGCTGAGCTGGCCAGGTGGAGAGCGAGCCCCTCCGCAATCTGCAGGGAGAAGGGTGTGCGGAAAGACCAGGCTGCAGAACTCAACTGAGGCGGCATTTAAATTATTTAGGAGGCTGTCGCTTCAGATTCTGATATGTAAACTTTTGTGCCCTGGGAAATCATAATCTCTTTAAATTGAGGCTCAAACCCAGGAGCATTTCTGCATTGAATAATATCCTGTGGATCTTTCTTTAGTGGGAAACTGTGGCTAGCTAGGACTGTCATCAGTGTGCAGTTCCGATGGCTGCTACGGAGATTGCTAATTGTCCTCCACAGTAACGCCCACCCCTTCCTCCTGGCGCTGGCTGCACACAGGACCGCCCGCGAGGGACTTGGTGTCTGGGAAGACTGTGGGCTCCTCCTACGAGGGTGCAGTCTGTGCTGCGGGTGTGGCCTCAGATGCAAGCTAAATGTATTCCTGTGGCCGCCTTGTCCTCTTCTGGATCCCTGGCGAGGGACCCTGGGTGACCTAGCTCTGGAAACACTGCCCTAAGGCATCCAGGAGGTTGTAAGATGTGCTTCTGATTTTAATTACTGTTTTCTGCATATCTAGAAACTATTTACTTCCTTTTCATATCTTCTTGGTGATTTGTATCATCCTGTTTCTTTTTTAACGCTTTCAAGTAATTTTTAAAAAAATATTAAATACAGCTTTTGCTCTTCATCCGGTAGTTCCCGTATTGGCGGGTCTGCAGCTCCAGCTCTCCCGTTTCCTTTCCTGCGGACTTTCCTCCGGGTAGCTCGCTTCCGTGTGTGCCTGAGGTGTGTGCCCTGCGCTTTCCTCTGGTAACCCTCTGAGCGTCCATTCGAATGGGACTCCTGCTGCCCAGCTCACTGAATCCACTCTAAGGCTTTGCCTGTCGGTTCCGGTTCCGTTTCGATCCTCGTAGGCAGTGTGCGCTCTCTGGGCCAGTCCGTGGAGAGCCAGACTCTGGGCGACATTCTCGGGGGCCAGATATTGGGCCCTGCTCCCCTGATGACCGCAGCAAGGAGCACCCCACTGTCAGCGGCCCGCTGCTTTGTCCAGCTCACTCAGAGGAGGGTTTTCAGACTCAGCCCCTCCTGCCTGTCCTGGGCCCACCTTTGCACTTCAGTGTCTCTGGCTCTGTGGTGTCCCCAGCCAGGCTCGGTGTGTTTCTATCACACCTGTGTTCTTCTGGATTCTTGGAATGGGAGGATTCTGTTTTTAATTATAAGAATGTTTATTTTACGAATAAGCACTTGTCGTTTGAGAATTTCCAAGTGTGTTCATCTTCCCTGATGCTGGAACCAAGCTCACCAGTTTTAATTGTGACCCGTGAATCCAACCAGCAAGATGCAGCCAGAAATGAGGGAGAAAAATTTGGGGTCTTAACTCAAAGACAAAAGGGGGTGACGGAAGAGCGAATCTGTCGGTATCCTCAGAGGGTTCAGTTAAAGAATAATGAACTGTTTAACATACCGCATCCCCGACAAAATGTGATAAATCCTGTCTGGTTCTTTTCCATCCAAGACTTACACAGCCATAGAGCGGCTAACAGAAGGTCTATAGGAGGTCACAGTGGAAGAGTCCTTCCTTCTGCCTAGGTGAGCCCTTTATTAAAAAGAGGAGAGGTGAATTTGTTCTTTTAGACTTACCTACTTACATTTTAAGTAATTTTTTATGTTATGAAAACATAAAATAAGATTTCATAACAAAATAATAAAGGAATAACAATAGTTAATAAATGTGTATCATTATTTTCAAAGTAGTTACTTACAGTGCAAGACATAGAACCAGATTCTTCCAAAGAAGAAACAAGTGGATAATACCACACACTGTTGTTTTCAAGGAACTAAAATAAATTAGTAGTATAAATGAAAAAATTAGCATACATTTAAATATTTTTGAGACAGCAAAATAGATAATTTGGGGAGGTATTTGAACTTCTGCCTACTTTCTATTTATCTCTCTTCTATTTCTCTCTCTCTATATATATTTTTTGTGTTTCTCATATAAGAGAAATCATCAATATTTAAACTTGTGTGTCTGACTTATTTCATTTAACATTATGATCTCATGCTGCATCCGTTTATCTCCCTCAAGTTTGTCTGTCTTTAGGGCAGTAGAATACTCCATTGTATGTAGGTTCATACATTTTCCTTATTTATTTGTTGATGGACATATATGCTGTTTCCAAGAGCCAGCTATTATGAATGTTTAGATTTATGGGTCTGCATGTATTCCTGTGACACGATGATTTTAGCATCATATCTAAAAGATGGTGTGATACCTAGAAGAGGAAGAGTTGGGTGAAATGGGATTTCTAGTGTTAGTTTTTTGAGGAGCCTCCACACTGATTTCCATGGTGGTTGCACCAGTTTACACTCCCACTAGCAATATAGAAAATGGCCTTTCCCCCCACAGCCTCACCAGCATTTATTATTAGACTTCATGGTGACTGCTATTCTTTCTTTCAGGGGTGAGGTGGAATCTCAACATAGTTTTAATTTGCATTTCTCTGATGGCCAGAGATGTTAAGCATTTTTTCATGTATTTGTTGTTCATTTGTACTTCTTCTGAGAAGTGTTTATCCACTTCAGGAGCCGTTTTTTGATTGGGTCTTTTATTTTGAGGAGGTCTAAACTTTTTAGTTCTTCATAGTTTTCAGTGTTAGTCCTCTGTCCGAGCAGTGGCTGACAAAATTTCCTTTTCCCACTGTGTGGGTTTTCTGTTCACACTGTTGGTGGTTTCCTTTGCTGTGTAGAGGCTTTTTAAGTTGATATGATCTGTTGATTCTTGGGGTTATTCCTTGTGCCACCGGGGCTCTGTTCAGAACGTCCTGGCCTACCTACTCTTATGCCTTTAAAGGTCACCCCTATTTTATCTTCCAGCAGGTTAGATCTTTGTTCAACATGCAGATCTTTGATCCACTTTGGTTTAGTTTAGTGCGTGGTGAGATGTCGGTCCAGATTCAGCCCTGTACGTATGGATATCTGGTTTCCCCAGCACCGTCTAGTAAAGAGGCTACGTTCCCTCCAGAGTATGTTTTTGGCCCTTTTGTTTAAGGTGAAGCAGATGAACGGGCCTGGGGTTTCTGCTTCTATCTTCTGTTCTATTGATCAGATGAGTTTGTATTTGCTGATGTGCTCAGGGAACAGCATTAGGGAGAAGGTGGAAAGCCACTTAGGAGGTAACATGGGCCCTGGTATTAAGGAATGCTGCTTCTGGCGTGCAGATCTGTGAGAGTCTCATTTTGATAAAACTGTCAGCTCGGTTCAAACCAGCCTCTGAGGATGCACAAAACCGTGTCACAGTGACAGGTTTCCCTGATCACTGGCTACATTAGGCTGCAAGAACCAGAAAGCTTGAGTGGCATAGCGGTATCAGGCAGGAGAACACTTTGGCCAGCTCGCTGGTCTGAGAGGACGAGGGGTGAGGGGCCCAGGACGAAGGCGGCGTCTCAGCAGTGTCCTCCAGGACCTGGGCATCTCATGGCCTCCGCCCTGGTCTCCCTAGACGGCTGCTCCTCGCTCACATCAGCCTGAATTGTCAAACCATTCCTGGTTGCAAAGACCAGCTGGGAAAGTGGATCCTGTACTAGCCTTTATAGCCGTGAGCGTAGAAGGGAGGAGAGGGTAAGGAAAAGCTGTCAGGTGGTCAGTCAAGAGCACCCTGCACCAGTGCGATGTGGTCACATGTGTCCATCGACACGTGTGCACGCTCACATGCATATACATCATACGGGGCTACTAGAGGCCCAGCATTCAGCTCCATGCAGAATGTCCCACATAGCAAAGCGGAGACACGGTGAGCCTGGAAAACCTGGGTACAGGGCTTGAATGAGCGACCGCAACAAAAGCAGAATAAAAATGGAAAACAGTTATAAAAAAGATGTGCAATCATGTAGTTTCCAGAAATGTGAACATTAAAATAAGATATTATTTTTTAACTGTGAGAGTAATAAAAATGCAGAGTTTGCTAATATCCAGCACTGGTTAACAGGGAAACGAGAGCCCTTCTTAGACTATCTGTGGATATAAAACCGTCACCTCTTTTGGATATCATTTAGTATCTGCATGTTGATCAAGCTTTGCTTCTGATTCTACTTCCGGGTATCTGTGAAACACTAACGTATCTGTTTAAGGGTACGTGAGGATATTAACTAAAACATTGTTTAATCAGCAAAATATTTGTGTGATGGCAAAAACAAACAAAACAAAACAATACCAAAACTTTAAGTAACAGAAAATGTTCAAATAAACTCCACATGTCCGAGGTTTGCTCAGTTATGCAACAGTCAGTGAGTTATATTTTAATGTGTCTATGCCAAAAAAAAAAAACCAAAACCCTCTAAAGTACTAAGTTAAAAACTTCAGACTTAGGTCCAACAGTGTCACATCACATATGTAATCACTCAGCAAATGACACCTTAGTAACCCTACAGGCAGGTTTCTGTAGATACGCATCTGCTCGTGGATGCAGCTTCGTAGTTACATGCGTGTAAGACGTTCCCACCGCGAAAGCTTTTCCTTTGTAAAATTAATGTGAGCTAAGAAAAATGCATTTAAAAAGAAATGTTGGGGCTTGGGATTTAGCTCAGTGGTGTCAGCGCTGCCTGGCAAGCGCAAGGTCGTGAGTTCGATCCCTGGTACAAAAAAGAAAGAAAGAAATTTTAAGAAAAGAACAAAGCCAATCTGGAAGAGGAGAGCTGGGAGGAGGAATGGGTTTAAGAAGCTGAGAAAGCACAGGGGAAGCCTTGAAGGTGGCCTGGCCAGCACCTTCAGACGTGGCAGTGGTTGGCTGGGGGCACGGAGTCATGACTGGCATGGGACGCCACGGGAAATAAACGGGAGCAACACAGTGACCTGTCAGTCCTTGTGCTCAGGGGACAGAGACCCTGTCGGAGTCACGTTGTCTCCTGACCTTGTCACCCACACTGTGACCCAAGAGCAAGCCTTTGACTCCCAGATCGCAGCAGAAGCAAAAGCCCGTGGACTTTAATGTCATTTTTTTCACGTTACCCTTTAAGGGGCCGGAGAGCAGGCAGGCACCTTCCCCACTTCCTGTAGCGCGATCACATCTGTTTCTTACAATAGGTTCACCAAATTGAGAGTCGGTTAAGACAGGGGGGCATGGTGAGGCCCACAGTAACCATGCACACAAAGAATGCATACACATATTCATCGTTGTGTATGTAGATAAATGTCTATGTAAAAACTACCATCACTGCCTGGCAAGCGTGAGGTCATGAGTGCAATCCCTGGTACACACACACACACACACACACACACACGCACGCACACACCCCTGCTGTTAATAATAGCATGGGTAGATGTATATCTGTATAAAACTCTCTATAGCGAAGGTTAACAGATGAAACATCTTGGGAAATGCAAACAACTAGTTTCAGAAATACTGGTCTAATTATCTGCATTTCGAATTAAATAAAGAAAATTTAATTGCTGTTATGTTCATGCCCTTTAAAAAATTTAATTGAAGACTTTACCTTCAAAGTTCCCTTTCTGAAACACACCATTTTAGGCCAATAATACATATTATGCTTATTCACGAGACACGGTAGCCCAATATAAGCACCAAATGAATAAGTGCGGTTGTTTCTCCAATGTAAGAGGACTTGGCCTAGGAGGCTTCTCAGCCTGAGAAATCATCTCCAGGGAGCGCTGGAGCGAGGAGGCAGATTTCCAGGTAAGGATCATTATGAATGTACACAATGTGTGGGCTTTATGTAAAATAATATGACATAATCCCATGTCGGTAAGAAAAATGAGTGAAACATACTGTTTGAGACTCGTGTTGGAGCTGATGTTTAACATCTGTTTCCCAGGGTGGTCCGGGACTCCGCGGACCCAAGGGCCAGCAAGGTGAACAGGGTCCGAAGGTAATGTGCTCCGTCTCTCAGTCTCTCTCTGTCTCTGTCTCTGTCTTCCCTCCCCACCTGCTTTCCATCATGATTTCTTTACCCTTGTAATCGAAAGCTCCTGAATTTTTATGAAACCGGGGTCTAACCCTTTTCCATATTCAGAGGCCTTGTGCTTTTGGACCACAAAGAATATTAATAGCAGAGTGACAGCCGGGTTTCAGGTTAGACGCGCGTCTTCACGGCGTGAGGGGGTGAGTGTGCGAGGTGGCTCTGCCCCGGGTCCGCTCCCCGGCTACAGTAACAGGAGCCGTGTAGACTCTCGGCACCGGACCCCCCAGGTAACTTCTCGTATTTTGCATTCTTCTTCCTCCTTTTCCACGGTGTGTAATCAAATACACAACCGCGTTTTCCATCCTCACTGTCCAAAGCCACCAGCGGATGCTGGGCCAGGTTGTACACTGCACAAGGGATCAGACCAGGGGACAGGCGATGCCAAGCCATGTCGAGACACATGTTTTTCTACTTTGTACAAAGGCGTCTAAGGACTGGCAGGAGCCCAGCGGCTAATTGAGCTCAGGCCTCGCCTTCCTCTCCCCGGCTCCTGGCACATCTTCTGTCTCCGGCTCCAGTGGCCTGGCGTTCTGACCCCTCACATCTGCCCCAGGATTCCTTGTCCTGGAGTCCAGGCTGGAGTCGGGTCACTCCCTCTGAAAACCTGCCGTCAGGTTTCCTGGTCAGCGGGGCATTCAAGGTCCTTTAAACTGTAATTCCCATCCCGTCCGTCATAGCACTGCTCCGCACGTCAGTCCCCATCACTGGGTGCAGCTCACCACCTCAGTGTGGTTCCCGGTGAAGTTCGCGTGGTGTTTATTCACCAGAAGGATGCACTGCAGAAGTTTCTACTATGCAATGGGAACGGATGGCACAAGGCCAGAGCAAACGTCGGGGAGAGAAAGGAGCCGCTGGACCGCAAGGCCGTGCGAGCCAGCTCCAAGCTCAGGCCCTGAGATAGTGCCCTCCTGGGCTGTGTTTGGGGCTGGACGTGGTAGATGTCCCCTGACTCCGCCCGAGCACCCCTGTGCCTCTCCTCCAACAAGGTGCCCTGGGGCTCCCTGCCCTCCACAGCTGGTGCCAGCTCCCCTATTTCCCTAACACCCTCCTGGGTGATGGCTCCTGCCCTGGAGGCAGACCTCGATTATCCTCTCCTGCCACTATGTACATGGCTCCATCACGTGCTGACTTTGATGGGGGAAGACAGGGACACATAGTGGTGCTTGGGGAAAGAACTTGCCGGGTGCAGTGGGTCTCATGTCAGCCACTGTGGGCACCGGTGAGCTCTGCTCTGCCAGCAAAGCCCCAGCACCCGTCCTGTTTTGGTTTTGGTTTTGTGCATCAGGTAGCAGGGATTTAGAAGCACAAGGCCTTGCTGGCTTCTCCTGGTCATTTCTTGGTCTCTGATTTTGCAAAATAAAGTGGGCCACCTATTTTCTGCCCTATTCTATTTTTTGTTCCTTGATAATATGTAACTAGTAGATATTCAAGAGTTATAAATACCAAGGTGTGCAGCCAGCTTTTTTATGCCCTCTTTTTAATGTTATAATAAAAGTATTTCAAAAGAAATTTTGTTACTTACATTCACTGATGGTATTACAGATTTTTTTTTTTTTTTTGAGACATGGTCTCAAGTAATGGATACACCAGCCTCACTTTAAGGGAGGACTTGGGCTTTATAGCCCAGGCTGGTCTTTAAGAGATTTTTCTGGGTCTAAAATTGCAGAAGTGGTGTGGTTTCATTAAACCATGACAAGATCTAAACAATAGAAGTCAGCTTACTGGGGTGAGAGGGGTGTCTGATCTTGAAAAGAAAGAAAATCAAATGGTATTGATTCCAGGGCCATTTGTAGGCACCGAAGAGGCAGAGAGGGCAGGACCAAGGTGGATACCAAGGTCCCCGGGGCAGAGGGTCGGGTCAGGGTCGTCCACAGCGAGGGAGGAGGGAAGCAGCTCACCTCCTTCCGCTCCATGGCTGAGACTTTGCAGACCTGGAGAGCGGGCCTCAGCACTCAGCGGGCCTCTGTCTTTAGAATTTCTTCTAGAGTGGGGTGTGTGTGTGTGTGTGTGTGTGTGTGTGTGTGTGTGTGGTTACTTATCTAATTGGCACAGCATTCTGTCTGTGAAAGCAAAAATGAAAACCCGAGTTGCAGTAACCCTCTCTGTATGTTGTCCTGGCTATGGGTGATGTTTAGCCTTGGAGATGAGTCATTTGAGTTTGGGGTCTGCTTATCCTCTTAATACTTTGTGTCTTAGGAATTTTCCTAAGCCCTGTAAGCAGAAATATCCCTTAAGAGTCAAAGGGTCTCTTCTCTGATGACTTTTCTTATTAGGAGCCTGACCAGGCCCTCAATCTCCTAAGCAGGGCTAAAGTTTAAATAAGAGAGACAAGCAGTATGGTTTTGGGGTCCAGGAAGGTCAGAACTCTTGGAGCTCAGACAGAGACTTCTCTGGATGCCCATTTTTTTGGGTTTCAAACAGATTGGGGTGGGGGCATGAAGGGAATTGAAAGCAGTGGCTGAGGTAGAGGCCGGAAACTGAGCAGGGCCTTGAGAAGTCAGAACAAAGACTTTTGCAGCCGTAACTGTTACCAATCAGAGACTGTCGTATCTCTTTGGTTGGCAGTTCATCGCCCTGGGATCCTTTGGGTGAGGTTCATTGTCCTGGGATCCTTGGGGCGAGGTTCATCGTCCTGGGATCCTTGGGGTGAGGTTCATTGTCCTGGGATCCTTTGGGTGAGGTTCATTGTCCTGGGATCCTTTGGGTGAGGTTCATCGTCCTGGGATCCTTGGGGTGAGGTTCATTGTCCTGGGATCCTTTGGGTGAGGTTCATTGTCCTGGGATCCTTTGGGTGAGGTTCATTGTCCTGGGATCCTTTGGGTGAGGTTCATTGTCCTGGGATCCTTTGGGTGAGGTTCATTGTCCTGGGGTCCTTTCGGTGAGATTCATTGTCCTGGGATCCTTTGGGTGAGGTTCATTGTCCTGGGATCCTTTGGGTGACGTTCATCGTCCTGGGATCCTTTGGGTGAGGTTCAGCCCTGCAGCTGCAGTGTCATTCTGTCATTCTGACAGGCTGTGAGCACGAGGTTTTCAAACACAGCAGAGGCTCCTTTATGCTGAGCAGCTTCACCCTTCCATAGCCTGGTCCCCAATAATTTCTCTCTTGTCTTCCAGGGACCAGAGGGCCCTCGGGGGGAATCAGGCCCTGCAGGACCTCAGGGCCCCCCGGGACCCCAAGGACCGAGTGGGTTGTCCATTCAAGGAATGCCGGTGAGTTATGCCCAAGTGCTCTCATGGGTTGTATTGTTAGGACTCTCCCGTGGGAGGCCCCTGCCCCCCGTAATGAGCCCATCCCTTTGAAAGTGAGTGCTGATGGGGGTCCACTCAGTAGCTCTGCCCATCACCTATTTTTTGCTCAAAAGTGGGGCTCTTATGATAAACAGGTACGTGGACAGCAAGTTTCTACAGAAGAAAAGCAGAGCTTCACGCATACATAAAGCCCTTTTCTTGTGTGACCAAACTCCTGATGGATGTGGAAGCAACCAGAAAGTAATTAATGTTACATGAAGTTAATTATCCATTATTGACTTGTATAATGGTGGCTGAAGATTAATGAAAGCCATTGATTTATGACCCTTATCTCAGGTAGCCTCGGAGTACAGGCCATTAAGTGAGTGAGTCTTGGTTTTTACATCGTGGCGGTTACACGGCTGCATCTCTTTGAAAAGCTACTTTGTGCCATTAAAAACAGATTTAATTCCACTACCCATCTTCAGTAATGGAGATCTAGAGTTCAAATATAAAACCGATCTGTAATTAACACTCGGAGCAACCAGCTCCCTGAAAGCTTCCTGTTTAGTGATCTTTCTTTGGGTTTTCCTTCCAAAAGTTTTTCACTTTTTAGAAACCATTAGCATCAATTTGTGTGGTTGCTACTATTAACAACAAGTATTTGTTTCCATCTTACTATCCACTAGGTCAGATGTTTGCACATCTATGCCTACATTGTATTCCTGTGGTCTTTTTTAACCAAATCTAAGACAAAACAAGTCTATAGAGGTGTAAGGTTTTTTTAATTTAAACTACAAGTACCAGTGAAATATTCAACGGTCCCCTCCACGCCTGTACAGTGTCGGCTGGGCCACACGCGAATGTTTGTCCCGTGTTGGAACCATTCTGTCTTAGGAAGGTTCTGTCCCTGGCAGTGTTTACCTAGAAGGAGTAGCATGTTTGAGAAGTGACGTGGGTCATGCAGACGCTCCTGTGGGAGCACCTGGGTGTTGAGGGCACTCTGAGGGGGAGACACTCCGGTGACCCTGACTGTGTGCTTTTGGTATTCAGGGAATGCCTGGCGAGAAGGGAGAGAAAGGAGACACTGGCCTTCCTGGGCCACAGGTACTGTGTCTGTGTCTGTCGCTGACAGCTGTCTGCTCCCTCGAGCTTCACCAAGGATCCAGGGCTCGGACTCTAACGTCAGCCGTAGCCTTGGTGCTGCCCCTTGGAGAGCCCAGCTGAGGGGCGGGTGGCCGGGTGGGAGGTGCTCCTTTCCCCGAGGTTCCTTTGGGTCTGAGTTCCCTGGCGAAGGGTCCTCACTCACCCAGTAGGTTTGCAAATGTCTTTTTTCCCATTCTGCCTAGGGTATGCCAGGAGGTGTGGGCTCACCTGGACGTGACGGCTCACCCGGCCAAAGGGTAAGACCTCGCCGCAGGCTGCTTCTGACCAAGCATGCCTCTCTCCAGCCACTGCGCTGGTGGCAGAGCTCATGGAAGGAACTGGAGCCAGTTCATTCGCTATCTTGCCCTGCGGATCTCCACGCTACCAGGCCACATCTGTTTCCATTCGCCAGTGGCTTTGACGTCCACTGCTTCCCCCAGCACTAAAACACCGTGTCCATTATTTCTCCAACTATTCCGAATCAGCAGCACCCTTTCTGAAGGCTTCTAACCCTGAATGTAGCTCACACTGAATTGCATGTGCTGGTTTAACAGTTTCCCCAGCTCTTTCAAATCCTCAAGGCACAAACCGAAAGGAAATGAACAGCCATGTGAGCTGGGAGTTTAGGGTGCCTTATTCCCCGGGGAGCAAAGCATGGGCCGGGAAGCACTCTGACTCGGAGAGTGCCCCGCTCGCTGAGTGCGACTGACGGCTCAGAGCAGAGTGTCCCCTCTGTGGGATGCAGGTGTGGGCACCACATCTCCCCTCCTTTTGGTTAAACGCCCACTTGCCTTTGCCTAACCTCTCAGTCAGTCCCTGTTCAGCCCACAGAATCATCCTGTGTAGCGTGTCTCAGCCCACATTTCCAGGGGCCTGCTGGGAAAGTGAGCTGCTCGAGGGCTCTGGGACCCGTGGCAGGGGTGTCTACCAGGATTTATGTGTTTTGGCTGAGGGCTCGGGCTAAGATCCTGTGTGGTTACACACCTAGATTCCTTCATGGTTCCTGAAGCTCAGAAAAAGGCAAGTCTAGAGATTTGGTTGAGGGAGTTTGTTTGATTTATCTGTGCATAATTCCGGGCTTGGCAGAGAGCTCCCGAGTGAAACTTGCTGGCTTAGCACTTGAATTGCTGGACGTTGGAATGCTTCCTTTTAGAATCTGTGTGCCAACTTGGCCTTTTTGAAACTATTTTGCTGCTCTTCCAAACATGCTGTGTTCTTCTATAGGATCCAAACTCTTAATAAAGTGATATCTATACTTGGATATCTTACAAGATATTATAAAATGCCTTAGGATAGCATAAAATGTCCCTGTGATAGTAAAGCTCTGAGTGTGTGTGCTCCCTACTTTGAATGCTTCTGGAATAGGACAGAAATTGCTTTATTATCTGGATTTCAGTGGATACACACTCGTTATAGAAGTGTATATTTTTGGAAGCAATAGTTTAGAAAAAGATGCTTGGGGCCACACCATGCCAGTGTGTAACCAAGGGGCTGCCGTTCACATGAAATGGCCCGGTGGTGCCCTCGAGGTGTGTAGCAGCCTCCCCACTGGAGGGAAGCACCAGCCTCGCATTAGCTGAGGACATGCTCTGTACCATTGACTACACCGGCTACAAAGAGTTGCTCAGAACTGCAGAGGAGAATTTGGAGGCGGAGATCTTTACTGTTGCTAAACGAAGCAATTTCCAAAGTGCCTACCTCAAGGGAATAGCAGGAGGAGTAGGTTCCAGAACGTGTCTGTTGCCCCCAGGGCCAGGGAAATGCCTGACTCTTTTTAGAACCCCAAAGGAAGAAAGGAGAAGGTGGTGAAAACAGAATTGTTTAGTCGGATATATTTAGTCAAATGATCCACAGGCTTTAGGGTAGCAGAGTTATAAGACAGTTAGTCACTCAGCTGGGCTGTAAGGTAGGAGGGTCAGGGTAGACAGGTGTAGGATGAGAACCAGCCCGGAAGGCTCGCTCCGTGGAGTCTCCCTGGTCTCTGCAGTCTCTCCAGGTCTCCCTGGCTGGGCAGCAGGAGAGGAGAGGCTGCTTAAAGAGTACTAAGAACAAACACCCTGCGATAATCCCTCTTTGGCCGTAGGCCCAGAGGCACAGTGGCCACCATGGCGGGTAACGGATTGACAGCAGAAGGAATGATGAGCCTTACTGCCCGTGGCAGTGAAAGGGGACGCAATGCTCAACACCCAGATGTAAAGGAGGAGGGGTTTAATTTGGCTCTGATTTCAGAGCCAGTTAGTGGCTGGCTGGCTTCCAGGCCGACCGTCATGGTGGAAGGGCCTGGCTCACAAAACCGCTTAGTTCATGGCGGCCGGGAACCAGAGCCTGAGAAGCAGGGGCCGTGGGACATAGACCGCAGAGCCCCAGTTCCACGACACACCCAGACATACTAGAGGAATGTCCCACCGCTGGGCGACTCTTCAAGCCAGTCGAGTTGACATGACCCAGCTTAACCGTCCTGTCCCTTCCAGAGCGTTCCCCAGCGAGGCTGGTCTGTCCAGGGGCCCAGGAGGGCAGAGCTGTTTGGTTCCTTTGGTCTCAGCCCTTGATCACTCAGCGGTGCTGGCTGTCAACACCCCCCACCCCGAGTGAGTGAATCCCACGCTAGGCAGGAGGGAGGGGCTGGTGAGGACTTGGGGCGGTGTCCTCTCCCCAGGTTCCCGGCTCCATGGGGTCTGCACATCACCGCGGCCCTGGGCTGCAGCTCCCTGCTGCACCTTCCTTCTGTTCAGCCTCTGCCTGTCCTTAGCTCCCACCTGGGAGCCCCATCGCTCTGACCTTTAGTGCAGGGAAGGGCTGACAGCTCTCTCCCGGGGCGGCTGCCAGTCCCACTCCGGAGGGTTCACAGATCACAAAGGAAGAAGACCAAACATCTGCTCCTCTTGCGTTTCTGGCCTTTTCTGGCTTTTTCCCCCGGCAGGTTGGCCACTCGACAGCAGCCCTTTTCCAGGCTGGGCCTGCGGCCACAGTGGCCTTCCAGCACAAGCTGGACTCCTTCACCCTGGGCGGTTTCCACCAGCCAGGAGGCCCTGGAGCAAACTCGGGCCCTGACTTTGGGAGCAGAGGTGCAAGTTCCATATCCAACAGCTGAGGCAGCGCGGCCTCCGCCCCACCAGCCTTCCGGCCAGGGAGACATCCTGCCTCTTTCTTTTCCACTATAAACCTTGCCTCCTCCCCTCTGTTCTTGGTGTCTGTGAGTTCGGGGCTCACCCAGTGTTCTCTGGGCGCCTCTGATGTGTGGTGCCTTTCTTAGCCCTGATTGGGACAGCCGGGGGTCCTAGGGAAGCCAGAAAGAACGGACTAGACTCGCCTGTCTGACAGACGGACGGACGGATGAGTGGACAGATGGATAGATAGGTGATAAGCAGGTGGAAGATAGATGACAGATACATAGATAGATAATTGATTAGCAAATGATAGATAATAGGCAGGCAGAGAGATACAGGGTCAGAGAAAGAACCGAAAAGAAAAACAGAGAAAGAAAAACCAACTTCCTTCCCGGCTCTGAGAGCCACTCGCAGTCAGACTCTAGTTTGCCAGCCAGCACTACCAGCATAAGCTTTAAAGTCATTTTACTTTCCAGTTCTTAGTTCGGTTTTATAAAAATTCAGGAAGAGAAGAGATGAAAATGCTAAAGAGACAGGTTTTTACAGCACGCAGAGTGGAGTAATCCCCCTGTCCTGCCCAGGCGCGGAGTCCAAATTCCAAGGTTTAAGCTCTTTCATTTGAGGTGCTTCCTGCTCATTTAGGGTCCTTCCTCTGAGCCCCATGAGTGTCTCTGCACTCCCTGCCATAAGCACGGCCTTCCTTCCTCCTTGGTCAGAGGGAAACTCTGCAGAAGGCACTTCACCTCCGGATCTGACCAGGGACCGCTGGGGTCTTTATAGCTGGGGTCTTCGGGACTGGGGGCTTCATGGCTGAGGACTTTGTGGCTGGGGGTTTCATGGCGGGGGACTTTGTGGCTGGCTACACCTGGGTTTAAGCCCCCACCACCCCATCCTAGACCAGGACCTGTGTGTTTTCAAGACTCACTTCCCTGGGCTATGAAAAGCAGGGGGAGAAAATCACATGCCCCATGAAGTCGTTGTGCAGATTAATTCCTACAAAGCTTTTCTATAAAGAAATGCAGTCTTAGCTACCCATATTAGTATTCACCACAGGAGAAGGGATGTTTCCTGACTCCTACCCTTTCTATATGAAGATGCCTCTGAAGATTGTAAATAAAAAAAATCTAAAGAAAAAGCAAGTTGGGGTTTTCCAAAAATTTTTTGGATTCCACCCTGTAAGCATACTTGAACACGCTGGCTGGCTAATTATGTGGGCTTGGGAGCACAAAGGCCACATTGTGCTGAGGGCCCCATGCTGCAGAGGGGAGCTGGGCTCCAAGCGCCCTGGGAACTTGAGCTCCGAGAGGCTGCTTGGCTTCCATCCCCGAGGGCTGAGTTAAGCAGTGGGGAGAGAGTCTCTGCCTGCCCTCTGCCAGCTCCTACGCTGGCTGCACAGTAATTATCCCCGGGAGCGTCTCCCTCCTCAGAAAGGAAACAGAGATACCATCACAGAGCCGGGGAGAGAAGGGCTTGGTTTTCTGCTCTGGGTTCTAGGCGGATTTTCATTAAATCCCAGGAAAACATTTGCTCAGCGCTGACAGCCTTCTGCCATCGGCACTCCGCGAATTGCTTTAACAAAAACAGCAGCCGCCATCCCGTCAATTGCTGAGTCCCTGCAGGTGCTTCATGGTATGGCTCCTTCATCCTCTGGAGACGGAGATTGCTGGGCACTGTGATTCCGTTTCCCAGATCCAGGCTGGAGCTGAGGAAGCGGAGGGTCTGAGCTCCGCCTGGCAGCGAGGACGGGCTCCTGGCTCGGCACTGAGCTCGCTCTTCCCTGCAATCCTGTCAGTAAAGATCCTGCGGGACTTGGTGACTGTGAGAAAATCTCCCCGAAGAGCTGTTTAATCAGTAGAATCTCCACCCTGCAGTGGCCTCGCCTGCCCCACTAGGGCACTGGGGGCCCTGTCTGGGTGACTTCCTTGATAGAGTCAGAATCGAAACTTCATGCCTGAAAACAGGCTGCTTTCACAACGCCCCTCACCTGCCCACAGCGAAGAACGGGTATCAGTTTCGTGTCCTTGTTAGCTCTCCAGTCTCCCGCCTGGGCACAGGCCTGGCAGCAGCAGTGGCATCTGCCTTGGACTCTGGCTTTAGTTCTAGTGGAGGGGCGGAGGCAGGATTTCTAGGTTTGTACAGCTGCAGGTGCACCCCCTAATCATCAGGTGGTTCTGTGTCTTCACTCATTTAAACAGATTCCTGAACTCCACATTAGGGAACCAGATACCAAAGTTCTTAGGTGGAGTTAGGAATGCATGGTTTTAAAAAGTTTGAAGAGTCTGATAACCAATTTGACTTCAGAAAAACTGGATAGGGTGTTATATAAGACCTACTGCATGTCAAAGTAATTTCTTCATAGAATATTCTGAGTATTTTCTGTTTTAATTGTATGAAGTCATCACTGCAGGTTGCTAAAATGAATAATTACATGTATACATGCATTTAGATTGAAGATAAGTAAGTGTTAAAGTAGAATGTTGTGGTGGCACACTCCCGTAATCCCAGCACTCAGGAGGCTGAGGCAGGAGGGTCGTTGCAAGTTGACAATCAACCTGGGCTATAAAGTGAACTCAAGGTCAGCCTGAACTGCATAGCAAGACCCTGTCTCCAAAAAAAAAAAAAAAAAGTACAATGTGTGCATTTGTACCAATGCACACACCACACACACACACACACACACACATACACACACACACTCCTGTGTCTAATGCATGCAGGTGAGCAAGTCACTAAAACTTCCCCAGGGAGACCCTCCAGGGTGTCACACGTCAGGATTGGCCCAGGTCACTAGCCCGGGCCAGTGTCTGCAGGGCCTGTGGGTTTTGCTGCTCAGTCTCTTAAGCTGGCGGTGGGCCTTACCTCCGGGCTGCCAGGGCAGCCTTGTTTCCGATGGCCAGCAGCCGCCCTGGCCGCTGGGTGGCTTGGTCGTGCCACAGGGCTGAGCCTGCATGCGGCTTTTTCAGGCTTTCTTTGGCCCTTGCTGCTTGAGTCTAGTGTGTCAGATGCCGGGTGCCAAGGACCTAGCAGGTCCCTGCCACGCCGCTCTGGGGAGCTGCAGCTGATAGCCTAATCACTAGCTCTGTGCACCAGTTCTCAGAGCCCTGTCACAGACGCATGCTGGCTTTCGACTAATTTCAGATATAAAATGCATTGTGTATAGGTGGCTTCAGCCTTTAGATGCCACAGGCATAGAACTTGGGAAGTACAAACTTCAAAAGGGGCTACAGAACACCATTGCAGCCATCTGTGGTGGTGCACACCTGGAAGCCCAGCTCCCAGGAGGCTGAGGCAGGAGAGTTTCCATGAGTTTGAGGCCAACCTGAGCTACATTGTGAGTTCAAGGCCAACCTTCACCACATAGTGAGACCCTGTCTCCAAAACAAAAAATGAAACATTTCAGACCGGAGAGGTGAGAGTACCCGTTATATTTGCTCTACAGTATGGAAAAGAAAACTGAAAATCTCAGGGAGTAAATGTTTAATTGAGTGAAACCCTCTTTGCCAGTTTGAGCCGTAGGTGCTTGAGTGTTTGTCAGACTGTTAGGATCTGGAAAGTAGATCGTAGGTTAGAATTCGTTTTGCAGGTAAACCCTAGCTCAGAGCTCAGACGTTTGCTCAGAGCCAAATGTCTTCAAAAACAAACTCTAAAAATCTTTTCAAGTTTTTACAGCAGAAAGTATTTTAATGTGGGCTGTGGATGTATATTAATATTTAGAGGTGAGAATATAAAGAAAGGAAAAATGCTCGGAGCTATTTTTGTTTGTGGGTGGCTGATTTCGTGCATTTCAGCAATGAATACTTGTTGGCTCAAGAGATTCCCATTAAGCGTCTCCTTCTTAGTATTCGCTATTTGTTGTTAATTAAGGGTCTCTGCTTGTTGTGAGGTTGCTCAATTCATAAACACTCATCTTCAAAAAAGCAAAAGCGTTCATCTTCACAGATCGGCTCCCTGATGTGGATACTGAAAAGATTTGGAAAGGGGAACACAAGTCTCTCGGTCAGTGGCTGAAAAAGGACTCTGACCCTTCACTGCGCTCAAACTGAAGGACAGAGCTGGAGTTTGCCCGTTATTTTTCGGTATAAAATGTAGGCACTTTGCAACAGTGCTCCTGTCACCAAGATTGTGGCTTCTGTATGAGAATCCTCTGCTGTGGCTGCTCACCCGGGATGAAGGGGAAGGCAGAGACGCCAAAGCTGTCCTATGTGAGAGTTGCCTTGTGTTGGATGTCGTAGTATAGTCCTGTCATCCCCTCACTTGGGAAGCCGAGGCAGGAGGACCCCAAGCTCAAAGCCAGGCTAAACTATGTAACAAGAACCAGAGAACCAAACACAAAGTCCCCAGGCGGGTGGCCCTGGGGCACTGAGAACCAAACACAAAGTCCCCAGGCGGGTGGCCCTGGGGCACTGAGAACCAAACACGAAGTCCCCAGGCGGGTGGCCCCGCGGCACTGCCACAGCTCATGAGGATGGACGAGAGTGCAGGGAGCCTGGGCTTGTGCTTGCTGTGCTCCTGAAGCAGAAGGTATAACACAGGCTGATGTATAAAGGACAGAAGTGTGCTGGGTCATGGTGCTGGAAGCTGGCAAGTCCAGGACTGAGGGCCTGCATCTGAGCGGTGTTCTTTCTGTGTCTTAACAAGAGAAAGATAGCAGATGAGGTGGGTGAGAGAAACACAAGCCCCTTCCCATCCTGAGCTTGTGGCACCAAGTTAATGGCAAGGAGACACGGCCAAGCCATGGGTCCACGCTGGAGAGGAAAACCGCACCATGGTGACCCCCGCCTCCTTGGCTGGCTCTGTTGATCGGGTTGCTAATACCCAGAAACAACCAGAGAGTGCTGTGGCACAGCAGGCCGTCCCTGTCTGCAGGCCACCCACGCGCCTGCTGCCCGTGCACACCATTTACCACCGAATCCTTCCTGTCTGTCATTTATGCCTGTGGGGGGAGACAGGATGGCGGTGCAGGTGGGGTCCCTAGAAAGTAAGACGCAGCCACGTCCGAAAGGGAGCTGGAGGGTAGCAAGTTCGTCCCTGGAGTAGGGCGGGGTTGCTTTGAGCAGAATTTTATGAGCCTGCTGTAAAAAGCTGAGATTGAAGATGTGCGGTCATGTCAGCTCCATTGGAAAGTCCAGAGCCACAGAAAATTGACCGTGTGAGAGGAAGCTGTTGCAGCTGTTACACATTTTAAAACTCAGATATTCACACAGAAATAGCACTCCACACACAGCCAGCAACTTAGGAAGATGTTTTTACTTTGAAAAGCACCGTTTGTTCTGCCTTTATTAAGCCTTCTAACGTGGGACAGTTAGCAAACACGTCGGTGTGTGTAAATGCCAGGAGGCAGGCGCTCAGCCTACGCAGCCAGGTGCCTCGGTCCCCACGGCTGCTGTGGGTCCCCACCCCACGCGTCCTTGCTCATGGTACGAGGGCAGGAAAGACACCAAGACATCTTTTTATCTCCGCCCTTTAAGTAACAAGAATCAGTCCTCTTGGGCTGGGGATTTAGCTCAGTGGCATAAGCGCCTGACTGCAAATGTGAGGTCCCCGGTTCAATCCCCGGTACAGGGGAAAAAAAAATCAGTTCTCTCCTGTGTTGTGCTTGGTTCAGTAGAAACATTTTCTGGAAACAAATTCCTAAGTTTGTAAGTGGCATTTCTTACACCTAAAATTCTTGCCCTGGGCAATTTAATGGCGCCAATAGACACAAAGTCTTGCCAAGAACAATTTCCAGGAAGAGTCCGAAAGCAGTGAATCCTTGCTAGCGCGGAGCTAGCCATGAGACTCGCCTCCTAAGCAGCAAAAGAATTCCGAGAGCCTGTCCTGAGAGTCCCTTGGTTGACACACGGTGTTTTTCTTCCCCAGGGATTTCCTGGCAAGGACGGTTCCTCCGGCCCTCCAGGACCTCCAGGGCCAATTGTGAGTATACCAGAAGGTGACAAGGTGTACCCCGCTTTAGAGCCCCACATTTCTTCGGGGACGTTTTCTCCTGCAGCAGCCACCTTTGCTGTGGGGTATCAGCTTGTCCCTTGGCTCCCAACTACCTTCAAACATCCTTTAAAGATAAGACATAGCTGGGTGTGGGGGCTCACGCCTGTAATCCCAGCATTCTGGAGGCTGAAGCAGGAGGATCGATGCAAGTTCAAGATCAGCCTGGGCTACAAAGTGAGCTCAAGGCCAGCCTGAACTGCATAGTGAGATCAGGTCTCAAAAACAAAACAAAAAAAGGTTAAGACAGGCTAGTGGCCTAATTATCCTCTGAGCCATTTGGCCAGCTGCACTGATTTTGGATACAGATAAGGTTTGCTTGTAAAAGAACCATATCTCAGTAAGAGTACAGAGACTTAAAAAAAAACCTTCTCATTTTCGGTGTCCTGAGGTTTGGTGGTGAGGAAGGTGGTCTGTCACTGTGTATCTGTGACTCTTGCTTGTGCGTTGTCCTAGATGAGACTGTGTGATTTTCACCTCTGCTGCATTTCCTGCTTCCTCTCAGGGCATCCCTGGAGCGCCCGGAGTCCCCGGGGTCACGGGCAGCGTGGGACCACAAGGCGCCCTGGGCCCACCCGTGAGTATCCTCAAGCTGGTGGGGTGGGTGCTGGGCCCCGTGCTCTGTGTGTCTCAGTTCACCAGCATCTCCGCTGGCCAGAGTGATCGTGTAGTGCTAGACCCTGGGACTCTGTGAAGGACACCAGAGAGGCTCCAAGCCGAGGGTTCAGAGCGAGTCCTGAAGGCGAGGGTCTGTCAGTCCTCACGGCATGATCACTCCCATTTTCGTTGCCTGCAATCTGTGTTTGCTTAAGTAAACACACTGTCAGTCTCCCAAGGATTGGCTCTCACAGGCAGGTGTCGGGCAAACCTGACTCCAAACGGGCAAAATGCCATGTTTGAGGAATTTAAGGTTTGATGAGTGAAGTAGGTTTTTTCCCTGAATTTCACCGGGAAGATTTAATGTCTGATGAAAGCGTACCCTCCTGTCAGTGACCAGTGGTGTTAAAGGACAGCACCGGGCCTGGAACCCGGGCTGCCCAGTTTTGCACTCTCAGTCCCTTTGTGTCGGTGCCTAAGTGTGTTCAGTGGCCGTGGGCGTGGGCGTGGGCGGGAGGGAGGTGGAGAGGAATCCACGAACAGTCCCGGGACGGGCGTTTGCTCACCTACTCAGGAAGCAGTGACACCACTTGGCTCTGGGGCTGTGACTCTCCTGGCTTCTAATGATGTTTGGTTGGGGGTGGGCTTCTTTGTTTTCTTTCTCTGGTCTCTCTCTCCCTCTTTTTTTTTCACACAGTCTCACTATGCAACCTAGGCTGGCTTCAAACTACTGTGATGCTCCTGCCTCAGCCTCCTGAGTGCTGGGATTGCAGGCGTGAGCCGTCTTGTCCAACTTTCTAAGTTTGTTCTTTTATAGCATCCAGAAATAAAGACATGTGCACTAGGAAAAATAAAATCAATGCGGCCCCAGTCCTCGGCTCACAGCCACTTCCATTCCCGCCAGCTGTTCTGCATCTCTCTGACCCTTCCTCCCTGGTCGCATGGTCCTCTGACCACAGCTGGGAAGGATTCTCGCTTTTAACGGGTCCCTGTGATTCCATGAACCCTTCCTGGGGCATCGTACACAATACCCTTAGAGAGTCCCTGAGTCCTCTACTAAAGGACATTTGCCAAGTCCCTTTTGCCACATAAGGTGATAGAGTCACGGGTCCTGGCAGTTAGGTTTGTACGCTGGGGCGAGGTCCCCCCCCCCCCCGGTTATATAGGGAGTGTGACATAGAGGAAGTTGGTTCTTATTCACACAGGCCCTTGCCTCTCTTCCTCTCTCTACCCAGCCAGTCTTGCTGTTTATTCTTCAAACTCATTTCAGTAAAAGCGTTTACCTTCAGAGGCTTTTTCTGGACTCCACCTCACTGCCTAAACACACAAGCATGCATGGAAAGGCACCAGGATCCTAGCAAATGCACCCTCATTTGTGCTTGTGAATCAGTGCTGTCCTTAGCAGTCACTGTACAAAGCCGTATGTGTATTCCAACTCCATTGTTCAAAGCAGTTTTATATCTCATTTCAAACCAGGCTAAATCAGACTACAGAAGATGACTGGGTTGCTTTATCTTCAGGTGTGAGTTTTAGCCAAACAGACACCATCCGCTGACGCTCACGTGTGAAGGCTTGGAGATGCGCATGTGCAATCACGTACACACCCTGTCCTTTCTCTGTGAGCCCTTCCAAATTAGCATGCCTATTCTTTCAGGTCTAGGCTATTCTATACCAGAAAGAGACTTAAAAGCATATTCTCCGCTCCAAAATGTGCTTCCCAAAATGTGTCCGTGGGAACGGCAGTTAGACAGTACATCAGTGGGGCTTGGACAAAGGGGCCGTGGTCAGAGGGGTGACAGGGCAATGCAGGCTTCATCCAGAAAGCGAGGGAGCTGTTAGAATATCAGGGGCTTTGCACGTCCTGAGGTGAAAGCAGGAAATGCCAGCATGCTGGCTTAACCTGGGTAGACAGTCGACACACGTACTCCTATATGGGGAGATCTTGTTTTCACTGGTGTCTCCCAGAACTAGTTCTCCTTGTCCTAAGCTAGGAAGGTGCAGTCCAGGGGCTGATTCCACTCCAGGAGGGATGGAATTGGAAAAGGCTAAGGAGAGAAGAGCAGGCGCTGGGGCCTGAGAGAGTTTCCGTGGGGTGAGTTCATGGTGTTCACAAGCAAGCGTGGCGCCATCTTGTCTACCCACTGGGCCTTGGGGGTTCGGATTAGACTCTAACTGTGAGACACAGCAAAATGCTTCTGTGTTTTCCCCACTTGCCTGCATCAGAGGCGAAGCCATTTGACTTCTCTGCTGGGTGGGGACACCATGGCAGGCTTGGGATTTCCTGTCAGACACAAGTGGCTCCTCAGCTGCCAGCTGGGCTTTCCCCTGTGTCTGGGCCTCCAGCTCCCACAGGCCTGCTGGCCGCCAGGCTGGCGAGACTGTTACAGCACACTGTGCTGCCCAGAGCCCAGGCCCTGATTGATTTCCCATGGACGGCTGTCTAGGAAGACGCAGGGAGGAGCCCAAGAGGGACGGCCTGGCAGTAGGATGGGCCTCCTGCAGCTGGCGTCAGCAGCGCTCGCTCGGTCTCTAGTCCCCAGCTCCACAGAGCAGCATGTGCCTTGCTGCCCAGGGTCTCACTTCCTGCCTGAGTTTAAGTGCCACCGCTGTGTAAGCAGAGGCACCCACAAAAGCAGGAAAGGAAGAGCTGCCCGTGGTGGGGCTGTTGGTCAGCCTGCCCTCTTTAGGAGCTAAGCCGTGTCTACATCATCTGCAGAATTCGGGGTGTCAGGGTCGCAGATGCCTAGCTGTGGGAGCTTCGTCACTGACGTGGTCATCTCACCTTCCTGCAATCAATTCCTAACTCTAAAATACGGTGCAATATGACAAGATTGCAAGACGTGAAATGCCTTAAAGGAAAGATGAGAAAATTGTGCAGGGAGAAAGAGAGAGAGAGAGAGAGAGAGAGAGAGAGAGAGAGAGAGAGAGAGAGAAAGGATGAGAGAGTGCCTCCAGCCACTCTAGAAGGTGCAGCGTTTCAATGGGATCTTGATGTCCATGGAAATCAAAGTCAGAGAAGATGGGCATGGCTTGGTTGTTGTAGCTTGTATCTAGATGTCCCCCCAAAGCCTCATGTGTCCAGAGGTGGACTTTTCAAAGCCGGCTGGCTCTAGGGTGTGTGATACAGGGACGGAGGGTGTGTGGCACATGTTAGCCCACTGATTGGAACTAGCAGAGCTCTGGGTGTGACCGAGTGTATCTACCGGAGACAGAAGCCCCACTCTGGGTGTGGTTAGCGCGACCCAAAAGGTTGCAGCCTGTTTAGAGTAAAGGGAGACGCAGGTTTGCTGCTGCTGCTGCCTCCTGCCTGCGCTGCCATGGACTGTTTCTCCTGGCGATGCCCTCTGCCATGCTCGTGCTGTCCTGCCTTGGAGCCAGCTGGCCATGGACTGAAACCTCTACAAACTGTGAGCGAAAATGAACCTTTTTTCCTTTAACTTCTGGGTGTTGGTGTTCTGTCCCAGCATTGAGAACCAAGACTCTGGGGAGGAACGTAATGAACAGCACACACAGGGACCTCCGGGCCTTTGTGATGGCTCTCTGATTGTCATCTCTTCCTCAGCCACCAGCTTTATTTCAGGCCCTGCCCCTCCGCACAGAGGCCATCTCAAGAAGCCCCAGGTGGCCCTTGGCCTCTCGCTAGCCCTTGTCTGTCCACTCCCTGGCTGCCAGGGCTTCTCTTAGCGTGTCTTCCCTGCTGTGTCTCCTTCCTGGTCCCTGTCCCCAGAGGATGGTCTCGGAGTTCAGTGTGGTTTACGTGGCCTTGCCCGGTGGCCTTTACTTTCTGCGGTATCTTGGCCTGTCGTCACCCTTCTCTCAGAGTTCAATCACACCGAATTATTTAAAGCACCCCAAATGCATGTCATATCATACTGCCTCGTAACTTTTTGCCTTTGGGGTGCCCTGCTAACTTTCTGGGTTGCTCTCTTCTGTCACCCTGTAGTGAAGACCAGACTGTACTTTCTTTAAGGCTGTGGAAAGCACTTGTAAAGTCGCTTTCCCATCCCTGGGACACAAGACCCAGTACCCACAGCTTGAAGAAGGAGCCGTGTATTCAGTGCCTGGTTTCAGTCCGTGGTTATGTCTCCAAGACAGAAGCAGCATGGGGGAAAGGCACGGCGAGGAAAAGGTGCTCCCCCCACAGAAGCCAGGAAACAGAAATGAAAGGGGGAGCAGGGACAAGACCCCCCATCCAAGTCACACCCCAGTGACCACCTCCAACCAGGCCCCGCCTCCTATCAGTGCACTCAGCCCCGAACTCCTCCGTGGATGAATCCTGGACGAGGGAGCACCCGCGGTCCAATGGCCTTCCACACACTGGAGAACTTGGGGGACGTTTTCAATCTAAACCGTGACAGCCAGGCTCCCGTTTAGCCCAGTAGCATTGGTGTCCGTCTCTCCCCCCAGGACAGGAGCCTTATCCTGCCTACTTTGCATTCCTAGAGCTCAGCTCTGAATCTGCTATGCAGAGCACTTGTCTTATAAGATAAAGAAAAGGCACAAGTCTGTGTTTGTGTCCCAGTTAGGTGGCTCCGGGGGGCACTAACAGGTTATCCTCGCGGACTGAGGTCGGAAGCCGGCCGGGGGTGTTCTGATTCTGCTTCACAGGCATCTATGCTGTGTGGGACTCACACGGGGAGGTCACCGCTCTTCCTCCTAACACTCAACTTCTGAATCTGTGAATGGAGCTACTGTATTTTTTCTTCTTTACATTTCAAGTGTTTCTGAAATTACAGGAAAATGTTCCACTTTTTGCTGCCCGTGTCTACAGGGTCTATGTGTTCTCCCTCAAAGCATATTTTGGTAGAATTATGGGCCTTCGCTTGCTCAGGAATTTTTATTTTGTTTTTGTTTTACTTTGCAAAAATCAAAGGAAGGATGTTAGAGAAATTGGAATATGAAATAGTTTCTTGCTGCACCAAGATTTCACCAACAAGACCTTTCATGGCGCCTGCCGGGTGTGTCCTTTGGTCCTTCTCAGCGAGCACCGTGAGACTGAGTCTGAGATTTTCAGGCTGTGTTTCAATTAAACACATCCATCTGCGCCTTCCAGAGAGCGCCAAGAGCAGATGTTGTCCGTTTGCTCTGCCAGTCATTTGCACTGTAATTTCTTTCTTTAAATTTGAAACATTCCCAAGCAGGCCGATGTAATAAACGGCAGGAATGGAAATGTTGGAAGACTGGTACAGAAATGAAATGAAAGCAACCAAACTGAGGACCTAACTCTGTGTGGCTGCGCGGTGTGCCTGTTCTAAGCAGGGAGCATCCGTGTCACTGCACGGGGAGATAGGAATTAGCAGATACTCAACAGCCTGAGCTGAAGGCCACAGATTCAGGACCCAAGAACCGGGGCTCAGGTTCCGGCTTTTCTGGATCCTTATTGTGTGACCCTGGGCAGGAGACAAGCCCTCAACATATCCTTTTCCAAATCTGTAAAATGGACATACTGTTGCATAGGGTTGTTATCAGGACGCACGCATTAGTCTCCCAGAAGTGTACGGAGACTCGGTGAGTTATCTCACGAGGCCATTTTAAAGCTTAACGGAGTCACCTAACTAAAGTGCCTGCCCCATGGCTGGAAGATGGTAAAGCCAGGATAACCATAACAGTTGCTAGGATTTACACCGCCTCAAAAACTGTGGAGCTTTTATTTCTGTGTCTGATTTTTGCTTTGTCTTGCATCTCCTTCCTGGAAAGGGTTTCTTTGGTGCTGATACAGGTAGTAATGAAGTAGTTTTTGTCTCAGGTTGGAGCGAGGCACTGCCGTCTCTGTCACACCATGACCCTGCGTGGAGCCTGCAGGCGTGAGGGGAGAGAGCCTGTCACACGCTCACTTCCCAGACGGGAAGAGCCGGTGCAGGGACCACACTATGCAAGTCTCACTTTTCCAAAAAAGATTTCATAATCGAAAGTAGGTTTTTGTCTTAAAAAAACAACCAACACCTTTCTTCCAACGCTCTAGAAGCCCAGTGCAGTATGTTCTAAGTCTTTTTCTTTTGTCTCTTTTTGCACTCAGGTAGTTGAATGTGCAGGAGTCCGGGGGAGGAGGGGAGGGCTGCGGTTTGGAAGGCAGTTAGAAAGGTGTCGCCAGGGCCTGGTGTGGTATGGAAAGACCTGTGCGTGTGCGCGCATTTGCGTGCGCGCATTCATGTTCTTGGGGAAGGCATTCGTGGGGCATGGGGATGAGAGGAGACAGACTCCTTGGCGGGCTCCGCGGCCCTCTGCAAGGGGCACCCGCTGTGTGCTCCCCTCTCTCTCCAACTCCCATTTCCATGGCTGTGCATTTGTGGCTTGGGATCGGCAGTGACAGAGCGTCTCCTCCTCCAAAGTGCACACGCGCAGCCAGGGCATTTGCTTTCCTGGACTCTGTGGATTGAGCTCAGTGTTTGCCCTTGAGGACTGGCTGACCTCACCGAGGGTTTGGAGACGATGCCCAGTTGGGCTCAGAACCTGGTGAGACTGCTGACAGCGGGGACGGCAGCCAGTGTGCCTCACTCCATCTATGAATCCCGGTCACGTTGCTTTGGAGGCATCTAGGACCTTGGCCGTGAGTTAGAACTAAAACATGGCATTTTTCTGAAGACACTATTCTGTACTGTATGTGTAATTTTATTGCGGAAACATCCAAATCCCCATTGTGTCACTCAGTAAGATTTTCACAATCACAGTAGTTTCTTGTGAGTCCAGGATAACTAGACCACATTGTGCCGAGGATTCACGCACTTACGAGTCCTGCATTTTGGGGAATTCTGGAGAATCAGAGTCCATCACGCCCTGTGGAAAGAAAAGTGAGACGGTGGGGTTTCAACAAGAGGAGTCTTTTTGTCTCCTCTAATAGTCTCTTTAAAATTGGAACAGTTTAGTTATTCAGAAGAGTCATAAAATTAGCTATGAAACTTAAGGAGTGTTCAACCCATGCTGTGGCATTCGGTGTAGAAAGAGAGGCAGGACCGAACCCTAATCACCAAAACTGTGCGTTACTGAACGTAACCCTGCACGATTCCAATTTCATAGTTTAAAAGTCCCACACAAGTGCAAGGCGTGAGTTGGATTCCTGGTACCAAAAAAAGAAAAAAAAAAGATTCCCACACTTCTGCATGGACCCGAGGAAGGGGTCAGATACCTCCCGAGCTATTTATGCTAGCGAGACTGCTGTACGTTTATTCCTGATGTTGTGTGACTACTTTGCCCTCCCTGGAGGAGAGGGGACCATCATGAGTCTAGCGGGGTGCAGCGTCTTCAGTAACGGACAATGCTTTGCATCCTTACAGGGTGTCCCTGGAGCGAAGGGCGAGCGAGGTGAACGAGTAAGTGTCCAGCTGCCTTCGGCCACCACCAGCTACCAAGAGATGTCGCTTCCCACTGTGTGTCCCCCCCACCTCCCACGGAGAAGCCCCTGTGGGGGGCGGTCCCAAAAGCCCGTTTCCAATTGAGGATCTGCCACCAATTGACATTACCCAGCTCCATGGCCCCCGGCTCAGGGAGGAAAGGGGGAGAATCAAAGTCATCTCCAGCACAAAGTGGATTTAACAAGAAAACCAGGAAAGGCTTCCGGGTGGGGGTGGTGGCTGTGAAGCAGCTTTATAGAAATCCCATCCTGAGGAGCAGCAGGGGACTCCTGCTCTTCCAGATGCTCCAGGTTTGGCCCCGGAAGACAAGGCAGATGTGGAGTCGGAGAACTGGCCCCAACCTTGGATCAGTTCATTTCAGGGGCCCGAGCTCCCCTTCCAGTGCTGGCTTCTGCCTCACCTGCTCTGAAAAGCTGGGTGATGGGTCTCAGGCTGATTAGCTACCAAAGGGGCTTAGCAGGTTTCCTCTGAGCTGTGATTTGTGTTAGAGGAGCCCCTGCTTGAGAAGGTGAGGTACTGTAGAAGCTCTAAAGAATTGTAAGTCATTAAATGTACGCGGATTTACTTCAAAACTTAAATGTTTTTAGAATCTGAGGCCAGAAGTGTTTCCTTGAGCTTTTGAACCTCACTGGGTTCTCGGGGTGATGAGCCCAGGCACCTCTGTGCACCAAGCTCTCTGTCCCTGTGTCCCCGGAAGTCCAGAGCATGATGGGGCGTTGGGCCGAGGTGGCCGCACCCTGGAAGTCCTGGCAGGCCTGTGGGTGTGGTTGTGCTTGACACAGTGCTCTGTCTCCCCTGCAGGGTGACCTGCAGTCCCAAGCCATGGTGAGGGCAGTGGCGCGCCAAGTGTGTGAGCAGCTCATCCAAAGTAAGTGCCCGGCGGGTACCAAGGTCCTGTCCAGGTGAGAGTGGGCCTTCCCGTCACCAAGACAACCCCCACCCCGGCTTCATCCTGAGGCACCTTACAAATGCGACCCCTGCTCCACCTGAGGAGCCTTGCAGAAGCCGAAGCCCTGTGCCCTTCGTGAAAAGCCAGGCGGCCCTGTGCACACAGCTTGGCCTGTCTGTCGTCTCACTGCTTCCTTGCTTTCTCTGCAGGAGGATGGAAATTTTGCTCAAGTGCACTTGGCTCTCGAAAGCCTGAGATGGCACCCTCAGAACCTCCCTTGGGCAGGAGCTCCAGGGCATGGATTTCCAGTGACCTGCAAACCTAAACAGTCCCTTTACATCACCTGTCCCTTTGTGTCTGGTGTCTTTGGGTAGCCTCAGAGCCTTGTCTGTAGTCCTTAGGTTTTACACACACACACCCAGAGTGACAGGGTTGGTGTGACAGTAGGTGTAATACTTGGGTTTTGTACCAGATCACACTTGATACCACTCTTCACAAGCCTGGTCACCTGGTGTCCAGTGCTCCCTTGATTGGAGGAAATGGTGCCAGGTCCGAGTGATGACAGCTGCCCATGTGACAGAGGACAGCCCCCCTCAGAGGGCGAAGCAGAGGAGCTCTGAAGAAACACCTTACCTGCCCGTGATAGCTCCTGTCACAGGAGAGGGTCCCTAGCTGCTGTCACAGGCCAAGGCTTGGGGGAAAAGGCTTTGTGTGTAGTTTTGAGAAGCTCCTCAAAGCATGGTTACTCTCTTTTACTCACACTGAAATATGTCGGAAAGGTATAGGTAATAGTCGCCTAGAAAGTTCACGTACATAAGAATCTCATCTCTGAGCTGGAGAAGGGAGACCCTCCGGTCCCAAGGGCTTTCTAAATCCATCCTCCTGATGATTGAATACATCCTCGCTGGAGTAACGGGATTAAGGGGCTGTGGAAAGGAGTTCCAGATTTTTCTATCTAGTAGGGCTGCTAGGAGTTTGTGCAGCTGGGACCCCAGGGCCTGTCGGGTCGGAAAGCAGAGGTCTGGTAGGGGCAGGAGGCCAGGCAGAGGGAGGAGCGGCCCAGCCAGCTGGCAATGAGAGGAATCAGCGGGAAGGGGCCCTGGGCCAGGGCTGAGGGGTCAGACACATGTCAGGGTGGGGATATAATTTACAGCTTTGCTCCTCGATGGTGATCGTGGCGGGACTCGAGCCATGGAATTCCAAGCCCGTGAGGGGCCTTGAGTGGATTCCAGGGGTCATCTCATCGGCAGTGAAATGCAAGCACTCCGGGTTGGAGATCAGCATTTTCAGAGGGGCGCGCTCTGCGCCTGCTGGGCATGTGCTAGAGTGGCCCGGAGCCCTAAGAAATGACGCCCAGCCTCCCGTGTCATCCACCCAACACTGCCCCTCTGCTTCCTGCCGCAGGTCACATGGCCAGGTACACGGCCATCCTCAACCAGATTCCCAGCCACCACTCATCCATCCGGACCATCCAGGGGCCCCCGGGGGAGCCCGGAAGGCCTGGCTCACCTGGAACCCCTGGAGAACAAGGACCCCCCGGTGCCCCAGGCTTCCCCGGAAATGCAGGATTGCCAGGGACCCCGGGAGACCGAGGTAAGTCGGGCCACTGCTCTGGTGGGTGAGAAGTGGACCAGGCAGGGGGCTCTGCGTCTGCAGTACTGACAGCGGGAATGGCTCCCCGGATGGTTCTCTGCACCCAGTTCCTGGTTTCCTGCTGATTACTCCCCAGATCCCAGGGAAAACCGAGCTAGGTACGAAGCGTTTATCAAGAGCCGGGTCTGCTCGGGTGACAGAGGAAGTGAGGGCCCTACCCACTCAGCACTGAGTTTAAAAGGTGCCACAGCCGTGTGAGGACTTAGAAAGTGATGCCTTCCCTGGGGAGTTGCAATGCCACCTGCATGTGACAGCATGCGATGCCACCTGCATGTGACACCCAGCTCGCTCTAGGTGTGGAGCTGGCCCTGTTCCATGCAGTGCTCATGTGGGCGAGGGTCCTGACAGCCCTGAGAGCACCGTGAGTCCCTCCCGTGTGTCACCATGAGCCACACCCGTCCCTACCGTGACTGCTTAGCTGCACACGTCAGCTTTGCACGCAGTGTGTGGCTGGTCCCCGTCACAAGGGACACCGAGTGTGTAAGTTTAGTGGGCCAGGCAGGGTCTTGTGTGTCACTAAAGGATTGTGTAGCTCAAGGCAAGGCCCCTTTGATTGGTTTTCACCAAGTTTCAAGTAGTTTCGAGACATCTTATTAAAGAGAAGAAACAGAAAAAGGGAAGAGGAGGGAGAGAATCTCATTCCAGAAGCACAGAAAAGACAAGAGAGAAATGTAGATGGCACAGTCACCATGAAGGAAGCCACAGGGAAAAGACATGAGTGTTGAGGGGTGATGGAAGCACCCCCAAAACACAGTGTCAGGAGCGAAGCCAGCTGCCGCCTGTCTGCTTTGCATTTTATTTTTTCTTTTTGAGGCAGGATCTGGCTGTGCAGTTCAGGCTGGCCTTGAGCTCACTTTGCAGCCCAGATTGATCTTGAACGTGTAAGGATCCTCCTGCCTCAGCCTCCCGAGTGCTGGGATTACAGACGTGAGCCACCATGTCTGGCAGTCACCTGACTGCCTTGTGAGCACACACTTTTGTGAGCTGGACAAGACCCATCCCTGCTGTAAAATGAGGATGTAAAATGCAGATTCCCAGGGCCTTGCTTTGTCCCCATCCTTGGCTTTGCCTCTGGGCATTGCATCCTGCACCTCCGTGCTTCTCTACGCGGTGTGTCTGTCTGGAAATGGACTTTCCTTCCCTTGTGTCACAGAGAGTTCTTCTCCATCGAATTCTCAGCTTGTCCCCATCTGTGCACAGAGCTCTTACTGTCACCTGGGTCCCAGACACCCCCACCAGGGTGCCCGACGCCCCGTCTCCCTCCCCTTCGGCACCCCCCACCCTAGCAGCAGCGGGGTCAGGAGCAGGGCCTGGGGAGCTGCCTAGCTCCCTCCCCCTCGGCCCTCACAGGTGGCTCCGGGCTTTGATTGTCACCAGCTGTGACTTTTCCTTCCAAAGATTTTCCATGAGTCAGAGCACACAATCAGGAGACCTAGAGAAGGCATGGCTCCTCCTCGGCAGCGTGCAGATGTCTGGTGGCCTGGAAGGGGCCCCCTCTGTCCGGGGGCACTGGGGGTGGCGCGATTGTGACAGAGAACAGAGCCGGGGTCCCTCCCTGCCAGTCACAGTCATCTGTGATCTCCCTGAAGTCCTCACCCTGATCTTCCCACACCCTTTCCTGCCCCTCGAGATGACTTGAGAGATTGTGGCCTTCGGCCGGGCATCCACACTGATGACCCGGACAGCTGTGGGCGTGGAAGCTGAGTGATGTCATTTTCTTCCCTGAGGGATCCCCGTGTGTCCCTGAAGGGCACAGTAGGCCAAGTCCTGCCTTTCACAAATACAAAGGTGGGGGCTGAGAGACAGGAAGCGAGCAGAGCTCTCTGGACCTGGGGAGAGCGATCCCAGCGGATCTCTGTATCCCAATAAGGGCTTCAGTTGGGGCTGCTGGGTTGCAGCCTGAGGCCAGCATCCGACTGGAGGTTCCTGTTTCCTTCATCAGTTAAAAGCTTGGGGGGAAACCTTTGGTTTCGTGACCTCAGCCTGAAAAACACTACTCTGGTGCAGTGTCTTGCGTTAGCTCTGTTTATACCACAGAAAGGGTCAAGAGCATTTGTAAAGAGTGGATGTTCTCAGGACTCTGGGGGGCTGAGGCAGGAGAATCGCAAGTTCAAACCCACCATGGCATAGTGGATAATCCTGGGATGACTCAAGAGGGCGGAGATGATCTTATGCTAGAATATTCTGTTTCTTCTCAGTAGACTCAGGTTAGTCTCAGATGGTGGGAGAGGATGGCCACCCCAAGAGCTAATGGGAAGCCTCAGAAGGGCGACCCCCTACCCCAAGCTCCGTTTATCCCTTAGGGAGGGTGCAGAATTAGCCACTGTGAATTCGTGGTCCCAACGATGCAGTGCAGACAGCTCCGCTCCGCTTCCTGGGCCACCCCTTCCCTAATTTGCGCTTTGTCTCTGGTTTAAACAAGGCTGTGGGCGTGTGTGTGGAGCAGTCTTTCAGCTGCCTTCCCCAAGATGGGGATCTGGGTGACCCCTTGGAAGGCAGGAACTTGGAGGGACCCTGTCCCTCGAGCTGTCTGAGGTCCCCACCTCCAGCTCCAGCCCCAGCTGGGTGATCTGATCTCCCACGATGCGAAGTAACCGCAATCAGGGTCTGTGTTGGCAGGACGCGTGGCACTGGCCTTCCCAGCTCACCCACTTTTCCCTGTCGTCACATAAGAAACGCTGTCCTCTATGGGTCACCACGTGCTCACTTTTCCCTGTCAAACCTTGCGTTGCCGTTCAGTAAATGACTCTTTTTTTTTTTTTTTTTTTTTTTTTTTTTTTTTTTTGTCTTTTTGAAACGGGGTCTCGCTATGCAGTTCAGGCTGGCCTTGAGCTCTCACTTTGTAGCCCAGGCTGGTCTCGAACTAGCAACGATCTTCCTACCTCAGCCTCTGAGTGCTGGGATTACAGGCATGAGCCACCACGCCTGGCTTAGTAAATGACTGTTTATACCTGGCTCCTCGGCGTTGGAAAGTTCAGGAAAAGAGCAGAGGGTTCTGAGGTTCCGCCTCGGTTCCCTGCATGGCTACGGGACCAGCAGGGGCTCCGGACCCCTGGATTTCTACTGATCGCATTGCGATGGATTCCAGCTCCATTTCTGATTCTGATCTCTGCCCCTCGTTTTTTCATGACCCAAAGTCATCGTCTGCTGGCTCCACTTAGGTAGATGTTCGCTATCCAGGCTAGTGTCTGACACGGGAGTTAGCAAGTCAGCCCCGAGCTCACAAATGAAGTTTATTGAATTGAAAAGAATCAAAAGCCTTCCCTGAGCCCTGTTTTCACAGGAGCCGTCCAGCTCCCAGGATTCTTCAAAACCCTTGGGCAGAAGAGCTCTGCTCTGCCCATGTCCATCCGAAACAGCTGGGGTGCACAGCGGGTCCACAGCGTCCAGCGTGTCAGCAGATTATTTGCGGACTGTGCTGTGTATGTAAACCTTCCTGAGTTGCTCCTGTTAAGCGATTGGTGTTATTTGTGGCTTTCATTATCAGGCACCAACTCGTCGGCCAAGTGATATGCTCAGACCTAGGGCCGTGCTTCTCATCTGGAGAAAAGAGAGGACCTGGTTTGAGTAAGGAACAAGTATGGGACGTTGCTGAAAGCACACATGGGGAGATGTCGGAGGGCAGCGAGATCCACAGAAATTAAATGGGGTCAGCACTGAAAGGAAGCCATCACTGGTCTTGGCCAGGCAAGGGTGCTTGTATTTATTAAGCAACTACTATGTGCAAGTCACTAAGCATGTTGTGTAACGCACATAAAAATGTTTCACAAACATGATTAGCTCTATTTCTAGGTGAGGAAACGGAGGCTTATCTAGCTGGTTATTTGTGCACGGTCACACACGGAACAAGAATCTAGATCATACCCAGATCTGTATGATTCCAGCATGTCCGTGGTTAGTGCCCCATGCAATGAATTAATCATGAATTAATCATTCAGTGGGAGTCACCAGAGGACGGTCAGGCTGGAGGAGTCTGGTTCAGAGGATGCCGGACAGCTGCACGCGTCAAAGCATGAGACCCACCGCTGGCCAGAGCATCAAAGTGGGCTGTGATTGCACTGTCTGTGGTCTCCGTGTGCCCTGGATTTGCTGTACTTAGCTAGGTGTGGAGTCTGTGACTCTGAATAGCCCAAGGAAGCTGAGTGATGCATTAGGTAAATACAAATGTGATTAAAAACAATTTTTTTTTTTGCAAAGCCAGGCATGGTGGAACATGCCAATAATCCCAGCACACAGGAGGCTGAGGCAGGAGAATTGCCATGAGTTCAAAGCCAGCCTGAACTACAGAGTGAGACTCTGTCTCAAAACACAAAGCAGAGAAACGCCAAAAGCAAAAAACCCCTCTTGCAGTTACCCGGGTTGGCATGTGGCTATCTCCCTAGGAGTCCAGCTCAAGGGACTGCTAAAGGAAAACCGTGCAGCCAGCGCTGTGGGTGCAACTGTGGAAGTCACGCTTCTAGTCAGTGTCTGACTCTGGGGGTGCCGAGGGGAGAAAGCTGCAATGGCGTGGTTGGTTCTGAGTCTCTCCTGACAGGACCTGCCCCGCTGCATTGGCTGGCAGTGCAGGAGGGGGAGCGAGGAATGCTCTCTGGGGCCGCTGCCTCTAACTAGCTGTGGGCTCTTGGCTACCTTCACCGGGAACCGTCCTGCCTCAGCTTTGCCATTGAGCCACTCAGCGACTGCCAAGTGTCTGCTGGACTCCAGCCAGGGCGCTGGGCTCCGATGGCACCATGCTGGTCGACAGGGCTTGATTTTCTGATTCTATGGCACCTTACGTCTCTGGGGAGACAGGCGTCAGGCAGGGACTCGTGAGAAGTTTGGTCTTGGGTTTAATGGGTGATGTGAAGCCTGCAGGCGAGCATCCAAGAGTGGATAAGGAGGCCCTGACTCCAGCTGCAGAGGCTGAAGGGCTCTCTCTAGCTGAGACCTGAGCTTAGTGG